ACTTGAATCAATATCTGTGTGAGAAAGACTTCACATTGGGAATTTCACAAAGCTGCCTTTCTTATGTGAGGCGAACCTGGAATAAGGAGAATAAAAGCAGGAGCCTTGAGCAACGGAGAAAAAAGTAATATAGTACAATAACTTATATTTCCTTTTTCCACACTCATAAAGGGTTTACAGCCAAAGGACGCCTTCAAGCCGTCGGAGGAAACAATCACGTGGGAGTCAGTCCGATCACTCCACTGTTCAAATATATGAGACTATTTTTCGGAACACGGTACACTCGTTTGTTCCCATACCCCAAGATGATAATGTGTTTCAAACGTCAGTGTTTCATACCCACCAGGATGAAGTCAAGAGTCAATCATCACATATAGAGAATAGAAGTATTTGTCAAGTTAATTTACAGGCTGCTCAGAGAAAGTGATAGATTCTACACTCATTGGATGCCACAGAGAATGGAAAAGGCCAACTTTCCCTTTCCCTTGTCGTTGGTTATGAGCTTATGTGACCGTTGTATTGTGTGTGGGCTTGCGTCCGAGGTGTTTCATTACAATGAACTTGATAAAGGTTCCCTGTGATTGGTCGTTCCCGGATCTCCATTTCTGAATCCAATTGGTGCCTCTGCGAGCCCAATTGCAATCTCTCACCGCAGCAGTCTTGTCTGAATTGTACAGCTGCTCTTATCTGTAAATAGATGTAATGACTTCAGCATGACTGAATGAATCGAGTTGCACTGCTGTCATTCTAAATCAATTCTATTACACTCAGAGGTCAGTGAATATAAACAAGGCGGGGACATGCCTTACTCCATCCCATGCTTATAAAAATGCATTACAGTGCTGCACAAGTGCATACATCGTGTAAAGAGGTTGTTTGAAAGGTGCTTATGACCTGCCGTCAACAGCTCTGAAAAATGTGTGTTTGTCTATAATGAAGGGAAAAGCAATCTCGTTTTCACATTTTTCAACATATGTAGGTGCATAATGTTTGTGTTTACTATGATTCCCAACCGAGGGTCTGGTATCCCAGTTACTTCTTCACTTGCCAGAGGGTACATATTAAAATATAGTGTGATAGTACAGATAAACATGATTAAACCAACATTGTCAATTCAATGGTATGGAAAAAACATTGTATAACAGTATCCACTTTGATATAATCAGTGGTATTAAATAGGCAGATCATTTTACAGAGGTGTTATTTGTGAAGAGTTTAGGTCAGTGCAACATCACAACAAGGAAATATAATAGACACTTTAGACATCATGATTGATCATCATCATATGAAGGCTGAAGATGAGAAAGTGACAAAGGACTGTACCTCAGCGACCGATGAGGGCAATTCTCTGTCTCTTAATGTGAGGGAAAGCAGAACAGGAGCATGAATAAATTGTATTAATCTCCAGAACCCCATACTGAGGAGAAGAATCAAAACTATTGAGCTGAGTGCAGTGGCCGGTCTATCTATGAATGATGGGACTTGAATTCAATTCTTGTCGCAGTTTTTGTTTCGCAGATTTATGGATACCGGAAGTTTGCTTCTCAGTCAGGTCTGCAATTTTCTGAATTTTCTCTAAGGTCTTATATGTGTGACCAAACTCCAACTCTTTTGCTCGTTATCTTTTTGTTATACTTTCTCTTCGAGACAGAATAAATTTTGTTCCCATTCAAGGGTGACATCAGCAGAGACCGGAAAAACTTTACTCTAAATGTTGAAAAGAGGGAGTCAGCTCGTCTGTGGCACTTCTTTATAGACCCACACACAGAAATTTTGCATATTTTCATGAGGAATAAATTAGATATAATATTCAAACTGTGCACCCTGATGTGCTTCTCTTCGCTCATCTGATTTTAAAGCTATCTTTGGTACCATAATGGCTCAAGAGCTTAAGCTTGAGACAGACTCTGTAGTAATGAGACATTGCTGAAACATCAAATAAAGGCTTAAAATCTAATCGGCTCATGCTGGCATGTGGGAAATGCTTTACATCTTGTCATTACTCACACCTTTATGTTTAGAAAGCACTGTGGTAAAACCTGCATCAGATGTGGTATGATCTTTCAGGTGTGTCACAACAAGAGCAGCTAAATAAATGTTAGTGTGGTTAGGCTAAAATGAAGAGACCTGAAAGTTAAAATTAGTCTTTGCTAGGAAATCAGTATATATATTTTTGGGGGGTTCTGATGTGTCGGCTACTTCTACTTGATTACCCAAGAACAAATTTAAATTTTCTTTTCTTTTTTTGCCACGATAGTGTTTGACTACACACATTAGTCCCTTCACGTTGCGATTCAAATCACAGAATAACAGGAGCTGTCACTGTGGGTTTTGACAGCTTTGAAAGAAATACAGCTAATGCTAGATTAGCTCTTTGTATGATATGCTATAGGGCAAACACAGTGTGGGAGCTAACAATGACTCAGCAGGTGTTATGATTAGTGGTAATATTAGCAAGCTACGCTAATTAGCCTATTCTTAGCCTAGCTTGCTAGCTTCCACTTTCTGAGTGAATTTCAGACTGCACGAGCACAGTCTTTATATTACATATATAAATGTTGTGAAGGAACAGTCTTAAACTGCTGACAGTAGATTGTCAGCACTACGGGCTTGCTGGATGACAGATGCTGTTTCTACTAATATGAACTAATATGTCAAATTTGAAAAATATGCATCAGTATATTTGATATTATAATTCAAGTTTCAGTTTGGCTTTTAATCTCATCCAAATACGAGACTGTCGTATCTCCCACACAGATGGACGCTCCCATTCTGGAACTGAACACCAAACACCAGCCAGTCAAAGGACGAGGAAGAGGAGGAAGAGGAGGAGGAGAACGTCTCTAGCCTATGATTGTTAGAGCCCGTAACAGGCTGGGCCCCCAGGACCAGTTTCAGACAATCATGGTCTTTTCAGCCTGTCTCAGATTGTGTGATTAGAGAGCCATCTATTGAAAGCATCATCCAAAAATCTCATTTTTGGAGCCGTCACAGTGATTTCTCCATCTGTTTGCTGAAGACACAGCTTCCCTCCTTAACGCAGGTAGACAGGCGTCAGGTTGGCCTCCCTCCTGATCCTAAGTGGGCCTGCTTTTAGGAAGAGCATGTGTGTTTATATAGTATATGTATATCTATGACACAGAAAGAGGGGAGACAAGCATAGAAAGTATGGGATGTCTTGCCAGCTTTGGATAATACAAGCAATCCTCCATACAACACAGGCTTTAATCAGAAGATAGCCAACGTTTCGCCTCAGTTGGAGTCACTCAAAATGAGAAATGGCATATGACATAAACACAATGCCCACACATGCGCAACTAATTACTTTAAGACATCGCAAGATGCTTGGAGGAAGTGCAGAGGCAGGCGCATCGCGAGGTTTTTGTTGAAGGATGTCTTTCAAGCGTTCGTCTCAGTAGCAGAATCCATCTTTAACCAATAGAGAGGACACATGCTGGGTCTGAATGCGTCATGTTCAGATATATTAAAACAATTCTTGAGATCTTCTATTATGTTAAAATGAGATTAAGAGGAAAGAGCAAAAAAGGGAAAGTGAGGAGGCGACCTCAGAATACAGATCACCAATTTAAAAAGATGTCTTCAGAGTTTATTGGGATAACATACTGAGCAGTTATGAAGATTGACTGTCAAAAGACAAATGATCTCAACAAGGAGTTTTACACATCAAAAAAAAGCTTTTTTTGGAGGGTAATCCCTAAAACATATCATTGTACATGTAGTCAAACACATGTAAAGTCCATATAATCAGAATTGTGTTTTGGATTATTTAACTCATTCATTTTCAAGCAGGTTCTTGAAGGATTGCATCATATTTCTAATTTCAAAAGTACACTTTTTTGACAGCGATCAATCAGTAGAAAGCAGGAGAAAAACAGTAATCTGTATTAGTTTCTTTAATTTAGTGCTTTTTTAATCAAATTCTGAGTTAATTTTCTTTTTTTTTTCGAATGATTACTTTGAAGAGACTTTCTACAATGATCCCACCACATGAAGTTAAGTGCAACACTGCTCTCTGCTGGTAGGAAGGTTCAACTGCAGCAGGAAAGATGAGTTCAGTTCATGTCAGCTAATTTTGACTAAACCACAGTTCCCTTGAAAATGATTAGTGTCATTATCTTGTCAACTGTCTTTAATGTCTTGTCATCTGTAAAATAAAACAATGCAGCAACTGTATAATAACTGCAAAGGTCAATATACTTTGAACTCCCATAATCCTATTCTGTTACACTACATCTGTAGCAGATGGTGAAACTATTGAAATTGATTGACCCAGATGGCAAATATTTAGAGATAAAGAGGGAACAATATTGATCAGTAATCACACAAAGCACCTAAAAGAATGGTTACTCTTTTGATTCACTCGACATTTTATTGCAATCATTTGAAGCTCAGATTTCTTAAAGAGCAGCTCACACAGATGAGTTCTTTACTTGCAGCCTTGAGAACTCAGCATTCAGTGAATAATTTTGTTTCTGAAGAACATCAAACCCCCTCATGCCTGAAACAATTATGTTCACACATCTCATGATGCAAGGTTTCAGTCATGCTCAGAGAATGTCTTTGGCTTAAAGACTAAACTAATTATTTAATTTGCCAAGAGAGCAGAAATAAAATATTGTTCAGCCGAGTCTGGCAACATGAAGCATCTTTCCAATTACATGCCCAATAAGGTTTAGAAAGAGTGACTGAAATGCTGCAGGGCCTCAAAAGTAAAGCTGTACATTAAACACTTTAATTATTCAAACCCATGCATGAGTGATGTGATCATGGCTCTTAATGCTTCGTAGCTTAATTGCTGGACAACTCAGTCAAAAGTGTTCTACATTTCTTAAGTATAACTAGACAGCATTTTGAAAACTAGGTCCACGTTAAGTGTCCCCACACCAAGATCCAGATTTATATCCAAAATTGGTTTTATCATGCATGGCACTTTATATTCACCTTAAGTGCCATTTTTTTAGCAAAGAAATAATACAATACACTTTTTATAAACATTTATTTATCTTTATTGGCCAAAGACAACCAGCTCAAACAAGGACTCCATATTGTTTCAGAACGTCTGTGTATTTTGTAATTTTGCTCTCGACGTTCTTCTCTGCCACCTTGGTCAGCTTGATCAGTGTCTTTTTCTTGCCGTAGCGGAGCTTCGCCTTCTCCTTCCTCTTCTCCTCCAGGGTGGCTGTGATGGCCTGGTACTTCCAGCCGACCTCGTGTGCCAGACGCCCAAGGAGGGCGAACTGAGAAAGAAACGAGTGTCAGAGTCAGTAAGGGCACGGTGCGTCACTGGCAGGTCTAAATTTACTGCAGCAGATATTTCTAAAAGTTAAGGGGATAGGAATTCCACACAAAACCACATTCTTTGATGTTGAATTTAAAAAGTTTACGTTTAAAGATGCAATATATAAAAAGGCACAACTTGTATCCAACTCAACTCAGTAATCAGATCCGAAGGTTTGTCTCATCAAAAAATGATCAGTTTCGGTAAAGTGCTCATCACCGTCAAGAACTAACAGTTGTGGTAGGTAAATTTAGGCGTCTGTCGATATTTGCAAATTAAAATCAAAGTGTGTCCCCCAAAATCATATTTATCAAGTCAGCACTGAAATCAGTTATTTGAGGCTCACCTTGCGAGTGGGTTTCAGGCGCACAATCTTAAGAGCAGCTGGAACAACCATGCGCTTCCTCTGTGGAACAAAAGACAAAATCAGACAAAGAAGAAACCGGCACGTGTAGCCACTGATAGCACAGCATGTCTCAGATTATAAATTTCTTTTCAGTCGTTTTTCAAATAAGGCTGGTAAGGGTAATATGTAACATCACAGACAGCTGAGCTTAACATGTACGGGCCCAACAGGGACATATTGTGGCCCTTTGTAGTTGATGTAGATTCATCACCTTGTCATAGGGCGGGGGGATCCCGTCAAACACCTTCAGCCTCTCAAGAGCAGCCTGTCCTCTCTTGGTTTTGTGGGGCAGCATACCTGTTAGCAGAGGAAATACTTGTAAGTTCAATACATTTTCAAATAGCAACAATTGCAGTTGTATTAAAACTTTAATTTGTCCAAGCACAAATGTCCCCGCTCAACTCAGCAATCAGATCCGAAAAGTTTGTCTCATCAAAAGATGATCAGTTCCGGGACAAAGTGCTCTTTAGTGTCGAGCAAAGAACTTGTGCCAGTTCAAATACATTTTGCTAATCTAACACTTGATTGTTGAGTTCTCTTTAAGGCCCACTACTGGACCAATAGGGCATCTTAGCCACAAAGAATTGAATGGATTATGTTAAAAGTAATGCTCGTTCTATGTGCAGACTATATGTAAGAGCATTTTAAAACTATCTACCGAGTGATTATCAGTATGCCACATGCTCTGTAAGAATCTTGTCAGTATTGTAATAATTTAATTTCCTTACGAGCATCACAAACTCACCTCTTACAGTCCTCCAGAAACTCTGAAGTGGTACGGTCCACATGAGGGGTTGGTGTTCATCTTGCGCAGGAAGGCCAGGTACTTCACTATAGAGGGGTGCATAATAGAGACATTAAATCTGAGTTACAAATACTTTTAGGCACTAGCAGCCATTACTTTAGTATGCAATGTCTCAGATGGTAGTGCATGTGAGTTTTCTCATGGTCGTTAAACTCAAGCAAAGCTGTAAATGTATCATCATTGACAGACTGAGGCCACACAGCAGCTTCTGTGAATACTGTGCTGCTCAGTTTTATTCAGTATTCATATGGCCAGTATACATGGCTTTAGCAAAAACCATTTCCAACATTCCCATATTAATATTTAAAACTTACCAAGCAGAACCTGTTTAGCCACAAGGGCAGCAAGCCAGCCCAGAAGGTGGCCCCTGCCATCAAGTAGCAGAACCTGCAGGGTGAGGAAAGATATTTTACTGTACAGTTTTTACACAAACTTTCCCTAGCTTTCCTTTCAACTTAATTGGTAACGGAATGCAAATTTAGCGCAATTACACGTTCAAGGACTTTGAGAAACGCGTGTTTCCTACATGAGCATTTTAATAGCTGCCACATGGAACTTCCCGATGAGGACATAGCATTAGCTTAGCATCAACGTAAAAGCTCGACACGTTAGCTAGAGTCATTATTTAGATAACGAGGTTGAGCACAAATGTTCAATAAAAAGAAAGCTTCAGTTATTACATTAGCGCGTATATCACCCAGACCTAAACTTCACCAAGACACAAGTTTAAGCTGGCATGCTAACGACGTTGGCTCGCTAGGGAGGCCGCCATGACGAAGGCATGTACTCGGCTTCCACGAGCCGTCTCAAACATGTCTTGAAATCTAGTCTTAGGAGTAACACCGAAATAAACTAAGATAACACCAAGAAGTACCGTAGTTATCACCTGCCCATTATCTATAAATTACCGAGTTAAACTTCCACTAAATAGCATAAAAAGACATTATGATTCCGCAGCGGTTGCTCACCTTATTGAACCGGTCCGCCATGATGTGCGAAAAGAAAGACAGACGGGGTTGCGCGTACTTAAAGGCAGAGGTGGACGGAAGTGACGACATTTATATTTCTTTCTCGTGGGAAATATGAATAAACGTTCCACCGCCGCTGTTCGTATGGAGGGATAAGTTTATTTACATTAAACCATATTTTAAACCTAATCATTTGATGCTCTATTGATTCCCAACTGAGAATTTAAATATTTCACTTTATTTCCAGACACATGAGTCCATATAGCAGCAAAAACAAAAACGAAATACAATACGAGGACACCAAGATGCAGGTATAATTATTGCAGCTCAAAAGTCACACGTGGTTGAGTTAAGGCCTTTATGATTAGGCCTACATTTTTTGATTCAGTCAATCAACATTTAACTGTAATTCCTCAACACAGCATGAAAGGTGGGAACATTACGAGTCACACACATATTACTAGCACTTGTCCATCTTGGCTTGAGCACGATTCTAAAAGCATCATTAAATGCCACCTGAATCTTTTTCATTTTTGCTTTACTATAACTGCACCACAGGTGGGCTGTATAGAGTGGAGTAGCCTACAGTAGGCTCTAAAGAGAGCTGTTTTAACATCATCTGTACACATGAAATTTACGTGCCAGCATGTTGGCTCGTGCATACAGTTTGCAACACTGCCGCTGCACATCGTCATCATCACTTAGATCATTCCTGATGATGTGACCCAATTATCTCATTTTGTGCACCACATTCAGCTCTTGGCCTGCCATATAAAACAAAGGAAAAGTTAGCTTCCTTGGTTTTAGTGTGAGAAATCTATGTTTTAAAGCATTCCTAGTGCTGGATATTATGTGTCACAGTGTGTTTACTTGTAGAAGTTTAAACCAAGGAGTGTGGTCATTGCATGTATGAGTGTCTGTGAGAGGGGGGTGAGGTATGTGGTAAGAGCGGGGGATGGACGAAAGTGGCTGTAAGGAGGGGTGTCTGACCAGAACAAGAGGTCAAAGGCCAAGGAGGAGCTTATTGGATTTCAGCCAATCATTGAGCTGATCGATGGGCTAAAGAATGTGAAACATGAGACTTTTCCATGGGACAAGGGGACTGTGAATTGCCGGACTTCTTCGGACTTCTTCTGGGGGCCATCAGGCAGACACACCATTCTGCCGGGTGGCCCGGATTGGGCCTCTATTTCATGAAATATTATGTGATTAATAGTTTGATTCGGTTTGTAATTGTTTTTGCGTTTGTTAGTATATTAAATTCCTTTTGATACCGTGAGCAGACTCTGAGCAATTGCTGTAAACCAGCGCTATAAGGAGACCACTAAGTCATCAGCGTACATCAGATGGTTAATAAGACTTCCCCCACCATACATCCTGTCTTACACTCTTCTAACCTTTTAGAGAGATCATCCATATATAGATTGAAAAGAGCAGGTGGCAGTATTCCACCTTGTCGGACCCCATTGGTCACTAGGAAGGGTGCAGATACACTCTTACCCCATCTAGCGCGGGTGGTTTGATGCGAATACCAAAAGTGCAAAATCTTTATCAAATATGGAGGGACCCCTTGCTCTTGTAGTTTGAAAAACTATTTAGAATGATTAATTCGGTCAAAAGCTTTAGATGCATCCAGGAAACACATACATATTTTAGTGTTATGTCTCCTATACTTTCATATATACATACAGTTGTGTGAAAAAGTGTTTTCCCCCTTCCTGATTTCTTATTTTTTTGCATGTTTGTCACACTTAAATGTTTCAGATCATCAAACAAATTTAAATATTAGACAAAGATAACACAAGTAAACACAAAATGCAGTTTTTAAATGAAGGTTTTTATTATTAAGGGGGAAAAAAAAATCCAAACCTACATGGCCCTGTGTGAAAAAGTGATTGCCCCCCCTGTTAAAACATAAATTAACTGTGGTTTATCACATCTTTGGAAAGCTGAGTTCAATTTCTCTAGCCACACCCAGGCCTGATTACTGCCACACCTGTTCTCAATCAAGAAATCACTTAAATAGGACCTGCCTGACAAGGTGAGGTAGACCAAAAGATCCTCAAAAGCTAGACATCATGCTGCGATCCAAAGAAATTCAGGAACAAATGAGAAACAAAGTAATTGAGATCTATCAGTCTGGAAAAGGTTACAAAGCCATTTCTAAAGCTTTGGGACTCCAGCGAACCACAGTGAGAGCCATTATCCACAAATGGCGAAAACATGGAACAGTGGTGATCCTTCCCAGGAGTGGCCGGCCGGCCAAAATTACCCCAAGAGCGCAGCGACGACTCATCCAAGAGGTCACAAAAGACCCCAGAACAACATCCAAAGAACTGCAGGCCTCACTTGCCTCAATTAAGGTCAGTGTTCATGACTCCACCATAAGAAAGAGACTGGGCAAAAATGGCCTGCATGGCAGAGTTCCAAGACGAAAACCACTGCTGAGCAAAAAGAACATAAAGGCTCGTCTCAGTTTTGCCAGAAAACATCTTGATGATCCCCAAGACTTTTGGGAAAATACTCTGCGGACTGACGAGACAAAAGTTGAACTTTTTGGAAGGTGTATGTCTCATTACATCTGGCATCTGGCGTAAAAGTAACACGGCATTTCAGAAAAGGAACATCATACCAACAGTAAAATATGGTGGTGGCAGTGTGATGGTCTGGGGCTGTTTTGCTGCTTCAGGACCTGGAAGACTTGCTGTGGTAAATGGAACCATGAATTCTGCTGTCTACCAAAAAATCCTGAAGGAGAATGTCCGGCCATCTGTTCGTGACCTCAAGCTGAAGCGCACTTGGGTTCTGCAGCAGGACAATGCTCCAAAACACACCAGCAAGTCCACCTCTGAATGGCTTAAGAAAAACAAAATGAAGACTTTGGAGTGGCCTAGTCAAAGTCCCGACCTGAATCCGATTGAGATGCTGTGGCATGACCTTAAAAAGGCGGTTCATGCTCGAAAACCCTCCAATGTGGCTGAATTACAACAATTCTGCAAAGATGAGTGGGCCAAAATTCCTCTAAAGCGCTGCCAGTCTCATTGACTCATTGCCAGTTATCACAAACACTTGATTGCAGTTGTTGCTGCTAAGGGTGGCCCAACCAGTTATTAGGTTTAGGGGGCAATCACTTTTTCACACAGGGCCATGTAGGTTTGGATTTTTTCCCCCCTTAATAATAAAAACCTTCATTTAAAAACTGCATTTTGTGTTTACTTGTGTTATCTTTGTCTAATATTTAAATTTGTTTGATGATCTGAAACATTTAAGTGTGACAAACATGCAAAAAAATAAGAACTCAGGAAGGGGGCAAACACTTTTTCACACAACTGTATGTCTGTACTATGTTTATTTAAAAAAAACCTAATTGATTGTCAGTGGTTATCATGTATTCTTGAAGCCTATCTAAGAGAATGTGTTCTAATACTTTAGAAAGTACGCTAGCCAGAGCAATTGGTCTGTAATTTTCAATGCTGGATATGTTACTGGTTTTATCTTTGATTACTGGCACTAATAAAACATTCAGAAGAGTCAGGAAGTATGTCAGGCATTAACAATTGTGATGGAAGATTTCTATGTTAGTCAGAAGATGAGAGAGTTGTTCACAAATCAATAACAAAGTCTTCAAAAGATTCAAAGTTGTCTTTGTCTATTTATTTGCTTGCAAGTGAAGAGTGCACCACAGATACTCATTCAGCAGTCTGTGGTGTGAGCTTCAACGAGATACAACATTCAACATCCTTTTATACCTACAGAGGCCTCCGGCCTAGTCTGGTCTTATCCGATTCATGCAGGTAGCTCAACTGTGAGTCGGTTGTGGTGTCCATGTTGCTGTTTTAAACTACCCTTCCGAGAAGCTGCTCTTGTTTCAAACGACCCTTCCGAGAAACAGAGTATGTGAACATGTCTTCAGTTAAGACAACAGGTCTTTAGGTGCTGACATCTGTGTCTTGCAGGGCCTGTTTTTACTTCTCCATTATACCAAGATGTCACACTATGTTCTTTAAAAACTTTCCATGATGCTAATACATATTTTACCATTACACAATCCAGAAAAACACACAGCAAGTAACACTGGATTTCTATGGCTAGCATGCTTCAGATGTTCTGCTGTTATTAGGTCAAGGCCACATGCTTTGTTCACTGCCAATTTCTCAATGGCATACAACATGATGAATAATGATTCATCAGGTCTAATAAACACACCACCATCATTAGGAACATCACCAACATTAAATTCATCACTGTTAGAAATATCCCTATAATGTTTACTCCTCAGATCTGCAATACTTTCTGAACCAGTGGCCCCATCAATATTGGATAGCAAGGGCATCTTAATGTTCTTGGTAACCTTAAATCATGTAGACATTATTCTGCTGAAGCTTTTTGGCCATGGAGTTTGCCCTCATGACCTGCTCATTTCTTAAAAAACCTCTGTACAAACACATCATATTCACCAGAGTGGGGCAAGAGGAACTTTGTTGCGTTTTCATTTGCTTGGGTGCCAGAAGAAGAGCGATGTGTGCTATTTTACTCTGGCTGATATTCCCACAAGAGGCAGCTGGCGGAACACTCGTTTTCACATTTTCAGATGGGAAAGTGACGAGCCTCTTGACATAAAGCGCACAGCATATTTAAATCTAGCATTTGAGTGTTTCTTGACCATGTCTTGCTTTTCCTGATAAAACCCAGTTTTTAAAAGCTTCTTTATCCTCTGTATGGAGTTCAGACACATATTCATTCCATCCTGGCCTAAGATTATGCTGTTTAGACCTTTTTTGGCAGAATGATTCACTGCCATTATTTAGACAATTCACAATTGTATCATACATTATGCATAGGTCACTACTGTGGGTTTGGTTTTTAAAGTTAATGTTGCCACACAGAATTGCATGAAGTGGTATATCAATATTACTTAGGCTCTTATCAGTTAGTCAGTTGTAATGTAAATCATCTTCTGTGAGCTTTGACCTACTTTGTTCATGGTTATCATAGCTGGTCAACTCAGGTAGACTCAACATTTAATATCATAGACATGTGTGATCTGTTGTAGCCAGCTACTTTTCACTATTCTTAATTTGCGTTTTCAGATTTAAACCTGGACCTTTGGTGAAACGAGTTGTTAATGCTTGCCAATATTGGGCTAAAATAAATACTTGTATGGGCTTTTGCTGAATTGAGAAAACGACTTTCCTTGTCTTGGGTCATGTATTTATAGACCATGCACACTGGAGTTATACTTCCGTGTGATTTATCCAGTGTATGTGACCGTTGAGCTTCAAGGACAGATTACTACTCCAGGGCCCTCACTGGCCCCATATTCACTGTGCAAGTTAGTTTGTAGTTATTTGATTAAATTGACATTTGGTTTGCAGTATGCTCCACTAAAGCAGAATATGAACTGAAATGACACAATCACATATTCACAAAATGCATCAGAGCACTAAAAGATGGAGCCATCAATGCCATTTACATTTACAAATTTATTTATACATCACACAAGGAAATAAGTTGTTGCCATGTGGAGCATTAAAATATTTAGTTTTCTTCACTTTGGTGTTTTGCATGCAACATACATCATACTGTTCCACCGACTACCAAAGAGGGAAAAGGCTTGAAGAAGTTGTACAACTTGATTCACAGTGTGCCATGGAAACAATAATCAGTCTATGAACGGTTTTAATTGAATTGAACTCTCAAGCATTTACAGAACAATTACCCATCAATTCATGACCGTCCTGGTGACACAGTGCATGCAGCAATCGGAGTAAGTAAAGGTGTCTGGCTGTAGGTGAGCACACTGTTAACTTTTCTTCCCCCCCCAGAGGGTTTCACTCAGTCGTCGTGCTTCAACTTCCTGATCTTTCCCTTGTGGCGGTCGATCTCGCGTTGCATACGTTCAATCTCCTTCTTGTGGTGGTCGATTTCCTCCTGGTGATGCTGCTTCAATGCAGCCAGCTGCTCCTGCTCTTTACGCCTGGTGTGCAGATAGACGGATTAAGTGGTGGGTGACAACAGAGGAGCAAAAGGATAAAGAGTGAGAAAAGAGAGGGAGGGAACAGAGAATGGACAAAGAGACACAAACAGAGAGTAATCAGGTCAGTAAGAGATGCTCTTAATAAACAGACCCTTATACGGTTGTGGTCATTGATCAATAAAAAGATAGCAGAGCTATTTTAATCCGCATTTTGTTGCCGTAAAAGAAAGAAATGCATACTTAAAGTACATCTCCTCCTCAGCCGCCTGCTTCTTCCCCATGGCTCCACCTGCCTCTCTGATGGAGCCTCCACCGCCACCACCTTTTCCTGCACCTTTACCCAGCTCACCCAGCTGAAACAGGGCAGGGAGATGTTTAGTACAGGAACAAATGCTCTGTAGAGATCAATTTAAGAGACAGTATAGCTTCAAATGACACAATTACAAAGTTGATTCCTTCCGTGGAGTTTGTTAACAAGACTTGCCTGTGTGTTATTAAGGCAGAGGCAGTTGGACCATGTGAAAATGACCCTATTCTAAAGGTCAGTAGTGCAACAGGATTCTTTGTTTGCTAATAATAGAGGCACTAGGAACAGACCAGAAACTGTTTGTGTAACAATGCAAAAACATCAGAGGACAAAAACAAATGATAGAACTGGATTCCTTTCCAAATAAAGCAGTTTGACACAGTTACTGGTGTTATATTTAGACAAAACTTGCTATGATCTAAATAATCCTTTGTAATTGAGGCCATTGTTGTAAATCGGTCCTGAACTGCATTGCTACAAAAGTCTTCTGACCTACAATCATGTGACCAACAGTTGTTTCCCCACTTGTCAGACAAGCTTTCAATTAGCTGAGATTATTAGGCTAATTTATTTAAAACGCTTCTCACACAGCAGTAGCCTACGACACTCAAATGATGTGTTTCCAGGTCGTGTTTTACCTGGTCGGACGACATTCTCAGCTGTGAGGTGACAAAACTCCTGATGTTAGGCCTCAGAAACCTCGCCATGTTTAATACTCACGTGTGATAACACTTCTGACAGTTATTTTTCAACGGATCGTGTCCTTGTCCTCAAAATACGCCACAGGACGGCGCCATTATTAGCCAGACAGGGGGCGGGGCGACACCGGCAATGAGTTGGTCGAAGAGGAAATCGAGAGAAGCAACAATTCATATATTACCATACATACACCACGTAACCAAATACATTTTAATATGAGTAACAAGTCATTTAATATAGTGTAAAGGAAAACACGCTGTCCCTTTTTCGAAATGGTATGGTCTCAAAAGTGGGCAGCGTGTTTCCGGAAGTCCGCACTGATGACATCACGTTGATTTGACGTTTCATTTTTTTTTTATTACCTTGCAGATTTGACCAAATATTACCATAAACAGATCTAAAATGTTCCTGTTTTCTTAAAGCAATCAATATATTAAAACCACTGAACTACTGAATCGTCTGTTTATTTGAATGAATGCCTCTCATCTATAGTTTTATGGATACTTTGTTTTTTTAATTTTTCAACAATAAATTCTTATTTTTGTCTACATTACGATACTAATAACTGTCACGGACTTTGATTTTACTTCTTCATTATGTTCATTATTTTTCCAGGCTTTTGTTTTTTTATGTTGTTATTTGTTGTAATTACATTTTCAAATAAAGTTGTGGGGACAAAAGAAAAACCCTGAAAGAAAAAGAAAAACCTTGGATTTTGAAAAAATTATGTCTTAACTTGTAATTAGTTAAATATGAAAAAGCTACAATGAATTCAGGAAAAATAATTTCAGTTCACAGGCCTAAAGGTGGATGAGCCTTAAGTGGCACAAATAGTGCATTCATTTAAACGTATATGCCATATCACATGATTATTGACATTAAACTAAAATTCATCATTTAGTGAGAGACTCAGGATGCCTCAGTGTTCTGCTGAATGACTCAGTCAGATTTTTTAATGAACACCTTTAGATGTGGTTTAGACTGAACATCTTTCTGATGTCAATCATGATTCTTATGGCATTTTCTCATGTTTTTTGTCTGTTGTGCACAGAGTCTATTGTTGTCTATGAGTTTTTGGTGGCAAATTCGTTTAATAAAGTTTTCTAATCTAATCAAGGTGTAGGCCTATTACTGAAAATGGTTTTGGTAAGAGCTAAATGATGTAGCAATGCTCGGTCATGTTGAGATACACAAGATTACTTTTTCTTTTTATAACAATTTAAAAAAGAAAACCATGAAACAATCAGGAATGCTTTGAAGGATTTTATTCAATGCAGTAAAGAGAGTATGCAGTCCCCTCCCTGAACAAACCAAACACTGGCTTATGTGGTGAAAGGAACCTCGCGGACCCCCCCCCCCCAAAGTCCCCTTAAAGACTTTGCTTGCCAGGCAACTCCGGCCCAAAACCAAGAGAAAAAACTAAAACACAGCATCAACTTAAAATTTCAAACCACATTCAACAGTTTTCACAATTCACATCGTACTCCATTACTCTAACTCATTTAAGTTACATATGTACAGGTATGGTTGGAACCTTATCAGCAAACATATGCTTTAGAAAAAATAAAACAATTTCCCCGCAGTGCGTGTAAAAAATTATGTCTAAGCTAAACTCAAATGAAATATTCTGCACTGCTCTGTTCATAATGCGTCCATCATCTGAACAAAAACAGATAATCAGAGGCACTCACATTTGTCTCACCACGACTAAGCATCTACATAATGCCTTTGCAAAATTGAGAATTTGCGTCGATGACTAGATTAACGTTTTTACTCTTGAGCTTGCCCGGAGATGCTTTTAAAGAAGCAACGGCTGCACTTGAGAGACAAATCCAATTCTGGCCTGTGTATTTGCAAAAAGCATCGTCTCCAGTATGTTTGTAGTTTTCATGTCTGTTTGTTTTTCAAATCCACAATAAATAAAATCTCAGAATTCTGTAGGATTAACCACTTTATAAGCTTAAAAATAAACTGATGACTTTAACAGTTGGATGTCATGAACACATCACAACAGAAACACATAATTCTGTAAGTTAAATTTCAGGTTTTAGAATTAAATAGTCTTTTTTTTGTATTCTAAAAAGGAAATGTAAACAAATTATACAGAAATAGAATAATTTCAGAAACTAAACCTTCAGGTCAATCTGCAAAATGTGACCTGTGCTCAAACAATAGCTTTTTGCTAAACGCACATTGCCCAGCTGTATTGCTCTCAGCATGTGCATATTAGGTGTCTCTATAGAAAGAGTGCAGACTTAAGTTCAGGCTTAAGATATATTTTTAGGCTGACTTGTGCTGATATGTTTTGGTTTTGTTTAAAACAAAGTTTCAAAAGGGAACAAAACAGAAATTAGGGCAAGTAGAGAAATGACTAAAACAAGATTGGGTGGGGCGGGTTCGGGTGGGGCGAGCGGGCAGATGGTTAGAAAAAGGCCAGGGTGCATCACAGGGCCAGGAGCGGTCTGCGGAGGCCCTTTGGAGAAGGCAGCAGTCGGCCCTCCCCCTTCCAGCCCCATCAGTCCTGCTTGATGCTGCCCAGTGCTCTAAGGCGCTCCAGCAGGGGAGGGTGGGAATAGTGCCACATGGAGAACAACCAGTCAGCCACGGGGAAGCCCAGGTTGTCCTTGTTGAGCTTGATGAGGGCAGAGCAGAGCTCGGAGGCTTTGCCCATGCCGCGTGCAAAAGCATCTGCCTGGAACTCGAACCTGCGACTCAGGACTGTCAGACAGAAGGACAGGAGCTGCGAAGAAAGATTATATAAAAATCTCAATTCGCAAGGACCTCTTTTGTGAAACAATATATATATATATAAAACTCAACAGCTCAGAAATGGACGGAAACAATGTAGATAAATGCCACACTCACCTCATTGTACGGGGAGAAGATGAACTGGAAGATAATCATCAAGCCTATTAATGTGGGTTGGCTGTCATTGAAGCCAAAAGCTACAAACAGCTCCTTGCGTCCAATCAGAACAGCAAACAGGGAGAAGCACAAGAAGGAATTCATCTGCAGAAACAACAGAGTCAGCAGATGTTATTTGCATATCAACTAACGTCTAAAATGTCTGCATTTGATCATATGTAATCAGGCCAACTTGTAATCTTGGTGCCAAAAGAAATATGAAGAAAATGAATCACCTGACTGATGACGATATTCTTGACCATGTGGCCGAGTTTCCAGTGGCCGAGCTCATGACCCAGGACAGCAAGGATCTCAGAGTTGTTGCATCCTTGTTTCTTGTTCTGTAAAAGTAAATGTAAGGGAACAACTGTTCAATTACACAGACAGACATTACAATCATATGACTGCCAGGTCCCTACAACATGCAGATTGAACATTAATAGCTATATGTGCTGTTGACTCAGCGTTAATAGTAAATGTAGTCGATTGATACAATAAATTCCTCAGTGTGCACTTCATTGAGAGAGAGAAAGCAGAGTTTGCAACTGCAAAATGTGCTGGTCTCTCCACCTCTGGGTAGATGCTCTAGATCAGTGGTCCCCAACCACCGGGCCGCGGACCGGTACCGGGCCGTGGATCATTTGGTACCGGGCCGCACAGAAAGAATAAATATTATATTATTTCCGTTTTATTGATTATCAGAGTGTGAAAGAAGTTTTATTTTGAAAAATGACCGGATTCTCTCGCAATTTCATCTGCCTGTTCCTCTTGACACACGTCAAGACGCTTGTCTCGGTCACGTGATACGTTACCTCAAAAATGAAGCCCACAAACTAGCGAAAATGAGTAAATAACTTTTGGAGAGCTTCTTTGCAAAGGGGAAAGGGCCACTAAGGAGAGAGAAGAAGAGCCGACAACTTCCAAGAAAATGAAAGCTTCATTTAACAGACAATATCAGGACTCTAATTAAATATCAGGAGTAATTCTGACGCGCCAAACCCGCTCTGCAGAATATGTGGCGATAGAGGAAGATCAACTGCTGGAGATTGTAAATGATGGTGGCCTTAAAAGTATGTTTGAGACAACAACTCTGCTGGTGTTTTGGATTAAAATCAAGGCTGAATATCCTGAGATCGCCACTAAAGCACTGAAAACCCTGCTTCCATTTCCAACATCCTCTTTGTGAAGCGGGATGTTCTGCAGTGATGGCAATCAAAACAAAATGACGGAGTAGACTGGACATAAGGAACACACTTCTGGTGTCATTGTCTCCCATTACCCCAAGATGGGACCGTCTCGTTGCAGAGAAACAAGCTCAGGGCTCCCACTGATTCAGCGTTATTGTGAGTTGTATTTATTTATGCATTTTATATTTGTTTTCATGCCAATCGTATCATTTCATTTCGGCGTGTTTTTCCGCCACACCTTAAAGGCCGGTCCGTGAAAATATTGTCTTACATGAAACCGGTCCGTGGTGCAAAAAAGGTTGGGGACCTCGGCTCTAGATGGCGCTCAAAAACAGAACTTCCAAACCTGTTGTAAGTTCAATTGAGGGCATAAAGTTAAAAAAAATAAAAATAGAACTTCCTTGCTCTCTTTGCTTGCATTGCATGACATGGCAAATATTGGATGGAGAAGTTCAAAGAGTCGATGTATGTCGATTAGTTTGGGTGCCGTTTTACAAAAATACCAACGAAAACCAACAATTCCTAAAAACCCTTTCCATGGCATGTACAGAGCCCTGGTTCGTAAGAGGGCAACAAGAAGTGTTCTGAATAAAGTTCATGGATATGTGACCTTGGGCGTGGCTTTGGATTCGTTGGACGCGTCCTCTCTCTCCGGCTGCTCAGGGTGTGGCTCTCCAGACTTGTTAAGCGGCGAGTAGTCTTCCAGCAGAGTGTCAAACAGTACAATGCGTTTGTTCTTGAAGAACCCATAGAAGTATGCATTGCTGTGTGACGAACGCTTAGAACCTGGATATAGATAAAAAAAAACATTCAGGACAATTTAAGAGCGGTTCATCTACAATCAACCTGTAGAAATATTCATCTGAAAAACAAAACATATTTATAATGTGATAATGACAAGTTCTCAAAGAAGAACATGAAACTTTGATGATTTAACAGGTATGTAGCTCGAGATGAAGTCGTCTTACTTTACCTTCAACTACATAGACCTTAGTGAGGGGGAAGCTGATACTCTTGGACATGGACTCAATGTCCGCCTTCAGCTCTCCTTCTGGCAAAGGAGCGAACTTGTCAAACAGGGGAGCAATATAGTCCGCGTAGATTGTGACAAGCACCTGAGAACACAGGAGGAGAGGATTGAGGAGTTTTTAGTACCAAACAACCAGCCAAAGTGCAATTACAGAGTGAGTCCATTATCACAGAAGAACACTAGTTGAACCCCACTAACCAGAGAAACAGCCAGGGTGAAGAGCCAGGCATAGATGAAGAAGTAGTCTCCACCAATCTTGATGATGTAGAGGAGCAGCGAGGTGACGGGCAGCAGGATACACTGGGTCACGATGAACTTCTTTACAGCATCCTTAAAGAAGAACCCCAACGTCTGAGAGGAGCACAAGACATTCATATTAAAAAGGAAAAAGGTGGAGAGTAGAAAAAGATGTGTGTGCATTTGAATGACTGACTGTAAAAAGTTTTTAGTTTAGTTCCCGGAGAAAGCTGCTTGAATTTATATCAGTTGCAATCACTTATAATGGTGAGAAGCTTTCACAGTTAAAAATAAAGAGGTCCTTTAGCATTATTTCATCTTTGCTCTCCATCTGCATGATTTTTATGTTTCCACTGTTCATTGTTTGCCTAATTACAGCTAAAACACAACTTCCATTGCAGCGTTGGACTTCATAAGATGATAGTGTGACACATCTCAAATACATGTTGGTTACGATACATTATAGCTGATGAACCCAAGATGATCGCAGCTGCTGCTCTTCTTCCTGAGGAAGGAAACAACAAACATTTAACAACCACATGTCAGGCCTACAGAGTCAGTGTACCTGCTGGTTAAAGCCATGCTTCTCCTCGATGACGAACGTGTTGTACACACTCCAGGGAAGTCCGGTAAAGGCACTGAACAGGGTGGCAAGAGTCAGAAACAGGAGCGACTGGGTGATCTCGTACTCTGAACCAAATCCTACGCGAGTCATCACAGAACCAGCAACGTCCCACAGAAATGGGATTCCACCCAGGAGCAGGATCAACTGAAACATGTTGAGAACAGCATAAGGTCATTACATATCAAACACGGGGTATTAACATAAATAATGAAAATTGGTGACATAAACAATCCGAGTAATCTGTCCCATTCGATGTCCATTTGAAGTGACATAAGTGATGCACAAACGTGTTGAGACTCACAGCTCACATATATTAAACACATCCTCAGTAACCGACTGTGACAGTACAAGTCAAGCAATCGATGGCTTTCTATTTAAATGGTTGTATTACCGTCCCCTCAGTCTCAGAATAGAGTCCAGACCAGAAGCTGAAGTTGCTTTTATCCAGCTGATACAGACGCGACTTCTCAAATGTTTCAGAATCCATGATCTTCCAGAGTTCCTGTGGCACACTTGTTGTTGATCTGTATGTCCTCCTCTGTGAAGGGGGAAGAGATCAGCACCAACGTTACACATCAGGGTATTTATACGGTTAGCTCAAGATACAGATTATAGATTTATGGGACATAGTGAGGAAAAATATTGTAAAATGACCTCAACGAATATCCAACCTTCTTCTTAATCTTTCTTGATTTTATGGGTTAATATATTGTTGAATTCATTACCATCCAATATTACTTTGGGAAATACACGAAATTAAGCAAATTGCTAATAATTATTGCTTTTTTTCATTTAAAATGACTTCATCAAACTGCACTTTTGATTCAGCCTGCCACAATATCATGTTTCTTGGGGAAATACACTTAAATCAGGAAACCAGTCAAAATATGCCATTTTATTGTGTCTTCACCAAACTCGGTAAAGAAGAGACTTCAATTACAACATTCAGAACGTGTAGGGTTTCAACGTGTATTGTAGTAGAAACATAAATGTCTGCCAACATCTGTCTACTTAACCCACAACACGGATTTAATATAAAAAAGGTGAAATATTACCAAAGAGAACTGTGTGCAGAGGAAATGTTGTCATTCATTGTCATAGAGAAATTACATTGCAAAAAACTGCTGATCAGTGGTGAACTGACAATGTGTAAGTTTATCTTGTACAGTCACAGTATATTTACACAGGCTCGTGCACAGGCTAGCTACAAAGCAGGAACTTTGAGAGTGATGCTGTCTTACCTGTCTGTAAGAAAGGTAAGCTTCCCATAGATACACCGTCCACGAAAATCCCAAAACAGCATAAAATATCTGCTTCTCCACCGGCAGGTCCAGTATATGTTCAACCATCTTTGCTCTGTTTTTGCTCTATGGTGTTGGAGCAGGGTTGACTAGCTCGCAGGCTAACGATGAGGTTAACGTCACCTAGCCTGACTGCTAGTTTTAGGCTAGCAGCTATTTAGCTTCCACTCTACACACAAACAGAGACAACTTTAAAGTTGAATAAAGGGAACACCGTTTCCACGTTACATCGACAGATACCGACTCAAAGTGCAAACTACGACATCCATACATCCAGTTTCCATTCCTAAATTCAGGCTTTTACAGCTATCATTCTATTCATGCGAGATGCGAATCTGACGGCGAGGTGCGTCAACAAATTCTGCCCCTGTGGAAACGCCTACTACAGCTTTAGTTCCGCCACTCATTTATTGTCCTTACACATTTGTAAGTTAACCACTAGTGTTAATACGAACTCATATGAGCAGATAGTCAAAATACATTTTTGTTTGATACATGGACTTTTATTTTCGGTGTTAACCAAAACGTTAAATGACGTTATCCAGAGTCTAACTTAAACAAGAGAAGTGTAAACGACAGTGGTGGGCCGTCAGGGCCAGCAAGGCCTTCTCTGCTGGCCTAAACAGAATCACAGTTATAACTATTTTATAATTTAATAATTCTTAAATACACTACATGTATTATAATTTACAGAAATATTTTTCCCATTATCTTATTTTCTCATTGCACAGCTCCTGTCTTCCTCAGTTGCTCTGCTTCCAGTGCAGCTTGTTTTAAGTAGAGCTTTTATCCTTTCAGATTTCACCTCTGTGTCTCTAGGTAAGAAGAGAGGCCCGAGGGCTTCAGACTCACAAGTGAATCCCTTTGCAGTTTAATTGAATGGGGACGATATTGTTGATTGTCATAGTCTTCAACCAATCAGATCTTTAGTTTGACGTGTCAGAGCCTTCTCGCTGGCCTAAAAGTAGGTCAGCATTAAAGGGCAGGTCAGTTTTAAGGTGCAGCACTGTAGTAAGGTACAGCGTGTGCTGTGATTGGTCAGTGGGCAAGCACGTGACTATTGTGAAACAAAACCTCACAATAACTTCACAAAAACTAAGCCATCAGAGGCTTAGTCGGAGTAGTAAAAGTTCAAATTGAAAGATATGGAAGAAATTACATTTTTTTGTATTTTGCTTGGTGTAGATTATTATTTTTTTAACACTCAATGGCTAAAGGAGGAGAAACGGATTTGTGAGTTGGGATTTAACTCTGTCAACAAAGGAGGATGGAGTTTGTCTTTAAATGAACAGCATTTGGTAAGTCAACTGCGTTTGTTTTTTTACATCTAATATCTGAATGGCCCTCGAGTGTGTAGCAGAAAGCGTGTTCCGCTGCAGGTCTGCTGGATTGATTTGTCATGCTTTGTTGTCATATGAATATATGTGACTAGTTCTTGTGAGTTTGTTGTCATTGTGTTAGTTATATAGATTTGGACGATATGCATTGTCCGTTAATTACGAAGCATACCGTCATGCGCGGAGTTATTATTTGTTAAGCTAGTTTAGCGTAGCCTCCCAGAAAGAAGTGCGGTGCCTCAGCTGTCTTGTTTTGGGTTTTTTTGTTCCGGGTTCAGAGGTCACAAAGCCCGTTGTCTCCTACGTGAGCGCAGTCCACCGAAAACATATTTCCCACAATTTAAGCTTCTGCATTTTCCCAATGCACTAGTATTATTCAAACGTATTGTTCGGTTGGTAAGCCTTGTACCGAACGGTTTAATACGAATACGTGTATTATTACACCTCCTATAAATAAATAACCGTAGCTGTGGCGCCATCATAAGGTAGATGATGTGAAATCATTCTCCCACTGTGTACAATATTGCACTGCATGGCTCCAATGTTATATGTAAAACATTAATTCAACAGAGATACTCTCCTCTGATAATAGCACCTCATTGTGTACCATTAATAGTAAATACTATATTCCAGGCAGTGGAATAACACACATGATATTAAATTAATTTAAGTGTATTTTAGCAAACAGCACTTACAATGCCATTCCAGAGACTTTGTAGATAAAAAAAAACAAAAAACAAGTCACTTACACAATTCAGAAAGTAAAAGGGCTTTATATTCATTTCCACATTTATTTATTTAGAAAGTTATAGATACATGTCAACATCTGTCCACTGCATCCCAAGACTCATTTCATATAAACTGAAGTGGAAAACAACCAAACATATTCCTCACCATTTCTTTAGTAAGGATATGATTTTTTTTTTTTAAGTCACATTTTTACACAACTGAGAAGGCCTTGCAATACGCTACTGACCATTTCTAACGATCTGAAAATCTGTACATTGTCTTGGGTAACTACAGTATATACACTTGTGATCATAATGAGTGGACATAACAGGTGTTATCTGAACGCTCTCATTTAACAGACGTCTAAAAAAACAATCCACTTGGATTCAATGTGCACTGTTTAAGCTTGTTTGTATCTCAATGCTAATAACATTTCTATAATTATTCAGTTTGGCAACAAAAAAAAAACAAAACAAAAAAAAAAAAAAAACAGCCAATACTAATATTTTGGGAGAAAGAAAAATACTGGTACAGATTGTGAAAATACAAAGTCATTTGACATAGCTATGTTAAAAAGGTGCTCAGTTAAACTAACTTCCAAGAAGCAGTTTGCTGCTGTTGGTGTCTGATGGGAAGACGTCAGGCAGGGTGGTGCTGCACACCGGCCTCCCCAGGACCACCACAGGTCTGAGGTACTGAAGCTGCTTAATAGCCAGGTCCCCACACCCAGCCAGGGCTTTGTCCAAGATGGACTTCAAGTTTAGGATTGATGTGAAGTCTCCCGTCATAGCGTGGGGCTTCAGCAGTGGGGAATGAGTGCGCCTGCTGCGGGTGTGAGAGATTCCCAGCTGGTTGTTCTCCTTAACGGAACAACCGCGTCTGGAAGAGTCTCGCCGTTTCCCCGACATGGCGTTTTTGTCTTTCGGGGTCGTCTCTTGTATGAACCTCAGGAACGAGGACTCGAAGCCAGTCGGCTTGTAGGCGGCGGTGTCGAAAGGGCTCGGAGAAGGGCTACGAGAATGAGTATCTTTCAAGTTCGCAGGCGGTTCGGACAATTCGTTTTTCCGTTTTAACGGCTGGCGAACAGGAGGTGGGGGCAACGGAGGCGGACCGTTCAACATTTTACCGCCGTCCTTGGTGCTCGACACGTCCTGGAAGCCCTCCTCGGCAGTGAAGCGCAGTGAGCACGGTGGAGAGAGGTCAACGGTGAGGGGACGAAGAAGAGGTTTGATTTTATCCAGGCTTAATCTCTCCTCCGCTTTCTGACTGTTCTGCGGCGCTGCAGCCGTGTCTTCAGGGTGCCCACCGGTGCTCGGCTCCCCGTAGAGCACCTCATCCGCACCAACAAGGACTCCGTTTCTCTCAACGAGTGGTGGCTCCTCCTCTTCCTCCTCTGGGAACCCCAGTGGATCGTGATTGGCCTCCTCCTGTGGGTCTGCCTTGATGGAGTGTAAGCTCACGGGTGCGGGCAGCCCCCCTGTGTTTTCTGGCTCCGCCTGATACTCCATCTTGCGAACTCCATTGGGGGAACACGCTGCCGTGACCGTTGGTCTGGCCGACTTCCTCTGAATCAATTCCTCCAGCTGCTCGGCGTTAAAAACCAGCTCATCTCCGTTCCTAGAAAGATATTCCCTCCGCATGCGGTGAACGCTCAGGTAGTGACGCTCCAAGCTCTTCAAGTACGTGACGACAGAATCGCAGTCCTGAACCATGCACGGGTAGGCCACACGCATGCAGCGATCTTGGCACATCTGCAGTGCTTCTTCATGAGACCTGAAGACATAACGGATGTGACTACTTCTTCTCTCTCCCTTTTTTGCTCCTGAGACCTCACCGTTCTCCTCCACAGCCACCGCCTCCTCGCCCATTTCCTCTGACTGGGGGGTCACTTCAGGCGTTGGACTCGATCCCTCTGCCTGCATGGCGGCTGAACCGGGTTCTTCTTTCGGAGGACTCTGTGGTGCGACGATGAGCTTCTTTTGGCATCCAGTTATTGACTTTTTGTGAGTGCTCTGCAGACGTACCACCAGTGAATCGTAGTACTCGCAGTGACTATAAAGTGTATGTTTCTTAAGTGCTTCATTGTGGCTGAACACGCTTGTACATCCTTCAAAGTTGCACCTTATTAGCTCCGGTGGGGGTGAGTGTGTCTCCCGAGTGTGACGCACTAGGCTGCTTTTCAGGTGGTAGGAAGCGTTGCAGTTGGCAAAGTGACACTTGTACTGCGGCTGAGGTTCATCGGAGTTCGGGAGAGGCCTCTTCTTGGCGGGCTCTTTTCGGACTTCTGGACCGGGGTGCGCATCAAAGTCCTTTTCCAACAAGAGCTGAGAGCGATTGTAATGATGGATCAGCTGTAGGTGGCGTACCAGGCCTCCCTGGGTGGAAAAAGCAGCGTCACAGTTTTTTGCTACACAATGAAAGGGTTTACTGAATTTATCCAATATATAGCAGAGATTACTTTTGGCTACCAGACGCCTCGTAGTTCTGACCTGTTGTGTGCTCGTATCCTCACTCTCTCCCTTCTGCTCGGTGTCCTCTTTCCCTTCTGCTTCGTCCTCTCCTTCCTCCTCAGACGGAGAATGATTGTCAAGGTTTTGTCCATTTGCGGTTGAGTTTTTTTTCTCTGGTTGGCGTTGCAACTTGGGGATCTCTTTCTTCCATACTTTCAGACCGTGGTTCGCCAGGTGCTGAGATGTATGTTTTTTAGATGCACAGCTGATTTTGTTCACCAAAGTCACACTCAGTTTATGCATCTGAATATAGTGAGCCCTCAACACATGTTTTTCTCTGTGACCCTTGGAACAAAGGTGGCACACGTAAGGCTTAAAAGACGTCGTTTTCAAAGAAGTCATCGTTCTGGCCTCCTCTACACTGCGGCCATGTTGGGTGTTATAGTGTCGCTGCAAGCTGTAACTCTGAGCCGTCCTGAAGCCGCAATCTTCACAGACATAAGGCTTAAATGCGGGCATTGATTCAACGCCGTCTTCTTCATCATCCGATGTCGCTTGTTCAGTTTTGACTTTGACCGTCTCCTCAGGAGGGGGCTTCTTCTGAATCAACACAACCGGAGGCTTTGCCATGATGGCCTGATGAAGAGATATTTGGGATGCGGTGGACTCTGGGTTGGACTGCTCGCTTTTCACACTGTGAGGCGGCGAAGAATTCAGGTCCAGTTTACCGAGCCCAACAAGGATCTCACTCAGAGCATCGTTTTCAGTTTGAAGGCCTAAAGAGTTTGTTCCATTATTGTCGGGATGAGTGGCGTCTTTGCTTTCTTTGGCAGCCTCCATGGGTTCTAACTCCTCTTTTCCCTTCTCCTTACTGTCCGGCTCAGTCTCAGTCTTTATCCCTCTGGACTTGGAGCCCCGCTCTTTGTCGTGCTTGTGCTCCCTGTTCTCCAGTTTAAGGTGTTCTGGGTGGGCACATTTAAGATGTCTCTGGACATCTCTGGCTCTGGAGAAAGTCATGCCACACTTCTCAAAACCACAGGTGAACTTACTTCCATCAAAACACACCGCAACTAAGGTCATCGTGGCTTTGGGCTCCTTGCTGTCAGGTGCTTGCAAAGATGAGGCACAACTTTCTGCAGAAGCACTTTGGTCTTCTCCATTCTCAGTCTCTTCTGCATCGACGGACTTATTAGGGCGGATTGTTGCTTCAGTAACCATCTTGTGAAATTTCCGCTTCGCCTTCCTCTGAGCCTCAAAGTCTTCTTCGGAGAAGGTGATGTTGTGCGTGGATAAATGCGTCACGAATTCTTTTTTGGATAAATAGTATTTACTACATTCGGCGCTAGAGCAGGTAAACGCTGCGTCTCTGAAATGTTGCGCTTCGTGGTGATAAATCTGTCCCAGGTCGGAGCACGTGACGTAACAGTCTTTGAGGCCACACTGGTAGTTCAGGTGGTAGCCGTGGACCTGTTTGTGTGTGACAAGTTCATTGGAAGTCCTAAACTGAGCGCCGCAGCTCATAACCGCACATGTGTAAGGCCGATCGCCGTAGTGAACTCTTCGATGTTTGCGGTGATGGTATGCGGAGAGAAAATGGCGTCGACAAAAAACACACTTCTCCCGCTGGTCCCTCACCTGATGAAAATATTTCACATTGTCGTCGCCGTTGTGCTCCGACTTTAAATGGACATACAGGTACTTGGAATGTTTAAAAGTCCGAGTGCACCCGGTTCCTGGACACGGGTACTCGTCCCGGTTCTGCACACTGAAGTGTTGGTCGATGTATTCGAATGTCACATGCTCGTCATTGTCCACGTTCTTCTCCTTCACCGTTTTGGCTTGTTGCACGATGTGTTGCAGCACTTCTGGATCATGTGTGGATTTGTAATACTGCATTAAGGAAGGGTCAATGGTGATCTCACCTGGTTCTATATCATCGTCCTCGTCCGGCCGCCTCTGCCCGTCCTCTTTCTTTATGTTGTTTTGGTTACGGTGCGTTTCACTCTGCACATGGTCTCTCAGATGAGGAACGAGATCCTTTCTGTGCCTGAACTTTTCCAAACACAGCGGGCAGGGGTGGCTGTTGTCCTCTGCGTGTCTTTTGGAGTGGCGAATGATTTGGGCGTCAGTGACCGACCTCTTACAAATCTGACAGCAGAACCTGTGTTTCTTTGTCTCTGATTGGCCGGGGATTTCTGCCGAGTCAGAAGATTGCTTATTATCAAGCTGCTCATGACCGTCAACACTTCCATTTATCTTCATTTCATGCTCAGATTCTACTTTCACTGTGACTCCCCGTGGCTCATGTTGTCTAACCTTCTCTTTTTGGTCTACCACCTCTTCTTCTTCTTCTTCCCCCTCGGACTCCGGCATCACCCCCAGAAGGGAGATGCAGTGACACTTGAGAGTTTTCCAGTCCCAGAATTCCGGGTCAAAAGGCCAGTATGCTTTCAGAGCGAGTAGCAGCTCGCAGCGTAGCGAGTTGGGAATGACCTCGCTTTCCTGGTCGTACTTTTGGTCGGGGCGTAAGTAAAGCTCCCGAAGAGACCCGAAGACGTCCTGGCTGGGGCCGAGCAGGAACTCTGTGAGCAGGCAGGCACGCAATACTTCAAGGTCCACTGGAAGTAGGCAGGACACCGTCTTACAGACGGAGATCCTGGATTCTGAGTCATCCTGCTTTGGAAGTTGAAGGGCTTTGACACAAAGTTCTACTGATGCAGGTACCCCCATTGCCTCCGTCTGAAAATAAAGGGATATATTGTTAGAATTAGTCCCTTTAAATTATCATTGGGTATCCTTTTTATTTTAAAATCACACACCGTTTAACATTCATCACATTCTGCAAAAAATAATCAGCACATTCTGTGCGGACCGTCGCTCTATATGCAGGTTCACACCTTTAAAACACAGATAATCTATTGTGAAGACAGGACGTTTTCAGCCTCCCTCATCATTATCCCCAAACAAGCATCAAACAGCAAAGACTCGAATGTGTGAAAATTGTGTAATTTTCTAAAATAGTTCGCAGACTGATATCTTGACATCTTCAGATGTGGTGGAAACACAAACAGGAAGTGCTTGATAAGAAAGCTTTTAGTTCCTGTGGTCTCATCTTGCGCTAGAGACAATTCTGACTGAACTGACCTGGACAGCCTGGTGGAAACGCGGCCTGACTGGTTCAAAGGGAACCCCATATAACCAAAGCACCGAGTCAAATAGACAGCATGGCTGTTGGGCTCACCTCTGTCTGAATGATGCGGACCAAGCAAAGCAAATGGTGGACGGTTTTGGCAATGGCACCTAGCTGAAGGCATCGTTCCAGGAGAGACATCGATGAGGGGTCGATCCTCTTCTGAAGCTTACTCCACAACAGAGTCAACTCCCTTTGGGTGGAAAAAAGAAGAAAATAAAGTTATATTAAAATGTTCTTTTTCTTAAAACTATACCCACACCTGACTGACTCTCTGATGACGACAACAATAACAATAGAAACAACTTATTAGTTCAGACACCTTTCATTTGACCGTAGCCATAAATACATAATGGACTTTTCATGCAGTCACTACTCACCAGGAGCAGTAAAGGCTCTGCTGCTGGAGCTGCTGTGTCAGGAAGGTTGTGCACAAGATGAAGGCGGTGTTCTCCTCCCCCTCCGTCTCCAAAGTACACGTGATCTCCAGCACATCCTTACAGTCAAGTCTGGATATCTGTTCATGGAGGAAACACAATGCTGACAGCTTAGAAAACAGGAAAGACAACACACCCAAAATACAGATGACAGCAGCGCAATTCTCCAATGTTATTCAAGATTCTTCATAATGTGAAGTAGAAAAGACAATATTTAAGCTTTTATATTTAGATATGTATTTAACTCTTTATAATTCAATATCTTGGTCCATTATATGCTTTAAAAGTAAGGAAAGGTTAGAATACGGTGTTGACGTGTGATCCTTTAACAGCTCTGAAAGCACAATCATCTAAAACTGGACAAACAAGGTTTTAACTGACAGCATACTGAGAGATGTGGGGGAGTGGAGACAGACGTCAGTACAGAGGCAGGACCACACCATGAGTCAAACGAGGACTTATAGTGAGAGTATAAAGACAAGCATCTCTGGTTTAAACTAATAACTCCATAAAAACTGCACAGATCGTTGCCTTATGATGAGAAAAGCAGTGGCGATGCTGTGCCTCAGTCTACAGACCTCTTAAGCCTTTTTAACAGAAACCTCCATTTGCATGGGAATTTGGGGCTCTATTTTTGGAGACTGTGCATTGTATAAATAGACACCTTTTTAATAGTTATCTTTAAAAGATTTGACTCGCAAATATGTCCACATTTGAATAAAATCAATGTTATATGACCAGTACTTCAATTGCTTAAGTATATTTTTGCTGCTGTAACAAACTAATGTCCCCTTGCGGGATGAATAAAGTATCTATTCATCTATCTAGGGAGAGAATTACCGTCCCTGTGGGTGCGCATGTGTGTGTGTCTCTGTCTTCTGACAATAGATGCTGCTTCATCTGGACTCCGACAGACTCTGACAGCCTAATGAAACCCCTCAACACATCCTGCCAGAACCATGCGTCTCTTCGTGCATGTTGAGCAGAAGACATTTAAACCATTTAACCATCACTAACTGTTTAGACCTCTCATGCGATCTAGATCAAAAAAAATGTAGCGAGTAGCTTTCACAGCCAACTCACTGTGTGGATCCATTTCTCTTTGTTTGCTGTGAGAGCATCACGCCTATAACTGAAGGTCTAGTGCAAGTATTCCTCTCCCTGTTCACAAACACAAAGTGTTGGAATACCTCCATGATGGCCTCTTCATTGGGCAGCAGGTGACAAAGCAAGGAGACAAATGTTTGACGAAACGTAGCTTGGTTGGAGATGACGCTGCATTCGGTGCACGCTTTGGCCAGCACCACTGCCTTGGCCACTTCACCCATCTTCTCCAGGTGCTTCACCCGCATCTCCATGAAGCCCTCGCCCTCCAAGCTGATGTATGCATCCACTGGCGACAGAATGCAAAGAAGATCCGATTAGCAGACGACCATGACACGGACAATAAGCGCTAAAAAGGAGTCACGTCCAAATGAAATGAAAAGTTAACTGTATTCAAACCTTCTTCGAGGTTGGTGGGCTGGCCGGTGAGGAGAGATGTAAGGACAGGGTTGCTCCACGCTCCTCCCTCTCCTGTGATCTGGAGTAAAGCTTGGAGGTCTGTGCTTCCATACTGTAGCAAGGTATCATGGGCAATCTGCAGTGGACACACAATCAATGTTAGAGCCAAATACAACTATTTGTTTAGCTCCTTCTAGGAAATTAGACAAATAATCCTAATATATTTAGCCATATTTTGCAAACCCTGAGTTTCTCTGCGTCCCTTACAGAGACAGTTTTACTTCCTCATTGATTCCGTCCGTGCACGTATCAAAGGTTCACTGTATGTCACAATCAAAATCCTGTTTCAATAGTTTGTTACTCGGGACTATCTGAAGCTACCGCTTTTATGTGTTGTCAGCCATTTCTTTGAACGTTTTTTTTGTCATCACATTCAAGTATTACAGAGCATCAAGTCACTCTCAGCTGAGACTAACATCTCTGCATGTCCTTTTTGAGAGTGGACATTGTTTGTTTATATAAACATAAAACGCTGTGACTCTGTGCACACAGACATCTGTCAGTTGACGTCAGCAGTCACTGTCGGAACATAAATACTATATTATTTGAGATTACATGTTAATATTTCTGAGTGAGCAGGATTGTAGTGCAGCTGCAGAATGTAGTTGTAAAGTGAGTTTTATTTAAATAGGCTGTGTGAAGTCTGAATGTGTATTAACAGGATTTCGTTAACTGTTTAAATTTACTACATTTGAAGTTGAAATAAAGCCACTAAATGCCGTTGAGCCAAGATCCAAATAGATGCTGACAAAAATGCAACATCTTCTTATTTGAAATTACATCAAACTATGTAGTTCTTGTGGATAATATACCAATATTAGCACTGTGCTTTATTTCTTACAGCGACCCAGAAGGGCACAACCTAACAGCAAAAAACAGTACATTTTCAAAACCTATATTAATTAGATTAATGTCCGTGTGGCAATGAGTTCGCATGGCTCTTCATAGTATGTCACAGTTTTGTGCAGGAAGAATGTCTTCATATATAACTGTCTACCAGGGATAAGTTAGATGTTATAAACACTGGTGGTTTAGACTCAACAGAGAGGAAACAGAAATTAAACACCGCAATCTGCACCAGCTCGGGGCAGTTTTCGTCAGCCTGCTATCAGAAGGCTTTTGATAACACCTGCTGAGGCCCGAACAGGCTTTTTTTCTTTGAAACACATTATTTTTCCTCGAGGAAAAGTCTGCAACTCATCGGCAGACAGTGTTTTGACATAAGTTCCTCTACCTGAACAGAGTGGTGGAACTGAACCCAGGCTTCATACGGGATTTCATTCTCAGGCACTGACAGCAGCAGTTCAAAACAGCTCCTTCAAGAAATGACAACAAGATTACAGTCATTTCTATTCATCATCATCATTCTGGACAGTTTTATTCCTAACCCATGAAAAAAGAAAAAGTGCATCTATGAAGTCAGGACATATTCATCCGATACTACTTAAATGTATGGTGGTACAACAAAGTGTCCTCTAGCTCTGTATCAACGTTTCAGAAGAGTCAACTTCACATATCCAAACATTAAATATGTCAAAAAGGATTGTTTGAAAAGGGAATGAACAGTGGTGACATGTTGTTTAGGTTGCATCACATATACTTTTCACAGCTGTCAGCAGTAGTTAAATTTAACCATTACAAGGAAACTATTAAAAGATCCTTCATGTAAGACTTTGTATTCAGATTAAAACAATAAAACAACCAACATTCCTCACACCAAAACATCTGCATATGTTAGGAGGGTGATGGTAGCAGTAGTGTGGGCTCAGCGATGAACCAATAGACATTATGAACCTCTGGACGACCTTATCGGTAAATAATCATTTGCAGCATGAACCCTTCAATGTACAACAAGAATCACGTCTAACCAAAAGTAACAATCCATCACTGTCAGTCTGTGCATGTGAAGAACAGAACTGTCTATTATCCAATGTACAGATAAGTGAAATGTTCAAAGCAAATGAATACTACATTAGGTAAACTAATGATTGTAGGCTGGTGTTGCCAGGCTATTAAAGACAATATTTTATCCTTAAATCCAGATGGTGAACAATTAAAAGGCTCCACAACACAAACTGCTAAGTATGCACATAAGATAAACAATACTCGCTATAATTAATATGCTTTTTTTTTTTTTTTATTGGATCCATTGTTCAGTACTCACAAAGCTAGTCTCTTCAAAACGAGGGCCACTCTGTCCGACTCTGCGGTGAGGTGAGATCGGGCCGCAGCGAAACAGTTTATGGACAGACAGTAGACCTCCAGAAGAGGCAGACCATGCTCCATGGAGTTCCTGCTCCCAGCATAGTGCATCAGTGCCTACAAAACAAACAACAATGTCACAAAATGTAAACGATAAAGAAAAACAGTTATGGTAAAAGTAAAACGCAGTGAGATCAGGTGAGCAAGACATCTGTCTAGATAAACAGGGCTTCTCCACCTGAGGGAGAAACCAGTCTGCAGCTGATTGATCCCAGCTGACACTCAGTCTGGTGTGAGAAGCTGCTGATTGGCCTGAGGGGACTGGACTGTACAGCATGTGACACACCTGCACCTTCAATAGTGAGCCAACATGCACTAAGAATACTCGCGTATACGAACACAAAATTAAAAATCTGTTACAGATCACAAGAAATAGTACAGGACAGAAAATGTTCTCTTATTGACACTTTACCTTTAACAAGGAGCACGATGTTGTTTGTAGTAAATATTGTCTTAACTGTCCCCAAACACAGAAGAGTCCACATACGTGTCACCTGTTTGTAGCCTGCTGCATCACACATTAAATCATCATCACTATCAATGTCCCAGGAGTCCCGTTTTCCAGACAGCAGAACCCTCGCTGGTTGCTGCTCGTGTCCACAGAGGCACTACATGAACTCCCTTCAGTCTAAATATATGGTGCCCTCTCAAAGGGAGCCAGGAATAAGGCCTCAACTCTGGAGACCCGAGTCTGTGTGCTAATTACATCCAGACTACTTCCGACTTCAGCAGAAAATGAATACAACACAAACTGTGTTTAATATAAACAACAAAAAACACATTTATCCAAGTTAGTAAGTTACTAAACAATAAGATGTGTCTATTTAAATAGTTATTGCTGTAGAGATTCCTTTCCAGCATGACTCCAGTGTATGACTGTACAGTGTAAATTACACTATTTGATATTTATTTGTTTATATCACTGCCAGATATAAATCTAAGCTGCTGTACGTACTGAATAAACTGTGTGCAAGCATATACTGTACATATCCTACTACGTCATTCATATAAAGCAACATTAGTCATTCAATATATATTATTTCTGTGCATGTACAATGAGAGCAAAATAACCAATCCACTTGTTGTGTTAGTATATCTCCACTTCAGCAACAACACACTGTCCAGGAAATTGCAAAGTGAGAGTTATCTCAGTAGAGATCAATATCTCTTTCAATAAGTGCATATTTATGCATAAAGTATCAGTTTAGGCAAACTTAATATCCTTTAAACAACAGCCACCATCCTAACACAACTACCACAGTGAGCTGGCTCATGAAGAACTATTATGTACTGTCAACTTTGGCTGGTGACCAAGTTCTATTGAAAGACAAGTACGTTGCCTTGAGCAGTGGGAATGAAAGAGCTTTGTTTGATAAATCAGGTAACGGTACCAGAGGAGGTGGAAATCAAGGTACTTCCCTATTTTCAATGGGAATTTGTTTTGACACTACTCATGATGTTATGTTAAAGAATAAGAAAGTCTCCATTGTTATCAAGAGAAGAATCATGTCAGATCCACAACATTAACACTATAACATTTGACACGATGACTAAAGCTATAGAATGCAAAATGATTTGGTAACAACTTCTGAAAATGACCGAAATACCCTTTTGCGCGTTTGCATAACGTTACGCCGCAACTAGCGAGTAAATTTGGATAAACACGCCGCCCCGCCCCACACACACATGCGATCATGCATGATGTACATGTAACTATGTCATGTGTAAACAAGCATCCGTCAGGTTTATGACAGTGTGTTTTGAAATAAGACGAAGCTACGCGAGTTAACGTAATTTCACTTAGCTTACCGTAGTAACTTAAATCATATTACTCATCTGACAATGTAACGCTGCATTATCATTAGCCCAATGCTATTGAGTTATAGTGTTGAGGCGTGCTATTACACGCATACGTGAGTATGAATAAAAACACAGTGCAATAGCTCCACGGTTGTAGACCAACCCTAAACGTCGCAGATTAGCTGCGATAAAAACACAACCCCGGGTGAGCTAACGCTAAGCTAACGTGAAGCTAACGATAGCTTTGGTGCTGCTTGTATACATTACCTGACAGAAGTTGTCGCAGTACTCCGTGGAAGACGCCACGGATATCTCCTGTTGCCTGAGCACGTCTTCAAAGGCTCTCAGTGTGGCCAGCAGAGTTTCCATTGCAACCAGAGTGTCGTCGGCCGTGTCCAGGGCCCGGTCGCTCCATTCGTGCTCTGGTTCGACATTACTCTCCGCCATCTTCGCTCTCCGCCACGGCGCGTATGCAGTGCAGTCTGACGCCGCCTTCAAGTGCCGTCGGAATATTTTAATGTGTCAATTGAACTTCGCTCAAACATAATGGGGAAAGGGGGCGACTTGTATAACTGGTTGTGTTGAGTTTATTTGGTATTATTTGTTGTTTAGTAAACATTTGTTTTTCATTTAACGCAACCCGTAAACAACCATATACACTTCTGTTACATATTTATTTCTAACCACAACAACACCTACATTGGAAAAATAACAAAGAAAGAAACTTAAACTCAGAAAATAAACTTACTTAATAGTCCCATATACATTATTGCACTCAGCAAACGTGTGCAAATCAGTTTGAACAAACACGATATAACTATAAAATCGTCTTCCTAATTTAACGCTTTTTCACTCAATATGTACCTAATTGAATATGAGAGTGAAGAAACATAAAGAGTAGGCTCAAGCAAATGGTAATGTATGTATTTTGTGGTTTAATTTAACCATTAATGTTGTTTACTACTTATAATTCATGATTGTAGCACATGATGTTTCTTTTCTTTTTACTATCTTGTTTACTAAATAGTGATGTTTGGCGCCCCCCTACAGTCGTTTTTATTGTTGTTACTTTCCTTGACCCGGAAGTACAATTCAGTCCTCTCGGCCACGCGTGTGAAAGGTAAGGAAAGCTAATCTTGATATACGAAGGTGTTTTTAAGAAGGAAATCTGTTTTCTTGAGCTGATCATTTCTGATGGGCACACATTTTACTCCACAAGTCACGATTTGATGGCGTAAAATAGCAATTTCGTGTTTAAAACGTTTACATTGGCTGATATCTGGATGTTTTCTGCTCACCAGGATCTACCATGGGGAAGTCCAGACAAACGGGAAACCACAGTAGTGACAAAAAGAAGCACATTGCAAAGACATGGAAGACCAAACGCAGGACTAAAGACCTGGACCAGATCCACTCAGACATGAAGCCCGAGACAGCAGCCAAGCTGCTACGTCAGGAGGTGGACGTCGATGTGACGGGATGTGCTCAACACTACTGCTTACACTGCGCGTAAGTTGAGATGAATTTGTCCTAAAAGAGGGGTTGAATAGAGTCTTTTCCTAAGTTAACTGACATTAGGCGTTCCCTTGTTGCACTGATTCTTATCTGTAACAACAAATGATCAAGATAAGTCTTGTTATTGGTCATTTAGTCTCATCAGTACAAACTGTAGATGAGCTGAACTGACCTATGGTGGAGGAAGTACTCTTTTACTGAAGTAAAAGTAGCATTATCACAGTTTTAATTCACTCCGCTCCAAGTAAAAGTGCTGCATTCAAAATATTAATAAAATAAAAGTGCATAAGCATTCAAATCTTTTTAATGTACTGAAAGTACTCATTATGCAGAATGGCACAAAATAATGTGTATTATTAGACGTTAATTACTGACAGTGTGTAAGCATCACATTTTGCAGCTGGTAAAGGTGGGGCTGATTTTAACTACCTTAGAAACTACAGGGTACTACTGCAGGGTTGCTTAATCCTCAAAAACACATCGTAGTTTATTAATTAATTCATGTTTTGTATTAATAAGCAGAATAACAAGCAGCACAGATATTGACATTCTGAAACGGACAGAATGTTATGCCGATCCTGAAAGAAACTCACCTTGTTTCTGTGTTTACTGTGGCTAAGTGGATAGCAGGGCCGTCTTTCAATCAGAGGGTCGGCGGTTCAATCCCCGGGTCCTAGTCGCATGTCGATGTGTCCTTGAGCAAGACACTTAACCCCAAAATTGCTCTCGTAGTTGTGCCTACGGTATAGAAATGTGATAGAATCTGAATTGTAAGTCGCTTTGGATAAAAGCGTCTGCTAAATGATTGTAATGTAATGTTATTATTTCTCCTTCTGTGCTCAAGACCCATTGAGATTGCCTGATATATTTTTTAAAGGCTATAATTAAACTATATGTTGCAGTTAACTTTTAACACTGTGCCACTTCATGTCTTGCAGGAGATATTTCGTGGACATGAGATCCCTGAAAGAGCACTTCAAAACTAAAGTGCACAAAAGACGGTAAGGCCCCATATTTCACCCATGCATTCTAGTATTATACACTCACGTTTCTGGGCTGAAAATGGTTTACCTCATTTGTGTCCCCTATAACTGTGCAGTGGCCAAGTGTCCCTGTGATCTTCAGAGAGTCCCTCTTCTTTTTCTCCATCCAGGTTGAAACAGCTCAGAGAGGAGCCCTACACACAGGCAGAGGCAGACAGAGCAGCGGGTATGGGCTCATATATCGCTGCAAAAAAAGTTGAAGTGAAGACACAGACTGTGGAAGAGGACATGGACTGAGAGCTGCTTACTTGTACCACTAGACTGATCGAGTCAATAGATAATGCTTATATTACCTCTTGCTGTCACAGATGTTGAGTGCATCATTAAATGTTGTCTGAGTCTTTTCAGCTGTTAGACATCTGGCTATTAAATCAGGAAAGGCTTATCTTAATCTGGTTAATGTAATGCAACATGTGCCTAAATATTGAGTATTTGTGGAATACTAATAAGCTATAACAGTCAATTTTGATTGCATTCATATGGGACTACAATGTTTGATTAAAAGCATTGTTTCCTCAGTTTTTGTGTACATGACTGCTGTCCACCCTGTGCTCATAACTTGAAATGAAGGGTCACACATAGACTTAAATTTAAAGAAACGCAAACCATAAAAGGTTGGAACCAACAGGGTTAAAGATAATTTAGTTAGAGGCCTTGGGTCTGTGTTTTGTTATAGGCAACATCACATGTATGAATATATTAATTTAGCATTGTAATGGTCAAACACACATGCCAGATAACGACAGCAGTCTAAATCTATCTTGGAATTTGTATTGCATATGGCTGATATACCCTTTGTTTATGCCCTTATTTCTACTGTATGCAGAATAAAAACATCCAACCTACAGTAAATATGACATTAAATTATTGTTACTACAACATAACACGGCCCCATTGTGGACGTATTGAAATTCTAAAGACTAGTCGAGCAGAAACGGAGCCTTTACTTCCACTGGTAAACATGAAACTACAAAAATAATGGCAGTGTACATTGGCAGAGAAACATATAATTGAGGCTTTTTAGCAGACGTTCCTGGGATGAACAATGCAACACTGCCCCTTTAAATGTGGTTTATGTGGCAGTAACTGTCGCAAAGTTAGAGGGAATGTAAACGAAAACTTCCGGTTAGTTCTTTCAAAATAATGTAATCTAGGTTGAAACGTCAGAAAGCAGGAAAGTTAAGGAGTGTGCCTGGCCCAAAACAAACGTTTAAGTCCTTTATTTCCCAAAAGAGGAGAATATTGCAAAGTTGTGAGCTAAGCGATACAATGTGTGGTAATTTGGGAATTTAACCGTTGAATCACGGCGTTCAGGTGTGCGGAGTAAAGCATAGTGCTTTTATTTTGAGCCCATATCCGGGGGTTCGTCCTGGCTATATTGCCGTCATTTGGTCACTTGACGCATTTTAACCACATCCATATGGTTCTAGATTAGATGTGGGAAATAAGAAATCTGTGCTGCTAGCTAACATTTCACAGCTGTTGCCAGCGACTGCAACGGCCGGAACAGACGCGGAACAGAAGTGCCGCTAGATTCTAAACACTTTACGGAGAAAGTTTATACCGTTAACGATTCCTGCTGGTTGCTTTTTTTTGGACGTTTTGGACCATGTCCTCGTCCAAATAGCCGCGTTGGAGGTCGAGGATGGCCGCGGACGTGGATAAAACAATCCCCAAGGATGAGAGCAAAATTTCACAGCGGAATGGGCATCTGAGTCCGGGCTCTGGATCCTGGATCTCCAGGGGGATCTGGACGCTGCTCATAGTCGCCGCTGTCCCTCTTCTCGCCTTCGGGATCAAGTCTTATCAAGATGCCCAGCTCCTCCAACGTCACGTGAGATCTACATCTGTGATAACGTTACACACGTCTTATAATGTAGCAGCGATCTTAACTTGTAAAACAACTGAAAGAAATAAAGGTGCTCAGAAACCTTAAATTAATTGTAAAATGCATGTCTGTATTAATAGAAAGTTTGCATTAATTAACCTTTAAGGTATATTCTATGACCGATATTGCTGTAACACTACTGTAGGCATATTTAGTTGTTATATTTCAATGCTATTCTCCCAAAAAGGTGTGTTCAGAGTCATTATTTGTCGCCACAAAACACCACATCTGCAGTTTTCCACCCATGGTGTTTTATTAGGGGAGGTGGATGTGAGTCACAGCTGGTGAAACTCAACCCCCTGTGTAAATCCGCTCTTGTTTGGCTGCAGAGGGTCTCCTAATTGTTCTTGTACTTCCCTCCCCCCCTCTCCCTCCATTGTACAGGCGCCAGTAGGCACGCATCAGTCAGACAAACACATGCTCAGAATCTGTGGCCTCTGGGCTGACCTTTATTCAGGACACTGCTGAGGTTGAATAAGGGACAAAACACTATAATGACACAGATATACATTTATAGTACTATAAACGTAAGACCATGCATCTACAACAGGGTTTTCATTTTGTCAAATATCTGTGTTTTATGTGACGAGACAGCTCATTGTCCTATTTTTGATGATGCGTCGAAAATCCCTGAAGCATGTGAAATCACAATAATGATCCATCTAACGCACGTGCTCCACCAATAGGAGGAGAGTGTTCGAACCCTGGGTGCAGAGGGCCTTTTTCTTTTCTCCTCCCTGGACACCGACCATGATCTTTACCTCAGTCCGGAGGAGTTTAGACCTATCGTTGAGAAACTCACAGGTACATCACGTTATCATTTATTCAATACCTTTTTAACAAAAACCTCCAAGTCTCACTTGTCACACATAACGCCATGTTGCCTGTGATCCCTATGGCTTCCTCGCAGGAATCACACCCCCGGTGGATTTTGAGGAGGAAGAGACCCACGACCCCAATGGAGAGACTTTGACATTGGAGGCCAAAATGCAGCCTCTGCTGCTCGACTCCATGACAAAGAGCAAAGATGGTTTCCTCGGGGTAAGACAAGGCCAAAGGGTTCTCTCTCTCTCTCTCTCTCTTGACGACTTGATCACAGATGAGTCTGCATCACGGGTTTTAAATATAGTCACACATTTACTGGGTCTTGCAGGTGTCTCACAGCTCTCTGAGTGGGCTGCGCTCATGGAAGAGCCCAGCAGTGCCTTTTTCCTCCTTCTCTGCCACCCAGTTTAGGGCCCTCTTGCCCCCAAAGAACAAGGTGGGAGTGGGTGACACGTGGTGGGTGATTCCTAGCGAGCTCAACATCTTCACTGGGTACCTGCCCAACAATCGCTACCACCCTCCCTCACCGAAGGGCAAAGAGGTATCCTAAAAACGAATCGTTGTTTAGAGACTTGTGACAATCAGGCTGCATATTGATAGCTGTTCTTCTCCTGCTGCAGGTTCTCATCCACTCATTGTTGAGTATGTTCCACCCGCGGCCCTTCATCAAATCACGCTTTGCTCCTCAGGGCGCAGTTGCCTGCATTCGCGCCAGCAATGACTTTTATTATGACATTGTGTTCAGGTGAGAAGCAATTTAGGAGGAGACTTAAAAGGCCATAGAGGTGCTTATTCTCATTTTAGCCCATTAGCTACAACATTATGCATACTTCACATTAGTGCTGGCTAATATCCAGAACATATTATACTTTTTAATGTATTCCCTGGCAGGCAGCCACTGCTTTCAGTTTAAAATCAGCGTGCTCAGCCTGAGTGCACTTTACTTTGTTGTCAATGTTACATTAGTATTGCGTGCTAATGCAGTTTCGAGTACTTTGTTCTTGTGTGTTTTGAAAGCTTTTTTGTTGTTGGAGGCAAAACACAAATGTGAGATTTTAGAGTCAGCTGCTGGAGAGCAACTTTTTTTTAAATGCAAGAAACTTCCAGATCCATACTGCATGCTGAATTTCATGTTTGATCGGGGTTTTTTTGCACTCAAGTTTAACTTTCTGACAACTGGCAATGCTTTTTAGCTGCAGCTTCAAATACCAGATGTCCGAATTTGAAGGCGTTCTCACAGTTCTCACTCACAACTGCATTTCCATGTGACAGTAATGTAACATTAGCAAATAGAAAGCTGTTTATGAAGCCTATAACTTGCCCTGGAGGTTTGGAATCAATCTAAAACTGATGGTTTGTTCTGGAAAATGGTCAGCAGTAATGTTAAGTATAACATTATATTAACATCAAATGGCTGGTTTGGTCTTTTAAAAGGCTACACCAAAGTCTTCCTGTTACATATTGACAGAATACCTTTTGTCTCGTGGTACAAACTCAACTCCGCGTTCTGTTCACTCTCTGCAGGATTCATGCAGAATTTCAGCTCAATGATGTTCCAGACTTTCCCTTCTGGTTCACCCCGGGGAAGTTCACCGGCCACATTGTTCTCTCTAAAGACGCATCTCATGTCCGTAACTTTCACCTCTACGTCCCCAATGACAGGTAAAACCTCCAAACACGCACTACGTTACCTTTGTGCACGCAGTCCCCACTCAGTGTCGTTTAGCTTTATATCCTGTTGTGTGTCAGGTCTCTGAATGTGGACATGGAGTGGCTGTATGGGGCCAGCGAGAGCAGCAACATGGAGGTGGACATCGGATATCTGCCACAGGTACAGCTGCAGTGATTCATTGACACTTCAGAACGCACTAGTGTCTCTACTTCTTTATTTATGTGATATTCCAGCACTTCCCGATTTAGTTCTAGGTCGTTAAAAACTCATTCAGCACAATTGCTCTTGTCTTGTTTCAGGATTTCTGTCTCTTTAAATGTTCCCCGTCACTGTTTTGACTTATTATTCTCATCACAGTGTTTGAGAGCAACTACTCTTAAATTACTTTTTGTTTTTGGTTATTAAACCTGTTAAGGTGCATTAGGCTAGAGTCCCACATCCTTTTAACTTCAATTAGTCCCCTACATATTTAAAGTATACTTATATATAATATTTCCATGCCTCGTTAGGCCATTTTCCCCTTTTCTGTATGGACTTCTGCCAAAGACATATCGTATTTCTCAGGTGATGAATGGACTCATTTCCCCAGAAATATATCAAAGATTACAAAATCATTCCTCAGAGAAAAAACGTCACAGCCTAAAAAATGTAATAATAAAACAAAAAGATGATATTAGAGACAGCTTGTATAAAAAGTTCTGAATGTGTTCACAGTTGGAGCTACAGTCCACGGGCCCGTCCACTCCCTCCATCATCATGGACGAGTCGGGCAACATCATCGACAATCGAGACGGCGGCGATGAGCCGATCCAGTTCGTCTTCGAGGACATCCACTGGACCTCAGAGATAAGTCGGCAAGAAGCCACCCGACGCCTCGAGGTCACCCTCTACCCCTTCAAGAAGGTAACCGTCCACGAAGCATTTAATCCGACACGTTAAATTCTGTGCTTTCACAACTTTTACATTGTCCTCCTCTTACTCCCTCCCAGGTGTCCTACCTGCCTTTCTCAGAAGCCTTTGAGCGAGCTGAAGCAGAAAATAAACTGGTGCATTCCATTCTGCTTTGGGGGGCATTAGACGACCAGTCCTGCTGAGGTGAGATCATTAACATGGAGCTGATTCCACAGCATTGTACGTCACTGCTAGAATGGACTACATCCTAACAATGGCATGTTTATTGAAGGAGCCTGGTGGGGAAATATGGAGTTACTGACTCACTCTGCCGACTTTATGACTCTTACGTTAGTTAATATTTTTGAACTTTTTCAACATCTGTCTCCCCTCCGCACACTCTGTAGGTTCGGGGCGAACTCTCCGGGAGACAGTCCTGGAAAGTTCGCCCGTCCTGGCCCTGCTCAACCAGAGCTTCATAAGCAGCTGGTCTCTGGTCAGAGAGCTGGAGAACATGCAGGTGAGCAGTTACGCGCCAACAAACTCAGCCAGTCGACTGCAAAAAAAGTTGAATTCTCCATTTACAGTTTCAAATGTTCTTTTAAACAGGCTGATGAGCAGAACCCCGTGTTGAGTGAAAAGGCCCGGTTACACCTGGAGAAGTACAACTTCCCTGTGGAGATGATGGTGGCAATGCCCAATGGAACTATTGTAAATATTTGACTCTTTTATCAGCATGCAGTTTATGAAACATTCAGGGCTCAGTTAAATTAGATGTAGGAACACTCCTGCTGACATGAGTATAAAGTCATTTAGTTTATGCAAGTATAGTTGTGGTTAAAATCATTGTTCAATCTTTAATTTTAAAGAAGGAAGGAATGCCTTTCTGTTGGTGGTCAAATTTTCGGTGTGGTAAAAAGTCAGACTTAAAAACTTGCATCTACTTCCTGTGTTTGGCTTTAGGTCCACCACATCAATGCCAACTTCTTCCTGGACGAGACGGCCATGAAACCAGAGGAGGAAGGAGCAACTTTCAGCTTTTCTGGTGGGTTTGAGGACCCCTCTACATCCACTTATATCAGCTTCCTCAAGGAGGGGTTGGAGAAAGCCAAGGAGTACCTGGCACAGTAATTTGTGCGTGCGATAGAGCATGAGAGACTAAGAGGGAGGAAATGATCGTCATTCCTCTGGGTAATGATCAAAGATAAGTAAAAGCCTCCAGCAATTCTGTAGAGAAGCTTTCTCATCAGTGTTGGCGGCTGCAAAAATATATCCTCTTTGTTGCTATTTATTTGGGCGTCTCTCTCATCATATCCAGTGACAAACATAACAGGGAAATATTGCTTCTCAAACCTAATGATACTGTCAATATCGTATATATTTTACTGCGATACAAAGCAGTAACAGATGTTAACACACTCAGATCAGCTCTCTGTAGCTGCTGATTAAAGTTTATATCAAATGTAGACAGAAGCTCATCATAACACACCGAAAATCCTATATTTCTTCTTTTACATCCCAGTGTCTCATGTGCAATATTTAATGACTTGAGTGTGGTTTCCTGCTGCTGAGCGTACCCAGAAGCAGAGGGGGGGCTGGTGCAGCTGTTGCCTTTAGTTGTGTTTCAGCAGTTTGTGAAGACGTTGCCTGAAAGCTCTCTTCTGGGCCGGGCGACGCCTGATGTTATTGCTGAGGCTGCTGGAGGGAACACCCCTCTCTGACTCAGGGGACAAAAGCAGCAGGAAAAACTAAACTGGGGTGTGGAAAATAAAACTATTAATTCTGTTTTTTATAATTTTGAAACCAAATGTTAAATATTTGGAAGAATTGTATTTTTTCTTTTTTTGAGGAAGTTGTAACCACACCAAAGAGCATCGTTTTTAATATGTACAGAAGCTGGCCTGCAGCTAGAACAGCTGTCGAGGTTCATATTTATATAACTAAATGGAACCAAATGGTGTACTGCTGTTTTTCCGCTTTAAGGATCCACTCAAAACAATGTATTTGCTCATGACTTTAGCTAGACAAGATGAAATCCTTGATGTTTTAAGAAAAAAAAAAAAAAAAGGTGACAATTTGGATCTATCATTAGCTATTTTTTTCACAATGTCTCATTTTCACTTTTTCCAGTCATAAAACAAACTGTTTCCTCTTCAGGTCCTAGTCTCTGTTTCTATGGTGAAAGCCCTGAGCTCGGGGATCAACAAAAGTAATTTTAAATAGTAACAGTAAAATTTAATAAATGAGTAACATTAAGTCCAAATGTGACTTTGTGAAAGTTCGTACAAGGTCCTCTACATGTGAAACATCTGACTGATTGGAGCCTTTAGGGTGGAAACACCTATTCTGTAACCTCCCGGTGCCATTTGTTTCCACAAAGGTGAAATAATTAAAATGTTTTGTTATTTTGTACAAACTGAATTGTGTGTGTTTTTTGGCAACATCTGCAACACGCTGCACAGTTAGACAACAAACCATGCAAACCTTTTTAGATGTTTAAATGTTCACTTTGTGCTGATTTTATTAACTAATCTATAACACTGTACAATGTAAGCAAATTGGATTTGCTTTGTTTGAGCATGGAGCAAGTTATGGACACAGTTGAATTGAGACAACATTGCGTAAATTCAAAGCTTTTTCTGTCACGTCCAGAAACCACAGCGGTGAATGAGTCAGCGCTTGAAATGAAAAGAGTTCAGAATAGTCATGAATGAGACTCTATGATCCATTACAAGTACAGTTTCAATTGAAAAGCTTTTCTTTAAGTGGAGCTCCAAGTATGTGCACATGATTAATTCCAGTATTCATTTATGCCGTCTATGACACTAACTGATGAAAATCCATAGAAATGATCGGTGTCCGATGACAAGAGCTTGTGTTTGTGGGACTTTGGGCTGTGGCTGTGTGTGTGTGTGTGTGTGTGTGTGTGTGTAGAGTTTGGTTTTCAACAGAGAAATCTATTCATAAGAAGACGAATGTGTGTTTCAAACTTCCAGCATTAACTGAGCAGTTATATGAAAGCTTTAAAGACAGGTGTACCGTCGTGTTCACATGATAAATGATGAGATATCGTGAAGCTACTCATTCACATTAAGAGCAAAGTGCAGTTTCTGGGGCTCAAAGAATCCGGTTCACAGTTTTTCTGCCAAACCAACAATGAAACAGTCCACCATTAAACCCCCACTCCGGGAGATCGGGTTGCCTTGTTCAGTTCAGTAAAATCCTCAGCACTTAATCACACAGATAAATCCAGCAGTTTGTAATAGTTTTTTTTTTTTTTTACATGGATGTTACCATGAAATGAATGAGTGGCTGTATTTGTTTCTACCCGGTGATACAGTAAATGCTGTCTTGATAAAGCTGATCAGTGGCAACGCGAGTCAAAGAGAAACTCGGCGACCTTTTCAGGTGAACGTCCACACCTCCAGCTCCATGACCCGGAAGTCGTTGGTTTCTGAGAGGCAACAGTTGTTGAAGGTGTAGCAGGGGCTGCTGCGACCCAGGTACAGATTCTCATCCACCCAAAGACCAAAGTGACCGCTGCGGAAAAGGAGACATGGAGTCGTAAAGGAAAAGAAATGACTGAAATGCCGATCCAGTTTTCTTTTTCTCCAGACAAAATAGAAAGGAAGTTGTAAAAAATGCATTACCTGCCTCCACCAATAACAAAGGAGTCCAAGTCTCCTTTAATAAAAAAGGAGTTCTCTCCAGTCCATCTGAAGCACTACAGAGAAAAGGCAGAATCAATCACCACAAAACATTAGTATGTTATTGTGAGGAACTTGTCTCACGCAGGCATCAATACCCTTTCTTAATGACTTTCTGACATTTGACCACACACACAAAAAATGGAATTTGTGATATTTAGCAGGTATTTTACAAATTGGCTGAACTAACAACAGAACCACTTGGTAGGGCTGATTGTTAGGCGCCTCACCTTGAAGCGAGGATGCAACATGAAGAGGAACGTTTCTCCTGTGCCGTAGAACGTCTCACTGGGCCTCAGAGGGTGAGAGAGGAAGGCCCCGAATATCTAATGAAGAAAGGTCACAAGAGAGAGCAACAAGACACAATAAATTAATTAAAAGACATTACAACATCCAAGATTAATATTAGAGGAATCATACTGTGTTTTTTACCTCATCGAGTGCATCCTTTATGACAACAAGCACAGGGGAGTCCGTGGCACTGAGTTTCCTGTAGAGGGACTTGAGGCTGGCGCCGTGACGGGACGTACTGTAAGTCAGCTGCCAGCTGTATCCAACTGTCCTCGGAGGAAGCTCCTTACATAGCTGAGAGAAGATTAAAGGAGGAAGGAAGGAGCACCAATATGAACAGCGCCAGATGCTGAGATCTAAATCTGCGCAGCAATCAGCGTACTCTTCTACTCTGGCTCTTCTGAATACATGTAAGTGTAGTTTGGAGCACAAGTGTTTACAAAATGGAAATCAACTTATCTCGAAATTAAAACAAGCTGCACCACACAAACTAGTTATTAGATAGAAGTTAGTCAAATATTCACATCTTCTAACTCCCAAAGTGCAGCTAACTGTTTGCAAACTGAACAGCAGACTGAACCAACTGACAAAACTATCTTGTTAATCTTTAAACTGTATGAAGTGAATTTCTAAAACATTACAACATACCTTAAATAGATCTCTAGTGTGCAGGAATACTATTTATACAACACATATTTCCCCTTGTTTGCATACATAAATAAAACAAAGTCATACCCATATTTACAAACAACTGGCATTTAAGCTTAGTGTCACTTAAAACCGTTTTATGTTGATGTTACATATTTATGTTACAGTTACTCGATTTATACATTACTAAAGTCTCAAAGTACCATTGAAGTCACAATTAGTCATCTCTTTAGCGGTCACAAATTCCTGTCAATGTGATTTTCCAGTTCATTATCAATATTTGGTAATTGTTAAAAGTAAGAAAGTGGTCTCGGGAGAAATATCAGAAAGAGCTGGTGCATGTGTGTGATGAGTTTGTGTATATTGCGGTGCGTGTGTGTGCGTGTGTGTGTGTGACCCACCTCTCTGACATGCGAAGCCTCTAAAATGTGGCTGCTCTCTACGATATCATTGAGCCCGTCAGGTTCCCGGTCGATGACCAGCATTGGCTTGTCCCCACTCTCTTCCATCAATACCATCTGCAAAAAATACATTGATTAATTAAAAACAAAGAGAAGGGCTGAGCGTGTAACACTCCCACCCCAAGTTTGTAATTCTTTTTTTTTTTCCCCACACAAAAAAAACTAATAAACAATGCAACCTAATTATAAGCATGACAATGCATCAGCTTCAGGAGTGGGCCAACACAGTCAACAACAAGCCCCCTAAAATGGCCAGGATTGGATACAATGGTGCAGGCGGGACCGTCTGATTTGTCTTACCAGTAACCTGACATGTATGACATAACTTACAGTACCGCACCACATCCTTCTTCAGGCCAGGCCAGAAGAAATGGTGCAACACCCGATCATATGTCTTATTTACACCAAGATGGCCAGCGAGCTGATGCTCATGAGACAGGTTCAGGATGTCACGGCGGTATTTAAAACAAGACCACAACCTGTGTGACCACAGTCACAAACCGGGGACGCGTAAAGGGGTCTCCGTTTACATATAAGCACCCAGTGTTCAACAAAGTGTAATAACACACCGCCGTTACCTATGCTGGGGACAGTATTTGAGATGTGATGCGATGAAGGTACCAAGGAAAATACACACGCACACAATTTTATTGGATATACTTTAGTGCTGGGCAACGATTAAAATATTTAATCTCTATTAATCGCATGGATTTTTTGCGATTAATCACATTGTTATGGCAAAGTTCAATAACTAATTCAAAAGTAGTGTGTTGCGCACTTTTATTTTAAAAGTACTGCTATATGAACAAAAGGGCAATAACATTTGATTTACAAACACTTTAAACACATCAGGTGCTTTTTAGCAGCAGTATTCCCTTTACACAGTAGCGATCATATTTCTTATATTATATCATTCTTATATCATATGTATATTTTCCCTTTAACTCACGAGATGCAGGTAGCATGTTTTATACTTAATGTGAATATAATTCATACTTTGTTGGCATCTTATTCTGAAAACCGGATGTTCATCTGAAGAAACCGGATGTTGTCTCACGTTAATCTTTCCGCTAACTGTCTCCTTTGCTCGCTCCCGACCTGTGCCGTTTGAATGCGTTTACCGTGAATTTCAGCATATAGGTGCACTAAAAGTGTCTGCTGACTTTACCGCAGCAATGTCCAGTCTCCAGGGAGAGCAACAGCTGGTGCACGTTGTAACGCCGTGTATTCCGTGTACTCCCACACGCTGCATCAACGTAGTCTGCTGAAGACTTCCTCCACGGACTTTCAAAATAAAAAAAATGCGTTAACGCGCTATAAAATAATTGTCGGCGTCAATTCATGAATGCGTTAACGCGATAACAACGCGTTAACTTGCCCAGCACTAATACATTTATTGTTGGACTGTGGATGCTGGGAGCCATGTGCACAGCTGGGACACACAGAGATGTTCCTTTTGTTCTCCCTACGAACAAACAGACAACTGCAATGAGCGACTGATTGAACAGGCCAAATTGTAATAATGTCTAATTAGTTATGTGGCAGAACAATAGTGTATATATATTGCCAAGCTAAAGATAAGTTAGTATAACTATTGCAACAACTCACCTCTACCTGTTTCCTCTTCCCAGGGTGTTCGGGCAAAATAGTTCCCCGGGGTCTCGAGCATCAATTTATAGTTCCGGGAAGTACCAACCACAGGAAGTGGGTTGGGGGGGTTTGTAAATTATTATTGATATCTTTGGGTTGGTGAAATCATGTAAATATTAATTGTACATATATTGTATATACTTACCCGTAGATGGTATGTCTGGGCTAATTAGAGTGACAAGGTGTATATAATGAGATCATTTTGTTTGGGTAGAGAGACTGGTGCAGACTGGTATGAACTTTGGTGTGACGTTAGAGTATAAAAATAAATGAAGCTTCATCTGAAACCTCTTCTGGACTCTTGATCTGCTCATTTGCCTCCATGGCCGGTCGGGCATCCTAACACAAAGTACCCCTACTTCTGCACTACTGGACACACTGGGTTGAGACGGCCCGACCGAGGCTCTTGAACCGGTTGTCACTAAACCTGGGTTGCGTAACAGACCACTCACCAAACACTCATGAATGAGTACATGTTCCTCTGCAAGAACTGCAGCGTCAGACAATTTTACAGCTTTCTGCTCATTCAGATAAGTGGCAGCTCTCTCGGGCACACAGTTTTTAAACTCCTCCATAAGGCCCCAAGATCTGCCAGAATTTGAACCCCTTGTGCCGAGCACCATCGAGCAAACAATGACTCTTCCTCACGAGAAAACTGAAAATACGATTGAGATTCCTGCCTTCTCTATTTGCAAAACATTCTGCCGATAAGTCTCGGGCACGAGCCCATATGCCTTCAAAATGCCAGCCTTGACCTGCTCATAATCAAGGCTACTTTCAGTTCACTTTCTCCTGAGCTTTGCCAGTTAAAGTTGTCCCAACACGCTCAAAGATAATTAAATATTAATCCACACCTTCCTCACAGATGACTGGAACACCGCAAATATCTACTCGCATCCAAAATCAAGTGATCGTCCAGCTGATTGCAGAGCCTTTAGTAACACTGTTGCATTAAGTTCTAATTCCTTTGAACACAACACACACTTAGTCTCTTCTTCAAGCTTTCTCATTTTAAGATTACAGTCAATGTCATTCTCCTTTAAATCTAGTGTCCAAGGAACCAAAAACTGTCCTGTGAGACTGAAATGAACCTACTCACCTCCCAGTCGTCCCCCGAGCTGCGGTGCCTCTGGAACACCTCCTCGTCCCCTTCCTCTTCCTCTCTGTCCTCAATGAGTACAAACTCCTCTTCATCACGGTCCGCCTCCCTCTCCTCCTCCCCTCCCTCAAGTACACACAAGTCTGGTCGACAGTGTGTAAGGTAGGCGTACAGCTCGTCAGAGCTGCAGGTGGAAAACAAAGCAGTCACTCAGACATTTTGAAAAGACAAACAATCCCAACAGCTGCGTCAACACAAGAGACATAAGCAGGAGGAGCTTCTGAATGCTTTTAATTAACGTTCATGAATATATTCTCAAATGAGTAATTCTACTTTAACTGAAGTAGAGTTTTCTATCTAAACTGAAGCTGTGAGTATGAATAAGCTGTGAATATTTTCCTGAAATGTAGTGGAATAGTATGAACTACTAGCATTAGTAGCATAATATAGAGATATTCAATACTCACGTATTGAATATGTATATCTAAACAATACTCAAATACAGTATATTAACTAACTGTGTTTAGTTACCTCCCAACAGTGTTAAATAGTTACTTTTTGGATGCCATCTCCACCCTTTCACTAACCTTTGTACTTTTACTGAAATGTTCAATGAATGACAAGAGATTAGTAGTCAGAGAAAGTAAATATTATAAATAAACTGAAGTGATCAGTTTGAGCATCACAAGTAGATGGAGTGTGTTCATATCAGGCTGAAGTGGACAAGCTGTTCAGTTGAGCACAGCCTGTGAAAACTTTTGTATACAATTGTTCTGTGGCTCTGGCGGAGCTTTCCAAAAAATGACCCAGATGATGTCATAGTGATGTCGTCAGGGTTATTTTAGCTTGGGCTTGAGATGTTAAATTCATTACCAGAGAAGCTGAGGTAACAACTGGATATGTGGGGTTTGAATGAAGTTTGTATTTAATGGTGGGGGAATTCTGATGAAAAATGCCACCAGGTTGCATTGTGGGAGATGCAGGATTAAGTGTTTTAGGACACTAGAGGTGTCTCAGTCATGGTTGCAAACAAGGGTAAAAGCTTTAATCTGACATTAGGGGGGACCAAGCTACATGAGAAGTACGTGCAATCCTATAAAACAGGTACAACAACAAATCATTCACAATTATTTAAGTTTCAGATGAGGAACACCTAAACAACTAAAAATAAAGCACCAATGGTCAAAGATACTGATATGGGAAATGAGGAAAATATTCTGCTACACAGCAGGTCAACTTGACGCTGTATGAAAGTAGCCTCAGCTCACTGCACTTAAAATTAGGCTCTTGTGAGTCCCCCAACTTTGATATTAAATCGCTGGAGTATCCATTTAAATCCCATTAGTCATTAGTTACTGCATTACCTCTCTTGTGAAAGGACAATCCAGGCATCCCTTCTAGGTAAAGGTTTTGACGACCCCAGCTGAAGGCCTCCTGCACCCTTTTTCTTTGCTGCAGACGGCTGAACCCGCAGCCGCACAAACATCAGACTCCCAGGATTTCCTGCTGATGACCTTTGAGGCACTGAATGTAAACAGAGAGCAAGGGCTGACTCGTGGCGAAGAAAAATAGAAACAAAAACAATAAGCCATCTTTGAGAAAGATCCCGATTCACATCCGTACCTGCAGTCCGACTCTTCTCAGAGGGCATCCCTGTTTCATCAGTGTGAAGCGGCTCCGTCTTCACTTTACTCACCGCCTCTTGACCGCCACAGCAGAAGGTTGCAGCACCGCTCAGGTCAGCCACTCCCAGGTCGCCCTCAGACGCCTCCGACAGCACCTCCAGAGGGCTGCTATCGAGCTCCACCTCAGCCTCCGCCATGTCTCTGCTCTCTGCCTCCTCCTCCTCCTCCCCAGAGACCTCTTTGGTCAGGCTCAGGGCCAGACGGGACAAATCTGATGCAGCCACAGACACCCGAGCCGGGAGCGACTCCCCCTTTGGGTTTGGGAACCCGCCTGCTCGGCTTTTGGCGGTTTTCAAACTCTGGAAAATGTTCTTGCCTTTTCTCCTAATAAGAAATGAATAAAAAAAATGTAATCTGTGTGTGTGTGTGTGTGTGTGTGTAGTTTAGGAACAGTGAATCATTGCTGACCTCTGCTGTGACGTGTTGAATCGAACGTGTGAGATGTCAGAGAAGAAGGAGACAGATGCCAGATTGTCAACAGAGCAGGACAGGAGGTATTCCTCACAGCCATGTTCCTTCACCAGAGCATGTGTCTTACATGGGTCAAAGAAGATCTTGTTAGACGTCACCAATAGGATTCCTGAAACTACACCCTAACAGAGACAGAAAGGGATGATGTTAGCGTCCAGACGTCTGCTGCTGTAGAGAACTAAACGGGACAGAATTGCTGTTCACACCGACCTTACGGTCTGTGATGTAGCGGCAGAACAGTTTGAGGTACCGCATGGCCTCTGGTCCCCCCCCCTGACAGCACTCTGGTGGCAGAGCCAATAAGCAGAGCTGTCCATCAGGCATCGGCACCGCCTCCACATCCTGTCAGCATCACAAATCGTATCAGAGTTAACAACAGCAAAATGTGCCTTTTTTTTAAAAACTATTTTCTGACATTTTAGAGCCCAAATGATGAATCAATTAATGAAGAAAATAATTGGCAAACTAGTCAACAATGAAAACAATTGTTAGTTGCAGTCCTTGATAAAATTCAAATATAAAAATCAAGCTAGTAATACAACTGTAGCCCAGAATAAAAACATAGAAAGTTCTGTTTTTCTTAATTATATCTATCTATTGTGCCTATTAATTATTGTGACTTTTATTTATTCTAACATTGTATTGTTTACTGTTGTAATGTTTAGTCTTTATTTTGTTTGTGCTGTTTTAATCTTGCTTTGTGAAGCAGTTTGAGCTGCCTGATTTTATGAAAGGTGCTATTTAAATTAAGTTGAGTTGAGTTAATGTGATGAAAAAACGTCTTTCTTTATTCATAAAGGAGCGCCACACTTCCATATGTATGTGCAGAGAAGTTATAACACTAAAGCTAAAGTCAACTTCATTATATTTCGGTAAATTTAGTCCTAACACATCATTTTCAAATGTCAAAGTTTGTTGCTTATTCGCTGTCTATATCATTTTGGAAACAAAAAGATTCCTGTGTTCCTAAATTCAGTCAGCCCTCAGCGCTGTAATGTTGTGACAACAGTTATTTACATGAAACCATCTGAGAAGTTTAGAGGTGAAATCTCTTCAGTGAACTGATAACAACAGTCATGGTTTGTCTGTCCCTCGTCCTCATTCCCTGTGCCCCCCCCCCTTCCTTGTGTTTCTTGTTTTGTCCGCTGTTTGTCCTTCCACTGCCTGTCTGGGCGTGGCACTCAATCTCTCTCCTGCTGCCAATCAACCTACACATCAAGTTCCTGTTGTATATCTACAGCAGCACTACATTGCAGTCTTCTGCCATATTGTTCAGTATATCAACATGGTTCAACGGGGTTTTCTAGTTTGTCTCTAATAGGCCCTTTTCACAGCAGCCTGTTTTGACATGTAACTGCAGGGTAAACACAGGTGTAATTGATTAGCCTGATAAAGATTCTATTTAGTGTCACAGCCATTACAGTGAGCCAGCATGCACAATACCAGGGCCCCAGCCCACCTAAATGGAACAGGGCCATCATGTATTTATTTAATCACACCTGTGTTTGCCCTTCAATTACATGTCAAAATGGCTGCTGTGAAAAGGGCCTAATGATCCTTGTGTCTGCCTGAATCCTGTGAATCCCTGTGTCTCAGGTTCATACTCTGGCTGCCTCGTTCCACCGCAGCCTCCGGATCTACTTTCACCCGTTATTTACTCTGATAAAGTTGCTTATAGACTTTGTCCAAACCTGTGTCCGGATTCTGCTCCGAAATCCACTCAACTTGACAACAACTCAAACTCATTTTTTAATGTATGTTTTTAGGCGCTCTTCACTTCAATTTGAAATGCAGACCATGCAGTAAAGGAAGATGTTTTTTTTTTTTTTCTTACCAGTAGTTTGTCATATTCTGCTTCTGGTGAGGGAGGCTGAGGTTGAGCAGCAAGTGTTTCCAAAGTCTCTGGATCCGCCTCTCGCTTCGGTTTAAGATCTGAGTCCAGTTCTTGTTGAGACGATCCTTGACCGGTGGAAGTGTTTTTTCCCTTCGGGACGACCAGCTGCTTCAGAAAGGAAGCCATGATAAGAATAGCTCTGACACTGAAATAGACACAACTCTGTGACAGCAGTGACTACTTCCTCTTTCTACAAGCCAGCATTTCCCCACCTCTCTTTGTTTGTAGTCAAATCTTAGCTCCATGTCACACATGAGGGTTGTGGATGAGGAGCTGGAGGCATATTTCTACAGCTAAAGAAGAGTTTGTTGACAAGGATATGTTTCGTGGTGAGGTATTGATTTTCTGACTTGGTTAAATATGAAGCAACGCACTTCCTTCCTAAAGCTAAATATTTGCAGCTGAAGTCATAAGACGGACAGGGGAAATGTTTTGTTCTGCATATCTAGTCAGCAACAGCAGGAAAAAAAACCTGTTTAATATCTATCTTTTTCCACACGTAACATACACACTGTGCCATCATCTGCTTACAATAAACTCTTACCTCTCTAGGGACGAGGGTAGCAGACGAGGAGGGTAAATCTGAAGTGCAAACGGAGGGACGGTGACCAATTTTGCCCTCTTCTACTGAAGATGTGCCATTACTGTTGAACTGAGATGAGACGCTGAACACCGTGTCCCCGGGGAGACCCTGAAACACAAACGCAAGAAAAGATTCAAATCTGATCACAAACCAGATCTCAAGAAGTTTTTCTTCACTCGTGCACAATGTGGTCTTGCATCCACCTTTATGCATATCAGTTGTGCAGGAGCAAATAATATGGAAGAGCTCTAATAACAGCTACTTTAATATAATTACGGGCTCAAATACCCACTGCTATTTGTTTTGCAGATCTTACTGCATTCACTCTAAATCAGTTCATGTTTCAATCTGATGTGAACCTTTTATATAAAATGGATCATAGCTGGTGAGTTTAATAGTTGAAACAGTGAAAATTCCACAACTGTCATCCACTGACAGATGGACCCATTGACCTAAATTAGATTACTGGCTGCTGACAGATTATGACCACAGAGAAACTGTGTGATTTGAATGTGGCTGCGAGCATGTGGATGTATCTGGAGCTGTGTGTGCGTTTAGGCATAAACTATGTGTTTGTGTGAGTGTACATGTATATGAATAAATGGATGAATATTATCTTAAACATAAAAACATGCACCCCTGAGACAACAAACAAACACAAGCTGCTCAATAGTTAAAAAAGGAGGATTTGCAGCTGTACTCTACTGTCAACCTCAACGTACACAAAATACTTGAAGTTGAATAAACACTTCTCTGAAACAGCTTCAACAAAAACTGGACATTATAACCTTCATGAAGTTAAGATATACTGCAGGGCTGCTGTGTTAGAGTACATTACTTTTAGCTTGGTATAGCTTGGAACTCAATGGAAACCAAAATGTTTAAAAAGGTTTGTTGACTTTAGGGAGAAGAAGAAGACAGAAAACAAAGGAAATTCAGTAAAGAAAGAAAAGGCAATGATGAAAACTTCCATGCAAAGGTCAAACAAATTAGACGGGAACACTTAGTTATAAGCATTGACGCCCTTTCCACATTCATGATAAATACAGGGGTTATCTCAGGCAGACAGAAAAAAAAATCCAAAATCCAAAAAAACTTGCTTTCATATTTAGCAGCTCCGCAGAAAAATAAAAAAAAACAGCAGAGAAATACCTTTGAATAAACATCTGAATCTACATTCCTCCGTCTGTATTTGTTGTAGAGGCTCTGAAAGAGACTCTGCTTTCCCATGGCGTTCGGGAACGTCTCTGACAGCTATGACACTCAACTCTGAACCTTGGACGCTCTTTATCAGACTTGTTCATGACCATAAATCGTGAAACCAATTACCAGCCGCAAAAGGCTTGCTCTAGCATACCTCACCAGATAATCTATAGATGCAGCAATAAATCCATCATCTGTCTGTCGCTTCCCAACTTCCCATATTTATGTCTCACTGGTTCCCACAAGCTGTGTTCCTCAATGCACGCAAGAAGTCAAGAGACAAAGTCAAAAACAAAAACATGTGACTCACCCTGCTGCTTGTGCTGTCATCTGACGGTCCTCTCATATGCTCTTGCTTCACTGCAGTATTGTTATGGTCCCATGAAGCCTCTGAGAGAGGAAAAAAACTATTTCTGTCACACAAAAGAATCCTGAGCTCCGATGCCTTATCACCTTTTCCCTGTATGAAAATAACTTTATGCAAAGACTTGAAATTGCCAACAGACTCAGTATGAGTGTGATAAAATGTAAATTCAAACTAGAAATCATCCTGCACTTTGCCTCTACTGAATGCAAACCGTCTGTTCCCTGCCCAGGGGATGTGTCAAACACTGTAAGCGCACCTTGCAGGTAGTACTGTCGCAGTTTGGGGTTCCTGATGTGGGGGGTGTGGTTGAGAGGCCGGCTCACGGTGGGTTGGTGCTGACGCTGGCCGCTGGCTGCAGGCTCCTGCATCACTCGCGCCTGAGGTTGAGTCTCCCAGGGCCGCTTGGCAAACTGTGGAGGCTGAGAGACACCGGGAGGAAGCTTGGAACCCAGCCTGAGAAAGAGCAGAAAAACAAAAAAACTGATTATAATCGCGCTATATTTATTAAGAAGGTTACACGTGTGCTGAATGTATTCTAAAAAACACTGAGAGTATGTTATAAACTAACTAAGGTAAAAAAAATCCCCCTGAAACTGAATTTGCATGGTAACTAACTATTATATTATCATTCTTTGTTCGTTTTTTTTATCAATCAATTAATCTTTTAGTCTAAAAAAAGGTTCCCAAGTTCACTGAACCCGAAGTGATGTCTTTAAATTCATTGGATCATTTACATGTTTTCCAAAAATGCTACCGCAAAGCTCTTGACTGTTGATCCTCAAAAACTTCTCATGTGACTCCAATCTTGATTCCTTGTAACTTTCCATCCAACTAGTATTGATTTTATGTAGCACACAGCCATATATCATAAAATGTCCTCTTGTTCCAGTACAATCACTGTATTATTGCACTGGAATGGCATGGTGATAGTATCATAGGATTTATGTCTTTATTCACTGTCTATAAAGCAGCTGCTAGAGTTCTATATATGATATATGATCTCTGTTGCAGGTTCAAACTCACGAATGGATGCGAGTACTCATTTTCTCAATTCATCAATTATTTGTTGGTCTGTAAAACAAAATAGTCACTAAATAGTGAAACATGTCTATCACACTACTATGAAACCCAGGGTGGCATCTTCAAAGTGCTTAGTCTGTCTAACAACAAGTGAAAACCCTGAAGATATTTAATTTAGTATCATACAAGACAGGAAAAATAATCTAAATTCAAAGGTCCTCTTACTTGTGTTTGTAGCTTTCCACTAAATTGCATTTAATTCATTAGGTTTCCATTATTTGAGTTCAAGATTGAATTGCCACGCTGAAACATAAATATTTCAGGATGGATTCCCCTTTAAAAGCAGAGATTGAGGGACGTATTTGTTTTAAGAATTTGAAGTGTGATTGACTGAACAGAGCAGTGCTCACAGTCTGATCAGAGTTATTTATAGGGGGAGTGGGTGTTGTCTGCGCAATGGATAGTTCCTGTTGTAGCTCTCCCCCACATGATGCTCTTTGATGCAGCGTGGAGTCCTTCAGTGACAGAGGATGAAACCAGCTGATGACAATGTGCATTTTGTGCTCAACAAGCATTACTATTTGTATCGTAGTCTGGCATGACACATTCTTCCTGTTTACCGTGACATGTTACCCTTTTCATGAGAATATTGAAAGACTGAATTGTATCGTGCTTAAATCCGAGAAGCAAATGCCAGCCAAACACGTCACATGTCTGCTTAGAGCTTTCCCCTTGTTTTCTCTCCAGTAAGCCATGTATTTAGAGGCCTGACCTGGTCTTGACGTTGCCAAAGTAGCTGGTCCTGGTCTTGTCCCTCTGGGGCTCACGGTCCATGGCTCCTTGAGTTTCCGGCATCGTCACGGACTGAGCCATTTTCTGTCTTCCTTTAGTTTGACGCTGGCAGTGGTTGCAGAGGGACGAGGGACTCAGCAGGCATCCTTCCTCCTCCTTTTATTCCCCATGCCTACCTTTTGCCCCAGTTACACCTACAAGACAGGAAGTCATATGACGTGGTGTCATTTTACAAATATCTAGGCAGTGGGAGGGAGAAGGGATGGTAAAACTTCTACCTTCAGCCATCAGGAAGTGAGCCATACATCTTGCAGGGTAATGGAGCCAGGTTTTCAATCAATCCATAGAAGCAGTGTGTGTGTTTACAATCAATTAATGAGAGCTTGTGGTCCAAGGTTGCTGACTAGGTACAGTTTACACTTCCCAATAGCTTAATATTTCTGTAATAATGTCTGATATACACATCAATAGGCCTAGGGTGCTTTAAAATGGATAACAGCCTGTACTTTAGCTCTTAGCAGCGCACAGCTCTGTTTAGAAATGACCTAAGACTAAGTTCCTATGAGCACATATAGGAATGCATTCTGGCTGCATTCCTGTTTCGGCATCTCATCCGGCATTACAAGACTCACACCCAGTTATCTCTGAATTAACAGCAACATTCTATTATTTCACATTATACCCATATGGTCATATGATTAAAAGAACCACAGGCTGCTTCCTGTTAATGCTGGGCGTGCAATAACCACCGTGAAGTAAGCATTTTAGACGACATCACAGAATGATCGAGTCTGCTGCAGAAGAAAATATGACATCAGCGGCTCAACAGAGACGAAGAATTCGTGGGAGCATCATGTGAACTGAGCAGTATATTTACAGACCTGTGCCTTGCCCAGGGATGGAGACGGGTGGCGGTCATATGAGCGTGTCCTCATATTGCAGTGTTGTGATATCACTGCAGACAACAGTTACAAGTTCAATAATCAAGCTCCGCCCAGTCAAGATGCATCCCGGTCGGTCTGCTGACAGCAGTGAAGGCGGAAGTAGATGGGAGTGATACATCTTGAGTTATATACACTCTATGTTGAGGACCTCTTCTCTTTTACTTACTTATTCTTAAGTTATTCATTTGTTTGTATTGGTTTGGATATTGTGCACTTTCTTTATCTATTATCAGATGTTTTTTTTCCTATGTGATAACTTTCTCATGTAATGTGCCTTGTTGTTTTCCATCAGATCGTTTTCTTTTTTCCATGCTTGATGTTTATAGATCAATATGTTTACTCTGTTATTTTTATTGTATATATTGTGCATTTTTATACTTAATATATATATATGTATATATTTTACTCTGTTACTTTGATTGCTTACATATATTTGTGCTGCTGTAGCGAACAAATTTCCCTTTGCGGGATGAATGAAGTATCTATCTATCTATCTATCTATCTGTCTGTCTGTCTGTCTGTCTGTGTGTCTCTCTATCCATCAATTACAGAATAGAAAGGTGCTTCTTCTACACGTAGAGCTCCACAGAAGATGGGTCATTTGAGGGTTTACAAGCATAGAAATAGAGATTATGTATTTTATATATTTTCAGAAGCAGCATCTTATGCTGTTGCTGAGGGGTAAAATTGATATTTATTTTGTTTTACCTAAAATAATAATAATAGTTGATAAACTCTGTATTTAATTCATTGATGTATAATTCGGTCAAAATAACAAAAAATAATAAGTTAAAGTGAGGCAAAGATTTTTTGCCATATTTAGTGGATCAAAATAAAACATTTTCAAAGTAAGGTTATAGCCTTTAAACAAAAAATGTTATTTTAAATGTGTTATTTACAGTTGTTTAGTATTCATCATGTGGTATCTGCTCATATCCACCTCTGGGGGGCGCTGTTGTACAGGTTCAGATTAAGGAAGCTCACCGGGCTCCAGCCAATCGGATCACAGGAAAGGTAGGCACAGGTTTTCCGGCCTGATGAGCGAAAACACACAACTCCAAGCTGAAAGACGAAGAGGAGAAGCGGCTGCTCGTGAATAATTTAACCGTTTAGCGTTCCCATTTGCGGGCATAATCTACCGTAAGTTGCGCTCTTTGCATGTTCGTGAGGGAAAGGAAGACACGTTGAAAAATAGTGATGTTAGGGTCCGTTGAGGGTCAACCAGGGGTCCGTTATTGGTGCTGCTAAAGCTAGCTAACGGTCACTGTGTGTCTGACACCCGTAACGTTAGATACCGACTAACGTCTAGGTTAACTGAGCAAAGGTATCCACAAAGTACCGCACTAAAGCTGTTCTCCTGTCTATCATCAGTCTCCATCAACGGTGTCGTTGGTCAAAGCAGCCTGTAGCGACACCGTCGATACCATTAAAGCTAACGCTAGCTATATTAGCACGGATGATTGTTACCCTGCTCATTAATATGTTTATGTGCATTAGTAGTCACAATGAGGTGACAACATGGTACCAACACTGGTTAGAGTTGGTTTGCCAAACATTAGCTAATCATTTCATGTTATTAAAATATGAACTACCCATTTACTTTTAATTTGGACACGTATGTATCATGCTTTTTGTATTTAGGCCATGTTTGTTGTGAAGCCTACCTATTTACTGTCCAGTACTCCGGCCTCTCTAATTTATAATGATAATTTATAACAACAAGCTGTATCTGTCCACCTCATGCATTTTACTTGAGATATGACCATAAAAAAGTCACCTGCAACCAGTCATCAAAAACATATTTAAGTTTTGCAATGCTTAGTTATAATTTGTAAGCAACTTCCTTTATGTTGTGGGTGAAATAATGCTTGTGTCTCTCAGCAGATGCTCTAACTAATCACTAATTTATATCCTAATGGTTGACAGTCGCTGTGACATGGCATCTGTCCTCTGAACTGCTCTGTGGTCAGCCACCGTCGGCACCGAGCATTGGTGTGCAACTGGACCATCACCATCATGGAAACAGATGCAGTAAGTTTGCTTCATTGGCTGTTAATGATGTCTTTCTAACACTGTTTAACTTAACACTGCCTTTCTCACACATGACTGTGCAGGTATGCAAATTATAGACGAAGAGAATGACATTAAAGTATTAATACTTTGTGTCGAGACTGTGTTTTTTTAATATATGCTTTACAGGAAGTTATTCCTATCTGGCAGAATAAGCCTCATGGATCCACCCGCAGTGTTGTGAGAAGAATAGGTTCCACTCTGCCACTCAGACCTCCACAGAGGGCGTGTTTCCAGGTAAATATCACATCCTAGAAGTCCTGCAGGTCATATTTCAATAATATTCCCCTTTTTTGCAGTAGAAATGCTTGTAAATGCAACATTAACTTGTGTACTTGTGCATCAGGAACTACCAGGCATGCCCAGTCTCCGGCCTATGGATGGCCCCATTGTTCCTACCTTGGCCGACATAGCCTGGATTGCCGCAGATGAAGAAGAGACGTATGCCAGAGTGCGGTAAATATCCAGTCACGCCCTAAGAGACAACCACTAAGGTTATGGAGTAGTGCCAAGTAACTGATCTATAACTGCATTATTCTGTACTCTCTGAGCTATAGAATACAGCCAAAAGAAATGCAGTGCACTATTCAAGTCTACGCTGATTCAGTAAAGGAAAAGAGAGACATGAGATAACGTTCAACATACTTCAAAAGCCGGACTCGGGTAGAATATAGATTCATGTACAGTAACGCTTATCGCCCACTCTTCTCTTTCCAGGAGTGACAGTCGACCTCTGAAACACGAATGGCGGCCCACACCTCTCCTGGTGCTCCACAGGAACTCATCTGTACCCAACTTCCGCCGCGAGGGCAAAAGGATGGAGGTGCTGAGGAAGCCTGGGGTGACGGCGCTGAACCGGACCACCGCCCTGCAGGACGAGCTCAGCAGACTCCGGGCACAGATCGCCAAGATTGTGGCAACTGATTCTGGTAGGAAACCAAAGCAACAATTAAAGTGTACCCACAGCATAGATTTGTCCGCTGTAGATCTTGAACTTAGAATTTAAGTGATAAAAGACTCGGGGACATGAGAACTGGTTTCACACTTAACTTAACACTCTTTATTGAGACTTCAGACTATGATACCTGAAGCTTCTCAGAACAGTTGTTTCACCGCTGAGCTACTGTCTTTGTGTCACTGTGATCCTTTTGTTGCCAAGTCAGCTGCTCTGATTCTCCTAAAGCCCTTTTGTACTAAGATGTCTTGGCATCACTTTGTAGGTCAGTGGCAAAAGATAATCTCTGCGGTTCAGTGGCAGTTGTGTGTCACTCATTGAAAATTGAAACAGTCATGAGAAAGCTTTACATATTCAAAAACATTGTCTTCCCACTGGTTTTAAAGATACTTTCTGATGTCTAAAAGAGCCACACAAGGAAGATCAGACATCAGATTAAAACACTTTTGTTAAACGAGCCTGCTCCTTAAATTCTTTTAATTTTAATGGCATTTGAACTCTGTGCTTTTGATAATTAGATCAGCTCTGTCTGTTTCTCTCAACACTGTCCAACACAAGCTTCATCAAACAACCACAGACTCTTTTTCTCTTCGCTGCATTTCTTCTCTCCTTCAGACTCCAACCCCGTGACCCCTGACCTGCTCTCCCCCGATGACACAAGCATGAGCTTCTCCATGGCCCCTTTCGAAACGGCGCCCTACCAGCCGGCCGCCGCAGCCGCCGCTTCCTTTGTTATCAGTGATGTCACGGAGGAGGAGGAGGAGGAGGAAGAGGAGGAGGAAGATGTGGTCTCTGTGGTGTCGGAGCTCGTCCCCGACCCTCTGCCGCCTATTTCCATGACGGCATCGGCCACCTTTGACCTGGACAGACCCAGCATGGACTTCCGGGAGGCGGAGGAGGATACGGTGTCGCTATCAAAGTCTACCAGCTTTGCTGATGTTATGGACATCCTGAAGGACATGAACCGCATGAAGATGAGCAAGGACAGGTAAGAGTTGTCAGTTGGACTTTTAATATGTGTTTGTCTTATAAAGTCATGTTTGCCATACAGACACGAGAGTGGTATCCGTCTTCTAATTTCACAATATTCAAATATTTCTTTATGAATCCAACATTGTACACCCTCTCAGACGTGGTTTGTGTTTTTTGGTGGGCGTCATTGCAGGTACAATAGAGGCTGTACGTCCCTCAGAGAGGAGAACTCCGCTTCTCTAATTTCAGAAGCTTTGAGGAAAAAGTTTGTCCTGAAGGAAGAAGATACCGACGTTGTGAAACGGAAGTAGCCCCATCGCGTGTTTATCGTCAATACCCGATCCCGCTGCTCCATGTAAGTCAGGACAGGGTTGTAGAAAGTCGTTTTTTTTTTTTTTTTTTTTTTTTTTTTTTTTTTTTTTTTTTTACATTTTGTATAATGAGCCCTTGAAGGCATGTGGTAGGTCATCATTGGTAATGCGTTCAGTGGCAGAATATTTTGGCTCACTTGTGGGTTCTTAGTTGTTTATTTTCTCTCATTATTTTCGGCCTCTGCCTGTGAAATGTGTACCCATGTATCCACAACTTTGCTCCTCAGGCCCAAGGCGACAGCTGTCGGCCAGAGCTAGAACAAAACACTCAATATCTGCTGGTGCAGTGAGGCAGATCTGACAACTCTTTAACAATAATCTCATATTGTATCCACTTTATTTCTCCCTGGAAAACAACACTTTTATGTTAAATATATTTTGAATAAGTTCTCAACGTACTCTGTGTCTGGGCTCTTTAGATGTTAAAGGACATTGTGGAGGGGCTGATATCCAAACAAACATAAAGTTTAAAGACTTAAATTCAGGAATGTCCCTTAAAAAAAAAAAAAAAAAAAAAAAAAAAAGCCCTTTATCCATCCAGCTATAAAGACAAGTCTTTGTTCCTTTTCACAGAAGAGAAGCAAATAAACTTTTTTTTTTTTTTGCTTTTTCAGTATCAAGAAGCCCTCTAACACACTTGAAAATACTTGATCTACAAATGAAACGGATCTCCTGTACAAGCAGATATGTACTGTCTCGTATCACATCGTGTGTGTGGAAAACGTCAGATCTTTGCTGTTGATGTTTGCGTCACAGGTGTGAGTTTGCAAATGTGCACAGCATCGTGTGCACGGTGTTGCTTGCTCCACTGCACCTCTTATGCCTGTCCTCTTGTTTGTGATTAATATACAGATTGATAAGTCACCGAACCACAGGACTGATTTTGAAACTCAAACTGAAAGGAGAATTATATATAAATGGGTTGGTCGTCGATGGTGTGAAGATCGACGGAAGTGTGTGAATGAAATGTGCACCCATCGTCGTCATCTGTGTTTCCAGTAAAGGCAATGACTGACACAAGCTTACGCGGGTATTTTTAGACACATTTCCAGTTTTCCAACCCCTGTACATTAACAGTACTAGCTGAAACCACCTTTTTTATGATGCAGCATTATAGAACATTCTGCCTGCAGAGTTTTGACAAAGCCATGGGTCAAGTGCTCGTGTGAGTCTCGATGATAACGATGAGTATTCTTGTCGACGCCTTACTGCTGATCTGTTGCCTGTTCCAAAGCCTGATTTTATTCCCTGTGCCATGGGTTTGTTTAACCAGCCCACCCCTCATTGCTTGCCCTCTCCTGAATGTGCCCTCCATCCTCATCTTTATTAAGATTCCCACGTTTTCCTCTCACAAACAAACCAGTTGTATGTGTGTGCGGTGCTAATGCTGAATCTTTGTTTAAAATGACCCCTAACAAGCAAGTACTTGCTCTTAAGTCACTTTTACCTCCACATGTCACTCTGTTTTCTTTATCTGTCACGTGTATCCATGCATGACTGGGGGTCCTTTGGTGTAGTTTTGCAGTGTGAAAAGATAAGTGTGTGTCGCTGTATGCAGTGGTTAAAGTATGTTCTGTCCTGCTAGAGTCTGCCCTCAACGTGTCCTAAGGGATCGTCTCAATAGTTAATTTCCTCATTAAACAGAGTGAAGTATAAAGTGGCTGGATGAGAAAACTACTATATGCAAGTTTAAATATATTAACCGTGTGTCTTTACCTAAGATGTTAAACCTTACACAGCATACTCTGCCAACTGCTTCATAGTCCTGCTAATAAATAGAGAATTTAGTTCCACAGGGTTTTCCACAGAGAATTTTTGACTTTGTTTGTCTTGACTTTTCACCATTTTACTTGTGCATGGTTGAACCTACCACCACCTCATGTATGTTTATTTTATTTTGTCATATTAGGACTTGTAAATAAAGATTGGCTGATGTTTTGAAACTGACCATGTTGTGTCCGTGAGAACGGTTCATTTGTCTTTGCAGTGCCAACTATCGCCACATGGGGACACTGCAGGTGAACCAAAATAATATTTGCTTTTATTCATTTGTTTCCGTAATAGAGTACTGGGCAACTTACAATGTGTGTGTGATCAACTTTTAAAATTTATTACACACATTTGACACAAACGTCAAATTAAAGCAGTGTTTTCTGTCAGTGACTGGGATTATTAGAAGCGGTATAGAAAGTATGATGGGGATAAAGGCTTTTACTTGTGAGTTTAATTATTGTTAACCCACATTCTCTCCCATGATGATCTGGCCCTGCAGTGAGTCACAGTCTATTTTCTGTGAGTCCTTGGCCTACTTTTTCACTCTTTACCTTCCACAATGGACTTCCTACCTGTTTTAGATGGAGGGAGCTGTCTGTGGAGAGCTCAGTGTCTTTAACGAGGCTTCATTAAACCTATAAATGCAGGCGTCTGAATATGACACTGAATGATTTACATTGTACTCACTTGAAATCGCGGTGCGTCTCAAACGCTAAAGAGTACCTTGTGTGTCGGTATCAGAAGCCGAGGAGCATGATGAAGCGTCTGTATTTGACGCCCTGTGTTTGGGGAAGAGGCTGAACAGACTGACATTGCCATTAGAGCCACACCGCCAGTATGGCTAAAAAACAAATAATTTCTGTTTTGTTATTGTATCTCGTTGTTTGAACATTTAAAATAGAATTAAATTTGACAAATTAGTGACTTTATCATTTGACTTTGACTTTAGATTTGACTCACTAATATTTGAGACTTACTTTGTCCTGATGTGTCTCTTCAAGTGTCTCCACCATGTGTGCAGTCGCTCCAGTTGAGTTCCTGCTCTGTAATGAGTGAAGCAGCAAACACACCAACAGGTAGAGTATCTGTCATACTGACTGGTCAGCATGGCCACTCTATCTCCCTGAGCTTCTTCTTTTTTTTTTTTTTTTTTATCAATGTCTCCTTATGTTGCTGGAAGCTCTTCACAAGGAGACACATAAACTTCCTTCGATGTTTTCTAATGCTGCCCGGAGACTGCTGCCAGGTTTCAAGCCCATTTGTTACTTTCAGGGGCAATATGATCAAAGGAATTGCTTTTTGGTTTCCCTTCGTGGAGGGAGAATTGTCTTGTGTCTTGAAGTTTTACTCTGGACAGAAACATTGTTAGGGTTTGTGGTTTTGATTAATCTGCCTGACAAATGTTTTCGAGCAAGGGGGTTGATTGTGAGCTACAGCTGAGCTGAAGCGAAACCAGGGGAGCACAGATCACTCTATCACTCTCAAAGAGCAGGTGGTACAGGGTACATGTCACGGCAGGTAGCCTATTATTTATTGGCACCCTTCTGGGAGTGACAGGAAATGCCTTCGTTCACAGTTCACATCTTAAAATGCTGCATTAGCATTTTAAGATTCAAAGTAATAGTTGAAATTGCACGGAAATGTTTTTTTTATCATCAAAGAGAAGCAACTGAACAAAGTGTTATTTTGGAAAAACAAATGTGTTTTTCCAAGATAATAATTTTACCTTTCCAGATGGCAAAATAAAAAAATAATCACCAGTGAAATACTTTCAGGCAGAAACTTTGAATCTATAGCGACGCCTGATTGAAAAGAAATTGAAACCACTAGTTTTCATGACCTTTTATTTTATTTGTGCATTTCAACAACGTGTTATTCATCATTTCCCTTCATAAACAAGTCGCATGCATCACAGTACTGTATTTAAAATTGATATTTCCAAACATTCCTAAATGTTTTCTTATTTTGTTGCTAGTGTTATAGATTGAGATGACATTGATGAAATGTTAAACGTTTGCCTTTATATAATATATACAACATAGAAACCGCTCTGACCATATCTCAATGTTGAATTAATACATTTTGATATCTGGCTACAAGTTTAGAGTTAGTTTCCCCAGTGTGGTTATGAAGTTGTACCCCTTTTTTGGCATAGAAATAAAGGTTTTATAGACCGAATGGCCTTCAACTTTGGAAGAGGAAATACCAGAGGCAGAATGCACTGAGCTTCATGATGATTACACCAGCTCCCAAACTCCTGTCCTCCTCATCATCCACATGAGATGAAGTGAACCCGAGAGCCAAGAGCTGCCCTGATCACCCAAAATACAACTCATCATGCTCTCCATTTGACCAAAACAAATTGCCATCATAATATGGTGACTGCTGCAGCAATTTGTTATGTGTTCACAGCTAAATGTTTCTGGTTTGACTTTACACTAAGTTGAAAACTTGGGCCGGACATTTCAATAGTTTCAGAAATATTATCAAAAAATCTCAATGTGTAAAAACGTGACAGCTTTTGTGTGTGTGTGTTTGTCTTTGTGTTTGAGTGTCATCTCCCATGTTGTATCGTAGCAACAACCGGCTGAATGAAGCCGAGACTGAGTGGATGACAAGAGGGTCTGGGGGAACGCAAACGATGCATCTGCTGCCCCCCCCGACACCCGCCCACCCATCCCTCCCCCACTGTCACCCACGCATCCGTCCGCGTCATCAAGACACAAAACTAACACTTATGACTCACAACAGGAACAGCGCCACAAGAGCGTCTGCTGCTCCATTGAATTCACCCTGCTGTTTCTATTTTAGGACCTTTGTAGTGTTTCTGTCTTATTAGTGGGTTTGCCCTCTAAACAGGATTGCTTTGTGATGCAAAGTAAATTGCGCCCATAAGTGGAGCTGCTGAAGGCACCTAAGTGTGGCTTTACTCTGCCTCTCACTGGGAACCTGTTGCTGCTATTTTTAGTGCTTTGTTTTAAGATCAACATGTTTCCTGTTAAGCAGATTCAAATATCTGTAATTCAAACATCAGATATGAAGTGAAAACTTTAATTTAGCTTAATCTGCTTTCCTTAATCCTAACACTGCACGTTAATAAAATACAGTATAGTTTTACATTTGGGGAAATATACTTATTTGCTTCTTTGCTGATAATTTGATTAGAAAATCAAAGCCCCTCTCAACGTCCAATAGCATAAAGACTGAACATGGAAACAGCTGACTAGCCCTGTAACAAAGTATCAAACCCTACAGCACTTCTAAAGCTAAAAGATTAATATACTTTGTCTTGTTTCGAGTGTAAAAATGACATATTATGGTTTTACGTGGGGCTATTTCTTGGCCAGGAACAATGCTTTCGCTCTTAATGCTAATCTACGCTAATAAACCTTTGTCAATAGCCTTATATTCAAATGACAAACATGAGAGTGGTATCAATCCTCTTATCTAACTATTAGCAAGAAAGCCAGTACACAAAATGTTTTCTGAAATGTCAAAATATCCTGTTATGCCTGTAGTTCACAATACACGACTTTAGCCTTGAGTTTTTGTTTCCATGACGAAGCGTATTTTGGGGATTCCTCGAGGTAAAAGATCTTGTAGAGTCTGACCCCCGTGGCCGGTCATGTATTGTGAAAACAACTTTCTAGATTCCCTATTACAAGACAGCAAGTTCGATCTGATGGTTTTTAAAAACGTGTAGTGTGAAGTTGGCTTTAACAGTGGCCTCCAAAATGTACACGTTTACAGGATGGAAGAAGTGATAAATGGGAAAAAAATAGAAGCAAAAGTGAACGGCGTAATGACAAGGGATTACAGATGAGGCTGATGGGATCTGTATTGGGACAGCACAGCACCCAGATATCTGCGGTGTGTTCATATCCATCATTTTACTTCCTTAATTGGAGCAAGTTATCATCATGGCCTTGTTTCAGACTGCCAGCTCCTCATGGGTGGCAGCTGGCATTCATCAGCTATAGAAACATATCTCAAAAGCATCTCAGGGAAATAGTCATTTTGTAAAATGAGGACCCGAATAGCCTCTAGAAAATTATCAAGGAAAGAAAAATGATCCCAGGTTCATGGCAGTGTTAAAGAAATTCACCCAAAAAGAGGGAGACAAAGAAAATATGCTCATTCTCCTTTCCTCATCTCTCTCTCTTCTCCCTCAGCTCAGAGTCACGATTTGATAAGACATGGATAAGAAGCAGTTTGTGAGTCCCAGATGGTACCTCAGTATCATGGCCTGTGTGTCAGCCATTCATAAATGATGCAGTTTTTGTAGAAAAAAACAAAATGACAGAGACCAATATGCTCTCCAAGTGCTGTAAATACATTTGTGATACACTATTTATATATATATATATATATAGTGGTTCAATCCAATAGTGGATTTCAAGAGTGCTGTTTTCAGCTGACACTGGTGATTAAATAAACAAGACCGGTGTTGCTAAATCTAAATTTGTTGTTGGGTGATTATTTTTAAGCTGATGAGCTTTGTCAATTAATTAACCTGTCCCATTGTGATAATTTACCCAAATGACCAACAAACTATGGAGCCACGAGCAATCTTAGATGTCTCCACGGCCAGATTAACCTGCCTGCTCTGAGCCCTGTTTCAACACATTTCAGTTTATTGTGCTTTAGCTGTGAATATTACCAAATAAAACTGTGATTAGTCAAATAACCACAAGTGCTACAAAGACCACAGGAATCTTAAGACTCTTACTAAAAAAAAAAGCCATTATAGATTTGAGGTAATTGGTTTAAAACCACCAGATGCATCAAATTCTAACATTATAGGTAAATCTGGAATGTGGTGCTTGAATGGTTCCAACCAGAGATGAAACAACTGGTGCCAAATATATGATTAAAACCGATATGATTAAAGGCAAGACCAGAATATAAAAAAACAGCATAGAGTCTTCATCATTTGCACATTTCTTCCAAGGCCTGTGGCTGTGGTTTATTTCATCCCTATTGCATCTGACTGGCAACGCTCATAAATACATTTGAGGAATGTCCTTATAGGTCAATAATATGTATCTCAGAAAAGTGTAAATGTATACTGTATAAGTCAAAGACAGGAAAGAAACAGAGAGACCAGTAAAGCCGAGCTATAGCCACGTTTTATTGGGATTAACAGCACGGTTGGATCCCGTCTTTAATAAATCAGATTGCTTGGCTGAAGCGACCCGTGGTATGAATAAAACAGCTCACTTCAGGCAAACTGTATGAAGAAAAGACTGGTGGTCCTACATCAATTGAATGTTTATTGAAGTGTGTAGCCAGTGATGAAATTTAAGTTCAAATACAACAGTCGGATGATGGCTTTTGATCCAGTATGTCTAGTCATGTCTAGTTGCCGAATTCATACAACGTCCTCAAAATAATAAAACATTTAAAAATGTTACATTTATAAATGAAATCATATGAATATATAGTTTTTTCATTTATAAACAATGTATCATATCTTTATATGATGTTTCTTCTGTCAACCAATAACCAAGAATGAATTGATCCTGTGCAGTTTATTTCTCGGTGCCATTGATCTCCATTGTTGTTCAAAATAAAATATTATATTTCTTCTCCTCAATCCACACAGACAGTTTAGTTTAGTTTAGTTCTTCTCAGACTCTGAGACAGAAATCTCCACTTCAGTTGCACTTAGATACACCAAACTTTCCAGTTTCAATGCTCTATATATTCTGAAGGTTTTTACAGAGGGGTTTGTTCACATAACATCCAGAGCCTCATTTGAACCTGGCTTTATCCAATGTTCAGATTGCTGTTCTGGAAATGTCTGCAAATTAGCCAGTATTCAATAGACAATTTACATATTTAAACATACATTTTCAGAAAACCTATAAAACAAAACACAATTGTCTTCATTTAAGTTATCAACTGAGGAAGTATCCAGTAGTTACATTTTTTTTATCCTTTTCACCTGCGTGTCTCATGTTAAAGAGGGTGAAGAGAATAAAACAGAAAAACTTGGAGCATTAAATTATGTCAGCCCTGTCCTTTCAAATTGTGGTGAAGTATGTTTATGTTATCAAGCATAGTGAAAGAAATATTCTAATTTAAGCTTTCCTATGTTCATGTTTGTACTACTTACGTAAGACCCTAGGATTATAAAGTTATCCACATAACTCAGTCAACTTGATTCCTTGTACAGGCACATAAGGAAATTAAGGAATTTGTGTTTATTTAGCAAAATATGTTGTGACCACTAACAATTGCCAATCGTGCCACATGTTCAAAAATAAAACAAACAAAAGCAAACCCTCTCAGTCTGACATAAGGTCAACCTGTCTGAGACGTGATGCTCCCAGCGAGGCAGAGGATCAGCTGCTGTTCTGTGCTGTTTTTAGCCTCTGCTGTCTCATTTGTTCTGACCAGCTGCAGACCCGTTACATGGTCGTAGGGGTGTCAGCATTGTGTCATATGGAGCAAGAACAACGCTCCAATCTGAACAGCTGCACTCACTTAAATCAGTGTCCAGTGAGATAAATGGACAGTGATTAACATGTCAGTTTTACACCTTTGAAATTCTGAAGATTCATGAATCAGTCGAGACTTGCTGAGAAAAAGTTAGCATTTCATAATCTTTAGAGTGTTAATATCAACCTGCAATGTTCACACACACATTTGAATTATGGTGATTTTGGGAAAATACACATTGTTGCATTCCTTCCAAGCGTTTGTTGAGAAGATCGTATGATGAGATGGCTCTATCTGAAGATAACAAAATCCACCTTAAAAGTTCTTTAATTAACATTATGTCTCATTTGATTAATTTGTTACTGCTGGCTGTAGCTTTATATTTAACAGACATGAGAGGGGTATTGTTCATCATCTATAACTTATAACATAAGAAAACAAATAAGTGTATTTATCAAATTAAAAAAGTTTTTACTAATCGGTGAAGCTACGCTCATTGAAGTGATCCAACAATAGTGTAAATGTTTTGATCAAAGGTGGTATCATTTTGAAATAAAAGCAAGTCTGAGTCGAGAAATTTGAATTTTTAAAAAGATTTTTTTTGGGCCATTTTGCCTTTATTGGACATCTGACAGTGTAGATGAGGACACACAACATGTTATAGCCATATCATGCAACAAAATGCTCAGGTGTGTTGGGCCATTGGATACCCATAATTTCACATTTTAACTCTAAAGTGAAATCTCTCTCCCTCAAACACACACACACACACACACACACACACACACACACACACAGCATACTTCTATCACTCATTACTCGTTGTGTACCCTGCAGAAACTATTCCTAGGATGTCTCATAATAAGATGGGCTAATTAGCTTTGGTTCTTAGGGAATCCATTTGCCCATTACTGTAACACATGCTGGGAGGTGTGTGTGTGTGTATAATGTCAGGCTGGGTCATTGGTAATCGCTAACATTTTTAGATAGCAGGCGTTAAAGGGCAATCTCTACCACTTAATATAGTTTTACTCTTCATACACATCCATCACTTTGCAGGACATATGATCAAAGTTTTCATTATCGTGCTTCATCTATTTGCTGTTTGCTCTGAAATCATTCCATTGACAAACAGAAATGCTTTGCAATGCCTTATGAACCATATAAATTATAAAACTGCTGCAGTGTTAAATTAGAAGGCTCCATGGTACAGAAGCTCCACTGATACAATAAGAATGATAATAACCTCCCAAACTAGAAAGTTACCTTCTCATCAATTTCCCAGGGAGTTGACAAAAAGTCAGTGTTGTATTACATCTAAAGAAGAGCAATAATAATGAAAATGGGTGGATCATTATTTATGATACTGCAATCATACGTTAGCTATATGACTTTTGCCATGAATGTGATAACGCTGATGGCAGAAACTGATGCGATCATCATGTGTGTGAGCAGGAGACTTCCCTCCAATCCATGAAATTTCATGTATTTTTAAGACCCTGCATTAACTCCGAATAGTCAGCAAACAATTGTTACCTGAAAAACAAAGGGCAAGATTCAATTAAAAAGTTAGACTGGATCTGCTGAATCCAGTTTGATGAATTCCAACCAGCAACAACTCAGACAGCTGGAGATCTTTCTAATCTTCCAAAGGCAGAAATAAGCTCCAGTGACATGTGTTGTTTTTTTTAAATCGATTCAACACCTTTACATGTGAAATCATTCTATATGCAGCGAGGTACTCAGCCTTTACAACTCTGTGGAAGCGACCTGCAAACAGCTGGTGAAGCAGTTACTGCAGAGCATTATTCACACAAAGACACACACATTTCAGCACATCCTAATATACACGACCTCATCAACGGGTCTGCCAACACACGTGCACATCCAAGCGTGATCCTGACAACGTCATGGTGAACTGCACACAATAGACATTGTTGTTTTATTTTGTGTTACATTTCTACATTATTATTGACATCATCGATAATCAGTTTCAGCTCCTGCTTGAATATGAAAACAATAACAAGTTTTAGATTAATAAATCATGATGGAATAGACAACTTCCTCACAGTCTGCACTCAATTCCACTGATGAAGAGGTCGATCTTATGATCTGTTTGGTTTAACATTTCTGTGGCAATCAGACTTTTAAAAGAAATACCTGCAGGCATTTTCATGTTTAATCATCACATTCCCTGAGAAGGTGAATACATTTCTAAGAAATGCATGAAAACAACCAGAGCAGGTTGTAAAAACAAAACAGAAAGCTGCTTCTGGAAAGTTTGACGAAGATCCTCCAAACGGAAATGTCTGCTGGAATGGAATGTACTTTCTGATATAATCTGCTAAACATTTCAAATATATATTTTTACAGACTGTCTCATCAGGTGGCAGGTAAACAAGAGGAAATACCTCAAAGTTAGAACAAATGGAGGAGGTCACACTGGTGGCTTTAAGACGTGTATTGTACATAAATAATTATTGTAATAAAGAAAGAATTGCATAAAAAGACATTGCTGAAACCTCCCGCTTGGAATAACCACTATCGCTCCAATCCTCTGTCCTATTCTCCTCCATCGCTCCGTCTTCCTCTCTCGTCTTTCCATATGATGGGCCAGCAGCTGAGGGTATTAGAATGTTCTCTCTCAGTCTGTCATCCCCTTCTTTTCACACCTAGCTCTCTCTTCTGTCTTCCTGGCACCACTGTTCATGCATTTCTGCTGACACGATTCACAGGAACCACACGCACACACCACGTGGACATACATGCACAAATGCAACATTGACTCATGTTCTGGTATAGTCTGGCTCTCTGACTGACTCGGGGGATTTTCTTATGCACTCTCCAGGTGGTGGGCTACCATGTGAATGCGTACAACCTCGTGGTCTCAATTCAAAACCAGCATTAGAAAACTCAAAAAGTGCCCTGTGACAAATTAAAAAGTCCAAGGCAGACCCAACTAGTGAGAATAATTTACACAACATTTTCAACAGGTAAGCAGCATGACAGCTCACTCTTGGCCTTTGAATTAGTATTTGGAAAAAAACAAAAAATCCCATAAAAAGGTTCACATTTTTCCCAGTCTTCTCTCTCAGAATACACTGTGGGTTAATACAACCTCATCCAAGCCTCCTGAACTAACTAAGCAGGGTAAACCACCTGTAGCTTAAATTACATCACTGATTTACTGTAGATATATACACGCCACCATACATCTCTGCGCTTCATTCACTCCGCCTCTCTTTCTCTGATTTATGGCTCTATAACACTAAATGCATCATCAGCCCCTGAATACTTGTCATTCAGGTGATGCTTTTTTGATGATGCTGTAAATTGTAGTGAGCTTGTTAATCACAAGTGTTAAATTAACAGATCCACCGATTTTTGGTGACATAATCTGACAAAATGATTCGAACAAAAACCTAAAATGATGATTCTTTAGATTATACAAGCTGTAAGTCTCGTGTCAGGGGATGTAGCTGAGTTTTTGAGGGGGGGGAATCCCTTCTGATTTCTAGCAGAAACTGAGCTGGATATGTGGACTCACTTCTTGGGACTGTGTCGGTATCCCTGTCAGAGTGAGGAGGCTGCAGTCTGGCGCCTGCCTCGTTCCTCCCGCAATATAACTTCAAGGACATCACATCACAGGGGGGCCTTCAGGAGGGCAGCGTGATGTATCTCTACAGCGGGCATCACATCCAATCTGAGGCCGGTGAGACGCCTCATATTTCAAGTGTCATAATAGTGTTTGTGTCCTGAAGAATGGCTTATTGATGTGTTAATATATGTTTGACAGTGTCATTGTTTCCTTGGCTGACTCTTGAGAAAAAAAAGAATTTCAACACCTACACACCTTTCAGTATATTTATTAATTAAATAATAAACTGACGTTTTGGAGAATATGCCTTATTAATTTTCTTGCTGAGAGTAAGCAAGGTGAGAACATTGATAACAATCATTTACAATGGTATCAATCTTCTTACACAACCTTTGACAAGAAAGCCAATAAGTATATTTTCCCAAATGTCAAAATATTATTATTATAACATATAGTTTGTGTACTTTCTTACTTTTGCACCTAGAACTTTACATTTTCTATAATTTGTCTTTTGAGGTTCTGTTTTCTGTAGATACCAGATAGGGTTCGCCTTGCATAGCACAAATACAAACATTTTGTTTTAGTTGTCTTTTGGTTTGTTGTTGTCGTTTTACTTTGCAGTCTATCAATTTGACCATATGGGTGTTTTACACTGAGAGTGTCTTCCGTCTGAATTTTGGCAGGACAGAGTCGTTGTGTCACATCTCTCCTCCTTCCACATCCTTCCCTCCCTTGCTCGCTTACAGCTCTCCTCCCATCAGAGTATTGGCAGTGTGCGGAGCGCAGCGTGGACTCGTGGAAATGTCTTGGCGGCATTACGCACGACGACACGATAAACGCGAAAGCCTCATTTAGAAGGACAGGGCACTTTCAAGCTGAACTGGACTGGCTTTCAACTTTTGATTTGGTGAGCACTTATTTCTCCTCATCGTCTCATTACGGCGGATGGAACTCGGATCTCTCCCTTCGCGACAGCAGCAGTGGGGCTGAATTACTTCCCCTCCTCATATCCGCAGCTCACGGTGACTATAGAGGAGTGGAAAATATGTAAAGAGCTTTGGGGGAAAACAAACTCTACAGAGATCGCAAAAAGATCGCAAAAAGAGAGGATGATCCCACCGGCCAATATGATTCAGGACGAAAGTGGGGGCAAAGAGGACGAACGGGACCAGAATGAGACACCCAAATCCCCGTCGGCGAACGCCAGCCAGCAGGAAACCAAGGTAGGACTATCCTGTTGTTATTTATTATTCATCAAAACCCCCTCAGATAGACGGATAGACTGTGGGATCCGCTACTGTTCATCAGTCCAACAACTCTTATTAATAGAGCTGGGCAAACAAACTCTGAAACACTGAAATCGACTCAACAGGGACCAGCTCCCAAAAAGAAAAACAGGCATGTAAACTATGTATTTTTTCTGTCAATGACTCAGACTGATCACCCCTTTAAAACAGCGTCATGAGTCTAAACTGAATACCTTTAGGGAAAATACCATACTAGCTGTACAAATAGGACAGAAAAAAACCCCGTTTAAAGTGCGATGAAGGGCCAATGCAGACTCATTATTAGTACAACAGACCTCAGCCTGTAAGAATACCATGAGAATAACATCATGATAATAAGAAAAAAACCTTTAGATAAACCAGGTTACACTCACAATCGAGTTCACACACACTCTTTTTATGACTTTAGTGTACATATATTGTGTGTGTTTTTTTCTCTAGGGAAGAGGCCACAAACCTATAACTAATAGGGATTTATGGTATTTAAATTAATTGTTGCGAGATCAATGACGGTGGAACGGCTTTTTAAAGCTCTTGAATGAACCTAAAAACATGTTCACAGTGTGCTGTAGTGGTAAAAGAATTAGTATGGTGTTACTGATATGTGTATATTAATAAATAAGTGGAATATGGTATTGTAATTTCAACTTGTGGCTGAGTGGAAAGGAGGCTGTGCGATAGAGATCCACAGTTCCTGCCTCAGGTGTTTTGCCATCTATGTCGGTCACATGTTACCCAGACTACTACAACTTGCAGTAGAATATTGGACTAGTCATCATGCTAGTTAATGGCCACATCAGCTCTCCTCTCCTGTCCCGAAGCGCATATGAAGGACAGATGAGACACATACTTTATCTTTATTATTCTCTAAATGACAGTTTGTGAAATTCAGAGAAAAAGTTGAAGCTTTCATCACGATCATAGTGATGCCCTCCTCTTTGTATTGGGTCTTTTAAAGCTTGTGCATGTGAGCTCTTGCTTTAGCACATCTGGTCACTATGTATTTCAAGAGAGTCCTGGCTGACATTTCACATAAAGCCTCTGCCAAACAACCACACTCCTTTCCAATATCTCACTTTATTAGAACACATCCCAACAAAAAACGTGATTATAGAATTGTTTAATCATCCTTACAGGCAGTACAAGTAGAATGAGTTCCACAGTAGGCTGAACACATGTTCTACCATCAAGTGAAGCTTTGTTTCTGTTTGTATTCCTCCTTTAAGAATACTGTGAGGCCTGAACATCACAAGCGCAAGGTGAGCCTCCACTCTTGTGTAAACTGTAGCGCACTGCTGATTTTAGTCCATTGTAACATAACAGCATACCTGCATGTACATAAAGATAAAAAAAAGTTGTTTTGCGTTACAACTGTTACTGCTCTTTAAGGTAGATCACTTTGGTGACATCCATGCCATATAAGGTTTCATCCACCGTCACTCATGTTTCTAGAGGGCACTCTTTGTTTAGAGACTGCATCATTAACTTTATTTATTAACAATGATTTGATATGTCATCTTATGCCATAACTGGCTTTTATTTCTTATTTTTTCTGCATTACCTATAGCCCCGTTAACCCTCTCTGCTTCGGATAGAACTCAGCTCCCACAGATTTGGTGCCATCAAACACAGCATGAGCTCCTCAATGCATGCACACATTGCCTCACTTTATCTATTTAATATAGTTGTTTTTTTAAGTTTAGATATATAAAACCACCTTACAGGAAAGATGTATCGTACAATTTCCCATTACAGCCGTTTAAAATAAGTACACATGCAGAATGTCCAGACAAAAATTGCTTATGTATATCATTTACTTATCAAGACCTAACTGTGTTAACATTACTGTTATGTGTTACCAACAACTTTACTTTTCAGGGTGTGTAAAAGCCATGCAAGTGAAGAACTACAAGAGGCTGCAGTAGAATATATGTGTGCTGTCTGTTGTGCGTTCCTGTGTGTGGGTGGTAACGGGAGAGAAAGGGTCCAAATTGATTTTTTCCAGAGTGACCCGTACAATTGATTGATCTTCACCGTACCAAAGCTTCAATGATAAGCTGCAATTGTTCAGGCGTTTTAGCCAACAACATCATCAGCTGACAATGTATGTTTGTTTTTTCCCTTATTTGTATTGTATAGTTTAAGTCTGGGATTTCATGTTAGTATCTCAACTCCAAATCTGTTATAATGTTATCATGTATAAACTGTGTCAGTGTGTACATAACTAATACTTTGGAGCAAACTTAGAAGGGGACGGACTGTGTGCTAAGATATAATAGAGTCCTTCCTTACCCATCAGTCACATGAAACATAATATAATTCTTCAATCAGAGACCTGCAGCCACACACCAGCCAGAAACCAGAACCATAAAATCACTCAATACAGTAGCTTAGAGATTCTTTATTGCGTGTTTGAGCGGGGGATTAAGTTGGTTTCATGGAGGAGGAAGTACACACTGAGAGGTTAAATGAGGGGCTGTCAGTGTGGAGTGTTATGAATAGCATTACTGTAAAAGAGGAGCCTAAGGAGATTGATAGAGGCTGCAGCCAGAAATGGCAGCACAGCGTGTGAGAAATAGTGCTGATGTGATGCATTGCTCTAACCAGGAAATCACATTACCTTCCAGGGAATCTCAAAGGTTTTTCATTGCGCAGTGATAAGTTGCCCCTCTCAATGGTCTTTTATCAGCCATCGGACACTGAGATATTTGCCAGAAGGTTTTAGAGACTACCTTTGTAATTTATTTAGGTTATCACAGGAATTGATTTACGCCACTGAATTATTCTATGTCCTCTGTCATTCTCTCTCCTTTTCATTTTCTGTCTGTTTCTCTCCCTTGCTCTATTTTACTTCAACTTTTTTTTAAATCTCTTTTTTCAGCTGCAGAGACTCAAGCGCTCCTTATCCTTCAAGACCAAGAGCATCCGCAGCAAGAGCGCGGACAACTTCTTCCGAACAAGCAACGACAACAAGACGGAGCTTCTCTCAGATGTGAGCAGCAGCACGGGCCATCTCTGCAACATCGGGATGGCCCCGCCGCACACCACCAACCTCCCCATTCCTCCGGTCCCTCCAGCCATCCCCTCTGCACCTCCACCCACATCACGCTCCCAGTTACGCAACCCGCTGCAGGTAGACTCGGCAGGACACTGCTTCATGGAGCACATCTTCAAGAAGCCCACGTTCTGTGACGTCTGCAACCACATGATCGTAGGTATGGTTACAATGCCGCCCTCCTTCATTAGTGTGATCAGAATATACCAAACAAAGCACAGATCAGAGGAGAAAGCAAGGTAAAAAAAAAATCCTGCACATTATCTAAGGAACTTTGCAATCACAGCATTGAGAATAACCTTTTCATAATGAGACCTTCATCAGCTAACCTGATGGAAGGTATTAGTAAACTAAATAATGAAGTAATGAATATGCAATAATATGCACATATGGTATGGGCACAGCAGGATGTACGTGGTTTTCGTCTCCTAAAGCGCCTACATTTGTTTTCATATCCTAAAGTTTTTTATTCAGAATGAACACACAAGCCATATGTATTGGAAAACTCCCCGACATTTAGGCACCTGACACTGAGCATCCAACCTGACCTGCTGACGTGACCAAAGTGTTTCAGTCGTCCTTTTTTTCACACATTGAGCCAGGTCCCTCCATCTGTCCGCTGGGGTGTCAGATAGCCAACAACAGTGCCAGCGCCTCTCCCTGTTCTCCCCTCGCCAGATGTTCCGGTTTCTCTGGCTGCTCCCCTCCTTGTTAACCATCAGTACTGAGGGACCACTTAGTCTTTATATCTCAGGGCCTCTGCAGCACGATAATGACAAGGGCTGCCCGTACCATCTGCTCAACAATCCCCTGATTTCACATTTGGTAGCATGTATACAGCATGTGTATATATACAGTATACTGGAGTAACACCAGCGCTGTATCAGTTTGCCAACAGTCTTTGATTTTCTTTGCATAACTGAAATAATTTAGCTTTGTCCCGTGTATCTTAGAGCTTTAGATCTCACTCTTTAAACCTTACAAAAGCAAATTCAACAGACCCTTTAAAGTTCTTAGTTGGGACATTGAGTCAAACATTTCTTTTCATTTCCCATTAGGATGGAAGACTAACAAATCTATTTGCTATCAGTTTTGGTATTGGTCATCAAAAATCCATACTGGCTTTAATACTACTCAAGCAAAACTAAAGTTCATCCCACCATAAAACATATTTCTACATATTTATGACCATTGTTTCTTTACACTAGTCTGTTGGTGTGGCCAGTGACACGCATCCACTGGCCGAAGCCTTGAATGGGCCTCTGGTGGTCTGTTAATAATGAAAGTATGATGTCAGGCCTCCCTGGCTCTGTGATAGGTGCTGAGCCCTCCGGTCCACTGATGAAAAAAGATGCTGCCCTCTTCTTCATTTGTCCTGCTTTAATGAGAACACAGCAGAGAGACAGGGAGTAGAGGTGATTTTTCTGTGTGTGTGTGTGTGTGTGTCTGTGTAATAAGCTTCGATGGTGCTGTTAAAGACTGTGTCTCACAGTCAAAGGGCAGCACACAGGAGAGAGAGAGAGAGAGAGAGAGAGAGAGAGATACACAGTTGTGGTAGAGGGGCTTGAACTGATAATACAAGCTATGATTATTAAATCATAATGCCCAGACATTATCTGCATTTTTATGGAGTTAAAATAGTGCAGTAATTGTTTACAAGTGTTTTATAACATTGATAAAGGTGGACAAGATTGTGTTAAGTGGAAGATACTTGTAATTGAATGAATGTTAGTGCACAGCAAACTAAATACACGTTTACACATTTCAGTGTGCACAAAACCACATTGTTGGTTCTCTCAAGTACAAAATAACTGTTTTAAATACAGATTTTCATTTGTTCATCTTGTCGATAAAACCGAATAAAATATAGAAATACGCCACTGAAAATAAATGAAAATGATAAAATATTTTTGGATTTCTATTCAGTATAATTTAAAAGAAAAATGTTGTGTGTGATATCTGGAATGTTTGTTTGTTTAACTTTACCCAATAAACACAAGTTGAAAAGATAAATAATATAATATATGTAACCTGATATGGTCTTCTTTAATTGGATTAAATGAAATATACACTCGTTTTACCTCTAGGGGCAATCTCATAATCAATGTTACGAATTTTTCAATTGGTAACGCACCCTAATATGTAGATTATTACCTATGTGCAATATATAAATGTGTTTATATTGCAAAAGGCAGCCTAGAAACATTAAACACCCACCTTATTCCTGTATGAGGATCCTTTATTGTATAAAAGCCCGTACAAATTAATTGTGTCATCCATAACCAAGATGGCTGAATTACATTAAAGTGCTCACTGACTCATTCATTAGGTTTTATAGATGAAGCAGAACTAGATTATAAATATTTGATAGAGCAATAAATATATTACCAGTTTTTCTGTAGGCGTTCATCTTTGTTTTGAAACCTCTAGTAAAACTACAGCCTAGTAAAAACAGTCAAGATGTTTTAATCATTTATTCATTTTCTAACTAAGATCAAGGTCAACACTTCATCTGTTTGACTCTGCTTTGTCACAAGATACGAATAAGAGGAGACTCCTTGTAGGAAAAATTGTCATCATTGTTATTCGGTCATAAAGTTAAGCACAGCTGCACCCAACTTCAACCTGAGTAGCCGTCTAATCAGCCAGAGTAATTGCAAACACCTGTGTGGGTGGAGAGAGCCTTTAAGAAGAAGAGGTTAAGAGTACTATTGCAACTTAACCAAAAGGTGTATTCAGTGTGCCTGTCTCACCACATTTTCCTCTATTTATTCCAAGGTTACTCTCGCTGCTATTGTGTTTCACATCATTACACGGGCTAAGTGCTATGTGCGGTGTTCAGCTTTTGTCCATAAAAGCAAGTGTCCTTATTGTGATGCCCACAGTGAATTTGTTTCACTGTGAACAAAATGTTTCACTGTGAACAAAATGCTCCGATAGAGTACAGGCTGATGATGAGATATTGATTCCAGGTCTTTGCAGCAAATGGCTTATTAAATAAATGTCTACATGAGTGAATGGGAGAGTTAGCTGTGACTGACAGAGGGTACAATATAATTATTCGGGCAGATTTTTAGGTAACAAATTCCACACAAAGAGCTTGTAGGACTATACTTTGTACAGTATAAGTACTGTATGAGGGATATATGCAGATGGAGAATACAGAAATGTAAGCTTCTATTACAAAGTATTACAAATTAGTATCACTGTCAGTCAGTAATCACGGATATCCTGCATCAACATTTAGGGATTAGGCAGAGATTTACTTACACAATCCCTTAAATGCCTCAAATCAAGGCATCTAAATTCCTGGATTAATTAATCAGACAAGTTGATATTCACCACGAATTAGAAAGTAATCTCCCTTGATTAACATGCACCAATCCGTGCTATGAAATCCCTGAGATACACATGACAGGTTCGGTGGACCCTAGAGAGAAATAAATCTGGGGGGGTGAGAGGTCAAGGTGGGGTAGTAGACAGATATGAGATATGCCTCAGTTAGCGATGCTAACTGAGGCTTTACGACTTCTCGCTGCATTAAAACACACACTGCACAAACATGTCAGACAAACACACACTTACTGTGAATGAGGTGTATACTAACGGGTGTCAGTAGTGTTTTCTCTCTTTCTGTCACACAAGATACAACAGCTGTGTGTTGTGACGACCTTGCACTTCCACTGATACCCCCATTGATTAATTTTAGTGTTACAACTGACAGCCAACATTGTCTGCCATGTCTTGAAAATGTCTGTCACACCATTGCATTATTAAAATGTAGTAAAGAATGTCAAACTGTATGGGCGCCAGCGTGGAAAATGTCAGCTGAAAAGAGCCCGTTCATAAAAAGATAAAAGAAAGTGACATGCTTCACATGGTAAACATTATAACTGCAAAACAACAGCTTGTCGCCATTGTGAAAATGTTAGCATGTAGTTCTAACCATAGTCTCACAGAGATGCTGGCATGATTGTAGACTTGTAGCCTACGTTACATCCGTACCCCTGACAATCCCTGATCTCAGATGGACACATAACAAGCTATACTCCACCTTTGTATTCAGCATTCTAGGCCTTAGTTCCCTAATTCTCTAGATGGGTAAATGGGATATTTGGTGGTGAAAAAAAAAATCCAATGGCCGTGGGAGAAACTAATTAAAGTATGTAAATTAACCAAAGACTGCTGCTCAGGTCAGTGTTTTGGAGGAGCTTAATAAGAACAGGAGGTGGAGGAGTTTTTGTCACGATGAAGGTTATTTGCACGAAAAATCAGGAGGCGTGAAGTAAAAACAGTGGCTTAATGGATCAATGTGTGGCTGTTGTAAAGAGAGTGTGCAGCGTGAGAGAGATACTGTAGGGAGAAAGATTGGGAAATTAAGGAATAAAGACTGTGGGAAAAAAAATTGAGGCAAGAGGTATGGGAACTCTGGCAGGAGTCTTGTCCTTTACTGTTAAATGAAGAATGGACTTTAAAAGCAGAGTAGCCAAGAAAGAGCAAATGCCATAGAGAGCCACTCACTTTCTTCACAGCTGTAATGTCCTGGCCTCCTCTCCAAGCCTGGAGGAAAAAGCACCTAAACACACACACGTGCACTAACATCATTACTCAGCCATTACTGAAGAAAGTCGACAATGTCAGTTTCTTGTATCAGCCTGCGGAAACACAGCGGTTTGTTCCCTTCGTAAGCTGTTATGAGTTAACATGGAGTTATCTCATTATTCCTCCATGTTGGAGTGAGTAAGCTCAAACAAGCCAATCACACACAGACAAGAACTTGAGTCACGGTGTCTTAAAGATGACTTAGAATGAAACTCACAAGTCTTCATTGAACATCATTGATTTAGAGTGACCTAAAAATTGGTACAGGTCGTGCTCATTGCCTCTGCTCCTGCTGTTGTTGCTTTTTGTGTCAATATGGGGGCTAACCGATGAGAGGTTCAGGCCAGGATCACATTTCTCTTGGTTTCCGTCTTAGGTTCTCTAAGTCCGCCAGCTCTGTGGGCGGTCAGGCTCAGCCAAGCAACACAAGAGCTTAAAATGGGCAATACATATACAGTTTTCCACCCATTACTGAGTTCCTGTCACTGCTGCCCAGTTCCAGATAGCCGTGACACCAGTTCACATTGCAGCACGTGAAGGGCAAGCAGAGATTTGTCCCCCTTGTTGGCTAAGTAAACTACATGAAGGGCTTTGTACCTTAAGTACACAGTATCTTGTGTTTGCTGTCTTGTTCGGGGATCAGGTGTTCTGCTTGGTTTCATAGTTACAGTGTTATCTCTGCTCACTAAACTCAATATGCTGCAGTCGAGATTGAAATGCTGACAGTATGTGCTTGCCGCAATGCCCATTCACAATGCACAAAAAAACTGGACAAAACTTGACAATTGCGAACAACGTTGATAATCTTTCAGTGATGATTGCTCTCTGATTATCCTCTCCGCGCTCTTAGCGCATACTGATGAAGATCGATGAATCCTTTGCACGTCAGAATTTTCAAATGCATGCATGCAGAGTGTAGGCCAGGCCAGGGCTCATGCTCATTGACTGATCAATAAAGAGCTGGAGGTGCATATCTGCCAGACTACAACTAATAACAGCACTGGGACTTGTTAACACTGTCGTCTCTTGTTAATGTGGAATGACTGATACTCCACTGCTGGCTGCAAGTGGTGTTTTTTTTTTGTCCTGTTATGTGTACCATGGTAATGGTTTAGAGATAAGTCTTCTTAGAAACCCTTCTTTCATTTTATCTTTTGTGAGGATGTATCATTTGAAACGTTAAAAGGAAATAATTGCACATTTTTATATATTTGGTCTTATACCGCACTCTTCCACAGTCCAGTAACAGCCGGCCAGTCAGCCAAACGTATTGTTATTTCAATGCAGAGCATTTATCAATACTTGGTGTTTTAAGTTCTGGACACATCGCTCCCTCCAAGCATTGAACAATTGTTAAAATGGAATTAAATGTAAGATGAAAGCTGGATTTTCCTCCAGGGAAAATTACTCTCCCCATTTACTACCCAATCATGGCGGTTTTACACACTTACTGCATGCTGAACCTGCCCATTCATCTCTCACCCTTTTGTTGTATTTTGTTCTGTCTCACAAACACTCACAATGACAGAGCCCCAGCCCAGTGATCCCCATTAAAGATTGCATTGATGCAATGTGTTGTGGTTGCCATGTGAGCTTTTATTCTCTGCCAACACCTTTCTCTTTACAATCTCACATCTCCACAATCTAGTCTCCACATCTATCTCTCTATCCAAATTCATTTTTTGCTCCTTCACACACCCCTGTGCATTAATGCGTGGAAGCATGCTGGATGTTTGCTGTTGCAGTGTTGCATAACTTTGGCTCACAGATAAATCAGATTAATCTTAATTTATTCCAGCAACTGTGATTGCGTGTGTATTAATAAGGGAGGGTGAGCCTCACACAGGCAGCAGTTTGAAATGGGTTCTCATGCTGTTGATAGCACCTGCTCAATTACAGTCAGTTTGTTTTAAATGGTTTTGCAGAAATGCACCTCATGTGTCACGTTCGCAAAATTTTGTCCCATTTCTCTTCGCAGGTTTTCGCCAGTGCATAAAGCCTAGGCTACGAATAAGCGCGTAAAGCCAATTTTTCGCCATGTAGTTTGCTGCTCACTTAGGGACACCATTTGAATCCAGTTCCTGCAGGACATATGTGAACCTTTTTGCCTCTTTTTCTGTGTGTGTATCAGGAACAACAGCCAAGCATGTGGTGTTCCTGGCGGGAAACACGGCAAAGCATGGCCTCCGCTGCAAAGCCTGCAAGATGAGCCTACATCACAAATGTGAGAATGGAGTGGGACAGCAGCGCTGCATGGGCAAACTGGTAAGATGCATGACACCAAATAACACAGACACAAAGACATAATATAGACATTTTTCTCTTTGCTGTCAACAGTTTGGGAACATATACTTACTATGTCAGTATGATAAAAACCAAAACAGACATATTGAAATTGGCTTTCTGACCGTTTCCCAGTAGAATGTGCTTATTCAGAAATCACACTTTATGTGCGAGTGTGCTGGTACATCTGTCACCGTCCATCCTCGTCATCATGCTCATAATCGTTATATCATCAGTCTGTCCGTCTAAGTGTTAGATAATAGCAATGCAACTCACTATTTACAAAAATGCTGACCTCCTCCGACCCTCTGTTAAGTTCTGCCGGGCTGCTGTCAGCATAGACCATTGAATCAGAATCAATACAATCACCCTGAAGCAACTTCATCACCTCTATTGAAGATGTCACATGTCAGAGTGTTATGATGTGTTTGGCATTTCACAGTCCCAGCCTTGATGTCTGCTTTTTAATATGCGAGTGGAGCATTGGCTTGTTTGTGAAAGAAGGGGGTGTAAAATAATATTTGGAACAATTATCACATCATTAATTATTCCATTTTAGCTTTTAAATCACTAGCTGAGGCAGTGCGATTGTGAAAGCCTTTCAGTATCACAAAAATGGGAAAGTTGGCGGTATTGATCGGTGATCAGCTACTGATTTTAAATGTGCTTACGTGTTGACATAAAGAACTAGAGCAAAACTGCCTCATTGAGTAGGGGGAATTTATTTAATTGTTATTTGGTTCAGTCAATGAGTCTTTTCAGTGTTATTACCTCATGATCATGATCTGTAATATAACCTCCTCACTTAAAAATCATCAACTGAGAGATCAAGCCTTGCTATCATCATTGAATATCATTTTCCCTCCCAGCAACAGACTTTCTTGGGGCCTCTCCTCATTTCTGGGTGATGATAATGGAAATCGCGGGCTATTATGTGATTCACAATCATCATCGTCTCACATCTTATGTGAACCTGCAGTGTAATGAGACCATTTGGTTTTGGACTTGGTCTGTTGGGAAGGGCTGAGCGTTTTCACTGGGGAGGATTCAGTTACACCAGCGAAGGCCAGCTCCAAGAACGTTTTTTTTTACTTTGATGGCAGTCCAGCAAACTGGCAGTCAGGACTGAACTGGGACTCTTTAGTCATTCGCACACAACCCACACTGAGGAGAAAGAGATTGTAACACTGTCAGGGCATATTATGTGTGATTTCCTACCTTTTCTTACCTTGTTCCCAGTATTTGGCTACACCTCTATTGAGAAAATGTGGCTGGAATTAGTTGAGGGAATTTGAAAAAAGCTGAGTTTGTGATAATCAGCAAGAATAAAGTGCGTAGATGTCATATGGAAATGATATGGAAGTACTAACTGTACAGGCAGGCCTTGTGACCTCTCTCCACTAGATGCCTGAGGGATGAGGCTTGCAGATATGATCGGCTCTTAGGAGTGGAAAATGAGGTTGAGAGGTCAATAGATAAAAAGGGAAGTTCCCCCAGTGGAGTACAGCTCTAAATTCAATTTACTCTAAATTTGGAGACTTCAGCAGCCATGCTTGTTTCTCTTGGCTTGAGAACTCTTCAGCATAGAAATCAAGTTAGCTCACGCTCTGCATCTTTATAAACCATGAAACCAGTGTTTCACCATTTGTTCACTAGGTTTCTGTGCTTACTGAAACAATGACAGTGAATTCATAACACATACTGTATAGTTTAGAAATGGTGGTATTAACAGTCAGGCCTTTGTGGTTCAGCTATTTGGTTACATAACATTACTTCACCTTTAGCTTTGGCAACAATCAGCTGATGATGCTAATGTTTTATGATTTTCAACAACCGTGGAGGAATAGTTTGGTTTTCAGTGAAATTTTGAAACTTAGAATCAAACACACAAGGTTTTCCTGTTTTTATGGTTATGGACCATTCACTAAAATAAGTTGCTTTAGCTTCTCCTGACACACAGTTATGGTTTAGATTCAGTCTTTACAACTCCAGCAACAGTTTTTCCATTTTCCAGTTTGCAGCTACAGCTTCATCCAGATTCCTTTGTGTTTCCTTGGTGCCCAGTGTACACGACACAAGTTTGATTCAGTGTTTGACAGAGACAAGATCAGTGAAAACATTCACCATATGCATGTTCTCTCCCAATATCTAAAAGCGTTTGGATGAATCTCTCAATGTATGTGAGATCAAACAGCAGTACCTGAGAACTGATAACAATGTTTTGTACAACTTCGTATGGCTGTATCATTATTCTGCGCTACCTGAAACAGCTGTGCATGAATAAATAATTTAAGTGGAGTTCTCTTCTCCCAGTGACTTTTTAATGAACAGAAAAAAGCATATTGTGGATTAAAGACACATCAGAATGGCCACCATGACTCTTCCCCAGATTTCCCCAAAACCTACAATCATTGCTGTCACAACATCAGTGTACTCAATGAAGTCACTGACAGCACCAGTGAGTGGTGTCTTTTGTTTGTAGCCAAATTAACCAGATTCCTTGATGAGTTTGCCCCCAAAAAAGCTGACGTCTCAGTTCTCGAGATGGGCCTGAAGAACTCAGGGTTGCATATTTTAGCCTTCTCATCAAAAGTGTCAAATGAAGAATGAATCACGACCACTTGAATACATTAAATGTAAACAAACGGCAGTCCTATGAGATGTAGGTCTCCAACGCTGATCCTCACATCCAGCAAAGATTTGAAATGGACAAATAATTATCGAGGACAATCTCCAGAAAAAAAGAAAATGCCAAAAAAGCTGAAGATATATAAATGATGAATCACCCAATGATTGAGGCGTCTTTCAATCTCCTGTCTTTCTTCTTTACTTAAGAAGGATTCAAAACAGATGGGGAAGTATTGATTGGATAGGATTGAGGTTGGTAATGGATATATAAATGATAAATGTTTTAGGGCCTTCGGAGATGGAGGGAGGACATGATGAATAAAGATAAATCAGGACAGTGACTTTAATACCATTTGTATCTGTAGTCCTTAATATTTTTTCATTCAAATAATAATTGGACGTCTGTTTAACATTAACAAGAGTGATGTCTGTCTACCAGTGTGGCAGAACTTTATCTCTGTCAGTTGTGCTCAGAAACGTCCGACTAAAGAGAGTTATGTGCAGTATTTCAGTGTCAGGGTGCTGTGGGGCTGCATATTGATTTCTCCGTCACTTAGCTCTCTTTTTCCCCCTCTCTGTCTTTCAGCCAAAAGGCTTTCGACGTTACTACAGCTCTCCATTACTGATCCAGGAACAGTACGGCTGCATCAAAGAAGTCATGCCCATTGGTGAGCAGCTTAAATCTCCATAATAATTTCAACTTTGTGTGGGATGACATGCTCTTAAGCAAACTACACTGTTCTCGAACCACTTCTCCGCTTGAGCTGTTTTACAAGATGTTCCTGTTTTTTTATAGTATTGTAAAGCACCACATGCCTAACTTAAAAGCTTAACATTTGTTTGCCATCATGTCTTCATTCTTTTCTAAAGCCTGTGGCAACAAGGTGGACCCTGTGTATGAGGCCTTGAGGTTTGGGACGTCGCTGGCACAAAAGGCCAAGAGAGCCAGTGGCTCTGAGTCTCCACACAGAAACTCGGTAAGAAAAGGATCATTTATCATGTTTGGTTAGCGTTTGTTTTTACACTGACAACACAAAATACCGGTCACAAAAACTTTCTGTTTTATTTATCTTATCTCAATATTTTCATCAAGCTATAATGCACATACAGCTTATCACAATCCAGTTAATATATTATACTTGTTATGTTTTGTCCAACTGCAACAGGCATACTGTAGCTGATGGTCTAAATAGATACTGCCACTGCAGGGCTGTAAACACTACCAATAAAGGCAGTCTGGTACGGGCAGTAATGAAGGGAGACGTCGGGGCAAACACTCATGTTACATCTCTGAAGATGAACTGGACCGATTGTACTGTACAGCTACACTCTCCAGCCTCCTTTCTGTCCCTGTGTAATACACAAGGAAATCTGTTTTTCATAGCTTATCACTGTTAATGTAATCTAAACTGTGTTTGCAGTCCGGATACGTCTCTGTATGATGACAAGAGAAAGCTGTTGGGTTTGGGCCATCCCGTCCTCTACAGCTGTTAGTGAATGGACGTGTGTGTCGGTGGAGGCTCACAGAGACAATGTGATCTCAACAGGGGTTTATGATAATAGTTTCCAAATGCAGACTTAACAACAGCATGTTTGCTACACTGCAGTTTTCTGCAAAACAACTGTTTAGACTGTGAAAGAGAATGAATTTTTAGCTATTTTAAACTGAATTACTGAATTGAATCTCTGTCTATTTCATCTGTTTTATCTCTTCCATCTGCACTCAAATCATCTTTGAATGATCTCTGCAGATCAGTGACTTGGATAAGGTTCCAGAGGAAGTGGTGGCTCACAGCAGTAGGCAGGAGCTGTCGAGAAAACACAGCGATGATGGTGAGTATCTTTTGCGGTACAATGTGTGCATCTGGATTACGGCCATGTAGTGACACAGGGAAAAAAACACACTGCCATTGCTGTTGCCACAAGAGAGTCTGAGAAAGTTGCAACATCGAATTTTTCTCCTCTGAACCATCAAAGATTAGTTTTCCACTATTTCCTGTATTTGCTTGCTCACTCTGACCCTGCTATAGAACGTCCTTTAGAAAAAGGCCAAAGAAACATGTGGACCTCTCTTTTTTAATCTGCATTGTGTGTAGCTCTTGATTTAGTGGCGGCTGAGTTTTTTCATCTTAACAATGGTCTCTGTCGTGAAGGGCAAGGCACTGACCCTTTACAACCTGGAGCATTCACTGAGCGGTGAAGGCAGAACTACAAGGAGAATGGTCGAGTGCACCAAGGAATTCCCTTGCTTTTGAAAATACTATTTGGAGCGTGGATACAATGCTGCTGAACAATTTCCTTCAGAGAATAGCACCTAGCCCAACAAAAACATGAATTAATATGTTCTTAGCCTGGGCCATGTGTCGGCCACGACACTGCTCTAGTTTCTTAAAAGTACTTGGATTCAAATAAATGGGATAAGACAAGATAAAATAAGCCATTATTGATCCCCAGAAGGGAAATCTTGGTGTAACAGCAGCACAAAAGTAAAATAAAATGTAAAAATACACAAATGATATCAGTAGAAACTATACAAAACTATACGAGAATGAGCAAGAGCAATTAAAGACAAAACTTGCGAGGTAGTGACAAGTTAATTGACAAGTTACACCATAAAGTGACAAGTCTAGTACGTTAGCAGAGTAGACCAGAATAATATGTACTGTGATTATGTAATGATACTTTGTGTTGTCTGTATTAATGTAGCAAATAGACCTATACTATAGTATATGATGTTAACATGGTATATATGATATAGTACAGTATGAATTATAAGATATAGTATAAGGTGCAATGTAACAGTAGTAATAATAATAGCCATAATAATACATTATTGTATAATATATTATAGTATACTGCATGAATATACATAATATAATTTACTGCAGCAGTATAACATAATTGATGAGTCTGATTTAGTGAAGCTAGTGTTTCCAGCTGCAGACGAGCTATCTCACTGGTTAATTGCTATGAAATTTGCCTTTTTGATTTCGTAGTAATTAATCATGCAAAAAGATTATAATTTTTACCACTTTTTTGGCAAGGTTCTTAAAGTAGCAAAGAATCTGAATGTTTTTCTGTGTCCAGCATATAATCTAACAAACATGGCAGCTTTTAGAGGCTGCAAACAGGGCTTTAGACACATTATCTTGTTGTTATTTAAATGGTTGTTGATATCTTTTAGGAATTAGTCTTTGTTTTTTTATCTTTCAGTTTTCACAGTTATTGAGAATGGGACAGATTATTACCTCCAGCCAGAAAGAAAACCTGATGATTTGCTGGTAAGAAATTAATCTATCTAATTGTATTACATAATAAATATCTAAATCTGTCAAGTGTGTGTGAGTGAGTACATTATAAATGCCTGAGCAGGACTGTTCTTCTAACATACACCTGTATTTTAGTAATGTCAGCCATTCAGACTGAATTGAATTGAAAGGAAATAAGATGGAAGTGTGATTTTTACGAGGAAAATATTCCAACAGTTGTAGAAAAAACACACACAATGATTCCTGTCCCTCCAAACAACATGTGGGCCTTTAATTTATGTCAAATGCAAATATGAGCAAATTTTGAGGTCAATATTTTTAAGCAAAAAATAAACTGGAAGAATAAGAAAAAGAAAACTGAATGTACCGAATATTATTTTAGAGGAATGGCAAGCTTAAACTGTACTGTCAGCAGCTCTGGGCGTCAACTTTTCACACTGATTGTTATTCTGCAGTTTGTTAGTCTTACAGTAACGTGTATTATTGCTGCACTCTGAAACCCTCTGAGAGCAGACTTTGTCCACTGACCTCTCTGAGAACTGATACCCAGCCAGTCCGTTCTGTGTCCATTAAGCATGCTGCACTTTGCCCTTGGCCTCCATCGTCACTGCTGAATTTCCCAGGACTCTGAGGGAAAACTTCTCTTCCTGCTGCAACAAATCATACCCACTTTGACAGTACCACTGGCCTGCACTAGTAGAGAGAAGCCTTGACCTTCTGGTTTGGATCTGCAGCTCTGTGCTTCTGTTTTGATTCTCTACAGTGAAGATGCGGTGCTGATGGTGCAAAATTCATGCTAGTGAGAGGATAAAAGGTGATAAACCTCTGTGAATATCTGCAGAGAAACGATGAATATTTCATGAGCAGATTTCAAAACGGCTCTTTTCCTTTCTATCTTCCATGATGGGGTTTATCGTATAAATGCTATTTGTACCCATTTTCTATGTGCAGCCATCTATTGTGTTTACTTTTATAGTTGAACATGTTTATCTCCATTGTCAACAATGGAAAAGGACCACAGATACTTGGGACAAATAACCATACAAGGCAAATAACCATACAAGGCAAAAAAAACACACACACATGCACACACCTATCTTCTGCAATACAATCTAGCAGTCCAGCCGTCCATTTCGGGGAAGAGACCTGAAGTGCATTGTGCTGTGTTATCAGGCTGGACCGAGCACAGCTGGCAACAGGCCGTTTGTCTGTCAGCCGACCATTAGCTCAGGCCGGCGGACAGACAGATGGAGGCTCTGCAGGGTAACGAGCAGAGAAAAACGCTCGGAAACAGCTCCAATTTGAGATGAGAGGCTCACACGCACAAATGGAACACATGCAGTCACACACAGGATCCCCATCTGTTGACGCTTTTCAGGTTTTGTGTGAAACAACCTGAGATCAATTGACAGTAAAATAGTCTGGCTCATGCTGTGATTTCTTTTTGGTTGCATTCTCTGTTTGGGAAGTTTTGATTTTGTTGTTGGTGGCGTTTTTTGTTTTTGTTTTGTTTGTCTGTTCATTTGAGCCAGCTTCTGCTAATCCAAAGAAACTTCTGTTGTTATTGCAGGACATGTAAAATGTGTAACTTCCAACAGCAAAAAGAAATGAGCTCTTGAAGCTTCACTAATCCTTATTTTTATAAAACATTGGATCAAATGACTATGTGTAGTGACTAGTTAGTAATTGGATGACACATTCATCATAAAAAAGGTTTTTAAAGTGATAATATGTCAAAGTTGTGTTCACGGGTTACTGTAGATTTAAAGGAATGAATACTGCTCTTCCATTTCCTTTTTTTTTGTTTTTCCTTCACCACACTGTCCCTCACTTTAAACACTGCCTTCTTTTCCAATAGCTCAGTTGCAAAGTTATCTCAACCTGCCCGACCTCTCGCTCAGTGTTTTAGGCTCCCGCAGCATCAAGAGCCTCTCAAGGCAGTGAGCAGCTCTTAGTTAGCGGCAATGGATTGCCACAGCTTGATGTTGTTGTTTTCACCCAGAGGCCACAGAGGCAGTTTGCCTCGCGGCTGCTTTCATCCATCAGGCACATTGCCTGTCCACATGGAGGATGCTCGGAGAGCCCCAAAAGACCAGAAACACTTCTCTTCATTAACTACACGGTGCCACAAAGACAGACATTAGTGTATCTTAAAAAGTCATTCTCATATCTTTTGGCCAAAACGTCCAGGCATTGTGCAGGGACAAGTTATCATTTGAAAGGATTTCTGGGGACACAGCAGGCAGGATTCAGACTCAAGGTATTAGTGATGAAATAAGAAGACGCCTCCAGCTTTGTGAGCAGGTGTGAAGAGCCCCAGAATGGCGGCTCATCTCCCTGCTAATTGTGCTAACACCTCTCTGACAACTTCCACTCCACCCACACCCCTCTCCTGTTATAACTTCCTGAGCGTTGAATACCTGATCCTGGTTCTCCCACTCGTGTTGACGGTGGATTAAGAGGAACAGATTGCAGAACAATTTAAGCTGCTCCCCGGTCCAGCAGTGTGTTCTGTAAACAAGGGCTTCTCCTACCTATGTGAATGCCAAAAGACTATTTTGAGACACGAGAAAATTGACAATAGAGAATATGTTATTTGTTTTTTTGTATGTGTGACTCTGAGCTTTGTTTAAATTGTCAGCAATGTTTTCCTTTTCCCAAGAGACTTCTTCAAAACCAAATTTGTATGTTCATGTCTTTCCGCGTTTGTGTCTTGTCTAGTTGGAGCAGAGCCAACTACAGAAGGATGTCCTTAAACTCAACACCTATGTGGCCTTGTTCAGCTTCACTCCCCAAGACAGCCATGACCTGGACATGAGGTTAGTTTACACACGGGACACATGCAGCATCAATGACAGAGAAACAGAATCTCATGTGACTTGTTTATAAGATTAATAAATGGACTCCTTTAGTCGCCCTAACAATAATAAGCTTCATATAGGTTGCACCTGCAGTTTGCAGTTGCTCTAAACTTGCCTTGTATGATCTGCAGCACACATGTGAGTTTGCAAAAACAAACAAAAAAAAGAAAATGGTGAAATGCAATCCTACTGTACATTATGCTCGTATACAGCCGTACAATGCAAGAGCGAGGCACACAATCACAAACACACAAAGTACACGTATGCACATAGTGTTTGATTTATGTTGGTAAATAAGATGACATGCTGGTGAAGAGCTGTCTACTCTTAGTCAATATTCATCTGCTTTTTAAAGCCAAGAAATTCTGTTTTCTTTTAATTACCGTGTCTGTGTTTTACCTTATGTAATCAGTGTATTAAGTCAAAAATTAAAAGAATAGATTTAGAACATGAACTAATTAGCCTCCTCTTTGTAGGTAATGGTCCTCAAAGATTAATTTCTCTGGAGTGGCCTCATTAATAGTACCTGTGTGTGTGTGTGTGTGTGTGTCATAATGGTCTATTAATATCAGTCAATCTCATGTATTCTTGGATTTATCTTGAGAGTCTTTGGAAAGTCTATTTATAGCTCCCATGAGGCATACACAGTGTACCAGTGGCTAAGCGGGGATATATTATTTTTTGAATGCTGGTAAAAAAACAAACATATTTTACTTTGGTTAAAAGTTTTGGCCGTTGTAATACCGCACATTCTTACACCATCAACACTTACACAATAAATTCAGTAAGTTCAAAGATATACAGAGGTAAATCTGGTGTGACTACAAACCCAGCAGTGAGGGTAACCATCTAGCATAGAGTACATATTGGACCCATCTGTAGTATGGACTTGAGTCTATGTTATTATCTCCAATACAATCTGAAACTCAGGCTACAGATAGCATATGGGATAGGATATGTCTTCCATCGTCGGCATACTTTATCATTCATTGACTTCTCCTCTTGGACTCCCTGTCCACTGATACCTGCTAAGCTCACCAAGCTTTGTTTCAAATGTATTTCTGTTAGGAAAGCTTACATCAATGTTTTGCTATTCTGGGTTTCGCTGCAGACAGTAATCAACACATGAAACACTTAGACACAAAGCACAAATTACGGGAGAAATGGAATCTTTAATCAAAAGGTTCAGTTTTCATTTTAAGCGAGAAAATCCGGTTTGTGATTAGTTTTAGTCGCAGCCACATGCTCTGATTACCTGATAACTTTCGGCTATGTGGTGATTGTAATGATAAGTTCTGCACTTTTAGAATACAGAATTTGGAAACCCACTCTTCCTTTTTGTTATTTAATCGACAATCATTTTACCAATCATTTTTTCTCACTTTCATGGCTCTCGTTTTCATAATTTACTTGATTTGAAAGCACAGTACTTCTAGGAGACGCTCATACGGTACATTTCCTGTTATTCTTTAAAACAGCATGTGTCTACTTTGTTTTCATCTTAGAAGTTTTTACAATGTTTTACAATAAAACATGTTTTCTGGGTCATGGGGATTATACCAAGCAAAGGACAGTCAGGGCTGTAACTGAACCACAAGAGGAAGAAAAAAGGGGAATTGCGTAAAACAACATTTGGCTCAACTGTGTGGCCCTTTTGATTTTTATTGGTCAAATTAGCCAAACTATGACAGATGCTAGTGATTATAGTACATGCTGCAATGGGGTAAAATGAGTCATTAGTTTCCTGGACAAAGTCAAATTACTCACATCAAACAGGATTAAGGTGTATTCAATCAGAAAAAAACACAAACGCCTTCTCTAATGCTTAACTATACGGCATACGCGTATAAAAGGGCGTCTTAAAGAGATCAAGTGGATACGTAAAGCTCTTCTCATTGTCAACATGCACATTAACTTTTAGGTGTTTGTTAAGCCCTGTACCCCCTTTGCTTACTGTTGCCATAAACATGGGTTTTTGAGTATTTTGTCCTTTGTTTTGCTCTATAATGCAGAGCTGGAGACAGAATCTTGTTGGCTGATGACTCCAATGATGACTGGTGGAAGGTAGGTACGAAACCAACATATTACCCCACATAGAAAAGATGGATTGATAAATTACAGGAAGTCGAGCTGTAAATTATAGGGGCGAGGCAACAGGCTGCCTCGGGACACAACTGCCTGACAGATAAATTAGGGAGACAAAAGGGCCAAACCGTGACTGCACAGAGGCAGCCGGCTGCCACCAGACCATGAAGAAACTCATCACGCATTTTAACTCTGTTGTTGCTCTTAACAGGCTGTAGATAAACACAGACAGCTGTACTGTTTAGTCTTTGAACGGTGATACTTTACCTGATTTAACACATGCATACAGTACAATGCATAAGTACTGAAAGTAAAGACATATACAGTATATCTTCTTCATGTCTATGAATCAGCTATATATAAGTTAGTATGATACAAAATAAAACTTCATACATGTACTGTAACCTACCCCCAGTGTGTAATCCTCTTATGTATTGTGCAACTCGAACATGTGTCAGCTGTTTTCATGTTTGTTGATTTCTTTTCCAGGGGGTAATTGAGGACAGGATCGGTTTCTTCCCAGCAGCCTTTGCTCATCAGCTGCGGGTTGAGGACCAAGTGTTCAGGTGTAGCAGGACGTTCATTGGCTGTAAGGAACAAGGCCAGATCACCCTGAAGGAGGGACAGGTACTGTACAAACCTTATGAAGATGATGAGGATGAGGATGATTATAGGCAGATGAGTGATATTTTTAGTGAAAAGTCTTCACATAAAGTCAGGCTGAACAGGATCCTTCCCTTAAAATAGTTTATTTATATTCTAAATCATCCCGCCCCATTATTATGGGTTTTCTGTGTCAAAAACCCACTTGCATAATTGAATAACTGCCTGGATGTCTGCAACAGTGTATTTTTTGATGCTACAAATGGCACCAAAGTCAGAAATTGCACATATTGGCTTTGAAAGGGATTTTTGCAAGAAACTCTGCAACCTGTTTGTGAATAAATGCCTTTCAAAAACCTGCCAGATAAACCTGAAAATACCTGACAATCACAAGGGTTAATAACAAGGACTTAGTTAGACCAAACATTAGCAAGCTTCATCACACAAGCCTCCTCTTCATCATGGGTTGGAGAAGCAATGACCCTGGACATTAAAACGTCCACATTATACCTGTGTCTAATTCATGATGGCACCCCAGCCATTAGAGCACGTCCGATTCACATTAGCCAGCAGCTCTTTAGCCATCTTATTACCCTCCTGCAGCTCCCACATTGCCTCTTACCTCCAGCGACTCTACCCTCGCATGTGCTTATTTACTGGAAAGCTCGACTGGAGTTGGCTGACAGAGAATCCTTCTAAGGAATTACCATTAGATGAGCATTTTTGGTACATTGGCTGTACTTAGAGCCTTTTTCCACAATGCTTTCCAGGGCATGTTGGAACTCATTGGAGACTTAAAGCAAGAAACCCCCAGTGGAGATGAAACCACCAAAAACAAGATGAGTCTGTGACCCGCTGCCTTTCTTTTCCTGTCACACAAACCCAGGGGAAGATATTGAGAGTACTCAGAGCGAGCATGGAAATACAATATGTTCTGGTGCATCACGAGGGTCAATGACTGAGTTGGAAAGAAAGGGAAGTTTGATCACTTAATTAGTGATGAAAAAGAACAGATTTCTTTCCTCAGAATATCCCAAACCTAATAATGACCACATAATCATAGCAATAATATCAACAGGTTGCAACTATAGCACCTTTACTGGACTTTAAATGTCATGATATGCCGTTAAAAATAAAAAAAATAAAAAACTGGGAGACTTATGCACATAAAAACAGATGAGAGACATGTTTGTGTTTATGGAGGACTTCATGTATTATCTTTAAAATACTTCTCTGACAGTTATATTTGCACAAGACCATGTCGCAAGTAGTATGTAGTAGAAGAACTTTAAAACATGAAAATAGGTGAACAGGCTGTCCATATACGTTTGGCCACATAGTGTATTCCTAGAGAAAAACGAATGCCCCGGTATGTATATGTACTATGACAATTGTTGAATGCAGGAAGCAATCACTCACATAGGCAACTTAGAATTAATCCGTGCGTTCGAGTGGTTCTTGCATGAGGCCCATTGTGTCCTTCAATTAATTACTCACATATATTGAAATATTCTATCTAATGTTTTGTACTATGTTTAACTGTACTTGTCAACTTTACGTTCTATTCTTTGTAGTTTTCACATTAAAGTAAGTTTAATTTCTTTCCTCAGATCTGTGTGAGCAGTGAGGGCGAACGCAGCGGCTTTCTCAGAGTGGCGAGTGGAAAGAAGAGAGGCTTTGTGCCCTGTGATGTTCTGGAAATCATCTGAGACAAACAGACAAATGAGGAGAGAGAGAGAGAGAGAGAGAGAGAGAGAGAGAGAGGGAAGGTAGGTAGGATCAGTCATCTGGAGGTCAGAGGAGGAGGGAACTGAACCTGCATAATGGCTACAAGAAACCAGTGAGGGCATTCGCCTCATCAGACATTTGGAGTTGGACGTACAAATGATGATGGTTTTGTCAATGACAACTCCACTTTGTAGCAGGTCAGAGTGTCAGCACCTTCTTTACTCCCTCTCAGCACAGACACAGACCGTTTGTTGTTAGCAGAGAGACATGAGATTTCACTGGATTTGATTTAATTTATAGAGCCAATGCGTGTGTTTCTTTTCCCCTTCGTTTTATTCTGCTACGAGCTGTTTATTTTTTTTAAAGGAGAATTGCTGTCTGGCTGTTGAAGCCAAAGAAAAAGAAACAAGCACTTGCTACAATGATTATTTTTCAAGGTTACAGCACATACAATGGCATTCCTCTTGCAAATAGTTTAGTTTCTCATGCTTTTACATTATGTTCCAAGAAGAAGTTGAGCTTTTAATGCAAATTTCATTCCAATAGACTCCAAAATGTTTGATTATTGTGGACAAGATCCTTTGATGTCAGAAGATGATGAAAACATTAGATCAGAATAAACAATATATACAATGAAAGAAGAACATTGACTTCATTTGAAGCCTCAAATTTCCCTTGAAATCCATTAACAAATATATATATATATATATATATATATATATACATGTAAAAATACAGTCCTAAGACAGAAGTGAAAAAGGTTTGTGTTTCAGGTGAGAAACAACACATCAGATGCAACAAAAGGATCTGTGGGAGTATTTTCAGAGGAGTTTGACACATTCAAAGTCTTGTCAGCCTCACATTCCAAAGATTTAGAATCAGAAACGCAGATTAAAATCTGTGTTTCTGTGGACACAAAATGTAACGTGTTGCATTGTGTCCAATCAATTAGATTGTGTTAGATGTATCTTTTAAGGCTTATCTTTAATTTAATTTTCTCTATTTTAAGTTGCTTTTGTCAAAGATTTTGCAGCTTTGTTGTTCTATAGAAGTGCACGAGAAGGAAGGAATGCTCTGTGAACACATGATGGCACCTGTCAGACAATGACACATGTTAGAAAATGATACATTTCTAGTTTGCGTGTTGACTTTAAATGTGATCACTTTCATGCGTTTTTTTCTCTTTCTCAGCACAGGCAGTTCTGAACAGCACTTGCTGTACAGAGTCCAGTTACGTGCGTTTATGGAGAGGTGTTGCATCATAGTAGATATAGTATATCTCTTGAAGGTTGTTCTGCACTGAAACTTGGCTTTATTGAATGTCCAATAACTCCACATTGTATATACTGTACATACAAAATTAAAATTTCTTCTTTATCACAACAACCATAAGTGTATTATGATGTTTTTTGTCTCCCTTCTTCTATTCTCTCTGCAACAAAGAGTTACTGCAATCATACAAACATATGTCTAATATTTCACATATCTCATCCTACGTCTCTCAGAATGATTCCTAAATTTCTCTCATGGTTCTCTCTCCTCTCTTGGGCATGAATTAGTTGTCAAAAAAAAGCATTTTTCGCAGAAAGAAAGACCAAAATGGGGAGAAGACAAGTAAAACATTTTGCTGTAATGCACAGAGATACACAACGATTCCTTTGTCTCAGTTTTCACATCAGTCCCAATCTCTCAATGCTAAATTGTATACTTCTAATTCTGAACTGAGAAGCACATGAAACCTTGACGCCTTCTCGATCAGACAGCCATGATGGAATAATGCTGTCAAAATTCATCAAAATAGGATGCAATGATCATTTCTTAATACTGGGAAAAGGTCTTGAACTCCACTGATAGCATTCCCTTTGTTATTATGATCCCGTATGCTGATACACGGCATTATGAATGTGCTAGAGCCCATCTTGAGGCAAGTAGAGCCCATCTTGAGGCAAGTAGGGCTCAAAAAGGAAGACTGCAGCTGTCTGAAACTAAAAGCATCAGCATTTTAAAGTTCTCAAAACAGTTCATTCCAAAGAACCCCTAATAAATAATACAAAAATGGTAATATCAGCCAAAACATATCTCTATTTGAGATAGACAATTCATTCTTGAACTTGTCAAGCAAAAGTGCTATGCAAACATGGATGATGAGTCCCAGAAGTGGTCAGAGTATTGATTGTATATTTGTATTGTGCAGTTTTGTGCCACACACAAAAGATAAGGTTAATCAATCTATGAACCAAATTTAAACAGTTTCTACAGAACAAAGCAGTAGGTGGAGCTTGTTTTGTCACTATACTGTATCTGTTTTGTTGCAGCCTGTTGTAAAAGCGGGTTTGTACGAAATAATTTGCTCACATGGTCTCTGCTCAATGCAAAACCTAAAAAAAACAAAAGAAACTGTGAAGTGTTGTTTCCTTTTATGACTTATCTTTACCTCAGGACACTTTATCACCTCACCATCTCACAGTTCAGCAAGCCTTGCTGATTTTACCCTTTTGATCTGCTAGAGCTTCTGACCACAGTCTGCACCCTGCAGTCCACCATGAGAGAGTCTGCTTCAAACTTCAGAGGCTTTAGCAGCTCTGTTAAACAACTGTTTGCATGTTTAGATTGTCTCTTGATGCACAGCAAAAGTATAGAAGTTGAGGCAATCACAGACACTTTGCTATTTCAGAGTTTGCCCATTTTCCTGTTCTATGTCTGTGTAATGACAAATCCCAGGCCCAGGTCTCACATACTTGACTCTACTACCACCTAGTGGTTCATTAGAGTAATGGCAACATCCGGTTTCCTGAGAGCAGGGGTCTTCAATTAAACTTCCAAAAGGTCCGGAATATATATATATATATATATTCAAGAAGCCTAAACAACCTCTCTGTGTAGTCAACAACTGTCAAATCAAACAAAGAAAGTAGCCTACACATCAATTATATTTTAACAATTATTATTGTGTTTTCAAATTTAACTGGATGGATTATAAATAATACATAGAAATACATACATAAATGTTCTAATTTCAAGTAAAATAAGAGCTGCATTAAAGAATAACTGACATAACAGAAAGCTTTTGAAAAATGTGCATCTTAAAATAAAGTATTTCATTTAAGAAAAATTAATTTCACTGAATTGCCCTGCAGCTTTAAATTCAGTTTATTCAGGTGTGAAGTGATGTCAATCAAAAATCAATATTGTATTTTTCTCATCTTCTAACAAGATAAATTAGTGAGCAGGGACTTTATCTGTGGTTATTGAAACTTGTTTCAGCTCTATTTCTCTGGTTACATCATTGTTGAACAGTGAATTCATGTGTTTCTGATCATATTGCGCTCTGAGGTTTATTTTCTCTGTCTTCTTTTCAGATGTGAGTGGGTACGTTTCCTCAAAAGAGTTGTGCTTTGTCTCGTAGTGTCGCTTGACAATACCGCTTTGAATAATCGTCACGGTCTCTAAACATGCGAGACACGCTGGTTTTAAACTGCCTGTGGGAAGAATTAACCTATAGGAGTTTGTTCATTAATGATTAACTCCTCTGGACTCTCTGACCGCTTTTCTTTTTATGGAGAACGTCATATGAAATAACTTCTGTGACTATCGGAGCTGTCGTAGTCTTATTCATTGTCTTTCCTCGTCTCTCCCCCCCTGTGTCACGGTGTGTGAACATCTCACTCGAGTCAAGAAACTTGTCAAAATACACATTTTTTGATTGGCTGAGCTGCATCACGTGATGTGATTTACACCGCATTGGTCGGCGTGTTTCTTGCACCGATGAACAAGTGCCGAGAAGGCTGAAAAAGATGCGCCGGTTAAAATAGAAGCGCTCCGTCTATTAGTGACCCCTGCCTTAAAACTTGTTGAACAAGTGCAGCAGCCTCTGAACTAGTGACACAAATAAGTAACACTTATTGTAAATTGTACTTTCCCACGTAACACCCATTGCAACACTTTCATCACCACACAAGCTGAAGTTGTGAGCGATCCAAAGTTGTCGGCTAATTTATGCAACTCTTTTTATTGTATGCACAGCTGTTTGTCTACAGACACAAGAATACAGTCAATTTTAAGTCAGTCTTTTTTTTCTTTCTTACAGAACAAACTAACAACAGAGGTACTATTTCACAATGTACCAGATATCACATAATGATTGACACACTTTTGTCTTTTGTCACTTCTGCTCCCATGACAGCAGGACTCAAAGACAAATTATTTCTTGGCAAAAGCTCAACTTAAAACTGCAATAATCAATATTTGTATACAAATAATGGATTTAAGTGACCCACAGATTATTATCACCCAATTCTGCAGTTCCTCTCTACTCTACAGAGCATCATGTCATCTTCCATCTCATGGATTTGGTTGTACGCCACCACAACTTTATTGTTTTACACTCCAGTGAGAAAGCTCTAAAAACCCACTGTACACCTGCTCAGCACCACACAGCAGACAGACACAGCTATAGCCACGAGCTAGTGAACATTGTTCAGCATTTTGGAAGTTAAAGTTTCCCTCTGGAGTTGGTAGAGACCAAAAACAGAGCTAAAATAGAGTGAGACTTACATTTGCCAGGTGGCCAGAAACAAGAGTCCAAATGAACTCTAATGTTGCTTCGTGGATGCTGGATGTGTAAATAGGCAATTGTTTGCCAACACATAACAACTTTATAAGGTGGTAATATGTTTGTTTACAGCTTGCTGCAATGCCCTCAAGAAGCCCCCCCAAAAAAGAAAAAAATTCAATAAATGCCGGTTAAAAAAATAATAATTTCTGGTCAATGTAGTTTATTTCTAAATTTACTACATATCTTAAAAATA